TGGGAGTAGATCTTATGGTAGTATAGGATACCTAGCTTAATTGAAATAGTGCAGTCTGGACCATAGTCTCCAAGGGGGGCTGGGAATGGCCTCGTGCCAGACGGCATTACCTTCTTTGCCAGCCGGTAGTTATTGCTTCCCAATTAATGCAAGAAACTTCGAGGAAAGCATCGTTCGAAGTTCGCCTAGGTACTCAAAGCGAGTACCTATATACTCCCGGCCTATAAGCACTTCATCCTCAGCACAAGCTTGCCTGAAGCGTATCTCCTGGTCACCAATCATGTCCTGCATAACATCAACAAGTCGATATAGGTGACTAAGACCATTTAAGAGATAACTCTTAATGTTGTTATTACTTGACTCAGTGCCAGAGGTGACGCGAACACCAAAGTTCTGGTATTTTCGGATAGAGCAGCGGGCCCACTGTGCTCTTAAAGGTAGGTATGTTGTGTGGAGGTACTGGAGGATTGGGCGTTGGTCGTTAAACTCTTTACAGAGCTTGGTCCAGGCTTTCTCAAAAGCGTGCTCAGTCTCAGCAAAAACAATAAGCTTCCACATCATAAGGACCCCACGATACGTATGAGGGGGGGGCTCATCAACAGATGTGTTGATATAGGCCTCATCCTCATCACTTAGCGTGGCCATTGCTTGTATTGGTAGCTGATATCCCTCGTCATCAGACCCACTGCTGTTACTGCTACAGCTGCGGTCCTTAACCCACTTCTGCTTAGCCCTGAGCATAACGTTAGAATTGATGTGGTGGATGTAGAGTTGTTGCTGAACGTCTGGGAACTGCTCATTCAGTGCAGCCTTCATCTGCTTGTCGTAGTCTGTAATAATAACAGTGGGGTAACGGACTGAGTGTTGGTCCATGAGTTGGCGGATCCCTGCTGAGAGAAACTGGAAACCCTCTAGTCTCTCGTTGTCGATAAGGCCAAACGCAGCGTTGTAAACAGATCCAAGGCAGGTCTGCCCAGTAGCTTGGAAGAGAGGGAGCTTAAAGCGATTGGTGTTGTAGGTGTTGTCAAAGCTAATCACCTCAGGGAATCTCTTCCATATTTGGAGATAGTAGGGAAAGGTCCAGACAAGGCCAATAAGGCGGTTTGGCTCGGCTTCTACCTATTTTACCACGTATGGGATGTCTCGCTCATCAAACAGCTTGATTAATGCTGTAGTTGGCGAATATCCCGCTAGTTTCTCTTGGTTTATACGAGCCCTAGCGTTGTAGATATCTCGCTGGGTGAATGAGGACTCTGGGAACTGCTCCTGGATAACAGTACGTACATCGCGAGCCCGAATCCCAACTCGTCGGCTTGTAGTTTCAATGGCATCTTGAAGTGGTTGGGTAAGCCTGCGATGTGAAGGGTGTGTAGTAGCTTCAAGGCTAGGGCCATGATTATGCTGACTGTGCTGGGGGTCTAGGTGATAACGTAAGAGCCACTTGCCCTCCTCTTGAGCCTCGGTAATAACTTGCTATTTATAACCGTATTTACGAGACTTGCGCTATCGAATGCCAGCACCTTGTGTAGGCCTAGGCTCGCCAAACCGATCATATTAGAAGGTGTATCGAATGATTCGGCCTTGAGCTTTATGCCTATTCCGCTTTATAATGCCAAATCCATTAGCTCTTGCAAAGGTATTAACTTGGTCGAAGAGGGCATCATAGGTTTCCTCTGGATCGCCAGGAATCAGTGGGTTTGGGATTTCGGTTATAGGAGGAGAGGAGGATCGGTTGCTTAGAGTGTGGTAGGAGGCTGTAGTTCGGAAAGACGCTTCGCTTTGAGGGGAGGATTGCCGTGGGGGTGAATAGGGTAGTGGGTTGACTTGGGGACCCCATGTTTCTTGCCATTGACGGATATACTCTTGTTGTCGGAGGAGTGCCGTTGTTAGCTGTTGATTAGTCCTAATAACTTGTAGAACAAGCTGAGGAGCACTATTGAACTGCTCTGTTGTAGGATAGGAAGGTTGCTGGGACTGTTTGTTGGGAGGAGAGGGGCTATGCTCTGGAGAAAGTCGTAGGAGAGTAGTCCGCTGGGTTTTTATTATTCCTTTAGGGAAATGACGAGTAAGATATAGTATAGGCTCTATACTAGGGTAATCGTATACAAAAGGTCGCGTATCTTATAGTATATCGGCTAGGAGCTCGGTAATAAGGTCGCGCTACCCTTAAGGATCACCAACTCCATAGAATTGGCTAACGCTAGGGCGGCTGCTTTCTGAGGAGGGAGATGATGGTGGTTGGCCAGATGATAGTGGGAGGCCGTACTCAAACAATGGTCGCTCTCGTATAGGGGGAGGTTTATTAGTAGGGGTATTGCTTTGAGATTGGCCTTGTGGAACATCTCTAACTCCAGTTAGAGAAGCCATTGTAAGAAAATAGCATAAGTCAGACTTAGAGGCTTGATGATGTAACCTTAGAGGAAAGGGAGCAAAGGAACAAAAAGGGTTGAGATACTTTGTGGGTATCTGGCAGAATTTGATTGCACTAACAATATTTTTTTGAGCCAATCAAAAGGTCGAACAGCGACGCCGGTGTAAGGTCGACGCCGGTGTATCAATTTGCGACGCCGGTATATCAATTCCCTATTATTTATATTAACGGGTCCTAGATATCGGACGGTAGTAGCACCTCCGCCGGAGCAGGCTGGGTAGGGTACCAAGGTATGTAGCAGATCTTCCGTCGATCCGAACTGCTTAGCTCCTAAACTAAGGTATATAATGCGGAGGTATATACTGCGTATTACGGCCTAATAGAAGCTACCCAGGCTCTTACGGCTCGTATAGTAGATAACGTCCATATCTACCTTAATAACCTTATAATCGCGGCTGGACTATACTCCTAGAGCATAGGAAGTAGCCAGGCTAGATTTAGGGCCTTTAATAGGCTCTCTTCCTCCTGGACTCGGAGACAAAGAGAGAGCTGGACAACCCCCGGCAGGGTTTATGTTTGGTAGTGCCCTAGGCATACGGGAGTACCAGGAAATAAAGAAGCGGATGCTCTAGCCAAGGAAGCCTGCAAACTAATCCCAAAATCATAACCACAGCCCTTATTAGCATACCTAGAAAGGCAAGCTAAAGCAGCTACCTTCCAAGCCTTTGCCAGAAAATGGCTGTCCTAATGCCCTCGGTAATATGCCGACCTCGAGATAATTCTTTACCCTAAGCCGCCCGAACTCCGCCTCCCTCGGCACTTACTAGGAAGGCTATACGCAGCAAGATCCCATCATGGAGATTTTGCAGCATACTACGAGAGATTCCCTTATCAAGATACGTTACTTAACTGTAGCTATAGGAAACCCAAGATACTAGTCTATTTCTACTTGCGTGGACATAAGGCTATACCGCGCTACCTCCGACAACATATAGCTAAAGTAAGTATTAATTTCTTATTAGGTTCTGCTAAGGGAGCCTCTCTTCTATATGAATGGATAGAGGAGACTAATTTCTTTTCCGAAATTTGCCCGAGTTATTAAATAGGAACGTTAGGTAAAGACGGTAGCCTGTAATATAGTTTAGATTAGTATAGACCATGTCGGCATAGCGCCCGGCACGTCCTTTTGTTACCAGACGTTAAATACATCATCATCATATTTCAGAGCGAGCCTCGTACCTATTGTCTACTTTCAATGGATAACCGTTATCTATCACACATCTCGATGCCCACATTGTGGCCATACGACAGACCGACTTTCCGTAACCAGGTCCAGCTGATATCCAAAGGAGACTTGAGGATTGGCTGTTCCGCCACCGATGGAACCTCTTGTCTTGCAAAACCCACTCACAAGTCCCTTGGACGCGTCCAGGATTGGCGTTCTTGTGACCTTTGAAATCGCCGTACAGACTTTCGAGTAGGGCTCCTTCGATTTGGTCTTCATATCGGAATTGTATTTCCTTTAGGCTCTGAGAGATGTCTTCGAGAGCTAGGCGCGAGTTGTAAATTTCGACAAGCTGAGACTCCATGCTGTCTTGGGATACCTGAAGTTGAACTACCTCAAGGTAGGTCTGGCAACTCAGGTTCAAGTCATTGATGCTTTTTGTGTCGGCCTCCCAGCCATTCCATCCAACCAAGTTCTCCCAAGCACGGGCACGCTGCGGCGATGATAAATGACAGGTAGCGTGGGCGTAGTATCTGATGATCTGATGATGAAATTCAATGAATACGCCGTAAAATCCTTTCTTTTCATGGCTCCGGAATGGATAAACAGAGGTCTCTGAAATGTTCCAAAACACTAACATGCGGTTGGCTCGACATGCCCAACTCGCACCATCTTGGGCCCTGTTATACCCATGAAGCTTTATTCAAGAACTACGTAATGTCGGCGATCGCATTGACAACTTTCTGGCAATTATCTAGTCGAGTCATCCAGATCTGGCAGCTGTATTGACTTGAGGCTCTCAATATTTGAGCCAGAGAACAGGAGACTTAGAGAGCCGAGGTTGTTATCATCAATTGGATTTGTCGATGAGCTAGTGCAGGTTGGTCAGAAAGCTCTCTAAATTATGCCACCTGAGGTCGAAAATGAAAACTGCTGCTACATGGAATCGTTTTTTCTCTTTTAGCTCCGAGCTGTGGTCAAGTTGACGTGAAGTAAGTATGAAGTAGTAGAAGAGGCTATGAACTTTCTGGACCAAGTATCAGAAATAGACAGAGGCTATCGAATGGATGATTTTGCCGCGTAAGCTTCTGACGTCTTGGAGAGATTGAGCAAGCCTTTTTTGGAGAGTAAAGTGAGGTCGATGAGAGAAATATCGATGATTCTCAAAGGGTGATAGATAATTGGCGCAAAGCTTTATAGAGTACTGAAAGTAGTAGTAGGATTATTGAATAGGGACGACAGGGGTGTCATTGAAGCTTGAGTCGAAAAACTTTGATAGTAGGGAACTTGAATCATGCAGTGAATAGGTAAGTACTTAGGTTCCAGACTCTATGAGTGCTAATTAAATCCCATTCTCACCGCTCGATACAAAGACTGCATCTCAAGTCTAAGCAGCTACCAGTTTTAATAGTGCAACTTCTTGTTGACCACATTGATCAGAGGCTTGCCAGCATCTATCCGCTCCAAGTTGGCCTCCAGCACCCCCAGAACTCGCTCCCAGTACCCATCTGTTCTCCAGCTGACATGAGGTGTAATGAAAATGTTTGGCGCCTTCCACAGTGGGTGATCTTTCGGAAGCGGCTCTGGGTCCGTAACATCCAACGCAGCCGCCCGGATTTTACCACCCTCAAGAGCTTCAATGAGGGCGTCTGTCTGGATCAACGGACCTCTGGCGATATTTGAAACGAAAGTTTTGCGTTTTGACAGGATCTCGAATTGCTCTTTGCCGAGGAGTCCTTTACTTTCTTCGGTGAGAGGCAAACCGAGGACCAATAGGTCGAGGTCTTGACTCAAAAAGTTGTTAATGGCGTCTTTGGATGCACCGTGGAACCACTTGGCAGGCACCAGTCCGTCGGGATCTCCAGTGCCGGGAACGCAGTAGCTGTCGTCTTTGCGGGACTCGGGCGTTGCGCGCTCGCTTCTTGTGTATGCGTACACCTCCATTCCCATTGCTTGCGCAACTTTACCGCACTGGCGACCTATCGCCCCGTAACCCAAGACACCCCTGAAGTCGATTCAGTCTGGTTAGCAACAGCTTCCTCCCTTACATACCCACGAGTGTACTAATGTAGGCTGTGACTTACATGCGGAGTCCGACGGAATCCTCAAAGTCTACTTCCATCGGGCCTTCCCAGAACCCTTCCTTCATGTGGTTGTGATAGCGCTGGAAATGATGCTGGTGTGCGAGCCAAGAACCAATGACCCATTCTGCGATCTGCGGCCTACACTCTCTCATATCAATCGTCCGAGTCTTTCACAAGAAATTCGACTAGAGAGCAAGCACTCACGGGTGGCAGCCATTCGTAGTACAAAATGAAACATTAGGGTCCTTGTAGACATCGTGATCGAGCCACCTGTCTGCGCCTGCAGAGGTCAACTGCACAAAGCGCACTTTGGACAAGCGATGAGCTGCCGGTGGATTGAAGGCCATGAAAATCGTTACACCTTCCCAGACGTCATCCGGCAGTTCATCTGGAAGAAGAAAGCCGCCGCCGGGCCTCAAGTTTGACTCCCAGCAGACTTTGAGGCCGGGAAAGCGCTCAGAGATTCTGCTTGTCCATTTCGTGTCCTCCGGCGCTGAGAGGAATACCAAAACCTTGTCTCCTGCCAACGGGCTTTGACGGTTTCCAAGGTCGCCCATCTTGATGACTTTGTCTTTGTTGGGCGTAAAATGCCAAGAATTAGGGACAGGTGTACTGAAGTTATTCTCAAGTTTGGTCCGCGGCAAAGTGCTGCTAGTCTATCTCTTCAATTTAACAGTGAGTGCCCGCGGTAGAGGGTTTCCGATAACGAATTCGCGTGCTCCAATAGGTCGGGATTGGAAAATGACTGGGTATCAATTAGTAAATCCATCGTTTGTCAGACGTGGGTCCTCGGTGCTCCGCAGACGTCCCGAGACCGGGAAGTATCCGCGATACCGGCTGTTTATCAGCAGCGCAAGGAACCCGGGCCGGCATGATGTTGAACCTATTGACCTATCTGAGAGATAACCAGCGTACAGTCCGGCTGGGCTAGACTGATATGAACCGGATACCTTGCTCAGTTCCCGGTACAAATCACTCTTGCTTATAGCATGAACAGGTGCAAAGCTGGCCGCGGGGTAAAACACGAGTCAGGGTAACGCCCCACGAAGTTTGCCGGAGATCACTTCACTCCAACTAGAAGTCCAACTCTTAACATACTCAGGACTCTGCACAATGAATCGGTGAACAAGACACTCATTTACTACCTATGAGATCTAAGATGTAGTGGGTAAGCCCCAAGATAAAGCCACAGGCAGAGTGGTTATTTTCTCCGCACACCCCAGCTTTCTCGACTGTTGCGGGGTTGCGAGTCTAATATGCCTCAACCCCCGCTAGCCTCAACAACTGTGGAGTGAGCTCAGGCTTCTCTAGCGGTTCCGATCGTCTATCATCAACGGTTCCATCCGGCAGAGTTGGTTGGTTCGTTCTTGGAACAATGTTGTCATGAGGCCAATGAGTCGTGGCCAGCCACTTGCCGAACGCCTCCTTCTTCGCTTCAAGAACTTCATTCGTTGCGAAAGATGCGGGCGCATACGACACGTAAGTGATGGTCCGTATGGTGTCGCTCTTTGCCGTAGGCTCGGCCCCGAAGTGGATCAGTCGCGAGTCCCAGATGATCAAATCTCCCGGTTCCGCGACAACCTTGTGCTCACGATAGCCTTGCTTTATGAACCACGCAATCTGCTCAGGCGTGTAGTTGAAGAAGTCCTTCCGCGTCCACTCCGACTTGTCGGTATGCTCTTTGAAGAAAGACTCTGTAATCTTGTGCGTTCCCGGGTATACCGTCAGTCCGCCGTCCTCGGGTCCTGCCTTTGAGAGATTCACTATTCCCTGGACGCACTCTAAGCCCTGTCTGTATGGGCTCTGGTCGACATGCGGCCACTTCTTCCTCGGGGTGTGACCTTGTCGTCTTGGAAGTGTGACGTTGAGGGCATCGAATGAAACAATGAGGTCGCGGGTATTCCACACCCTTGCAAAGACGTCAATGACGCCTGGTTCCTGTCGTATATCCCACATGAACTTCTCGTGCACGACTCCGTAATGGTTTACTGTATTGATTCCGGAAATGAAAGGCAGGTTCTCAGGAGTCCATGTTGTAGGGTCGGCGAGATTTAAGTCTGGATTGTCGAAGGACTTAAGCCAAGCGAAAGCTTTCTGTTGATACTCGACAGCTTTATCGTGAGGTATTACCGAAGGGATGACCGCGAAACCGTTCTCGGTGAAGTGTCTGTACCAGTCTGGTCTCGCCATCTCAATTTTTGGTACTCTCGTAAGCAACGTATAAGTGATCTGAGAGTATTGGTCTCCCTTAGAAGAAGTCTAATTCTTCTTGTGGCAGAGTCTTCGTATATTGGCAGGTCCTTATCAAGGATTGGGTTGATGTCATCAAGCGTGGATCAATCAAAGAGGGGAATGGCTTATCTGCTATGGAAATCACGGAAGCCTTGCGAATAATGAGGTGCTCTCACAGCATCCACTCCCGGTCATTGGGGTTTGCCATGGCCGTATTATACCCGGGTACTACAGCGAAGTCGGCGGCACTCGGGTGACTGTAGAGCGGCCAGTGGGAAGCTCTCGAATTGAACAAGAAATCACCAGAATTACCATGTACATTACATTACCTATTAGGATCGGGGACTTCGGCATACAAAGTTCGCTGTTCCGAGCGGTTGATCTTTTGACTTGATGCACAACTATGGTCCTCTGTCACTCAAAATACGATGGACACAAAGGATTTAGAACTAATGAACTTGTGCTCAAGTCATCAGGTTTGGTTCGTCTGTTAAGCACTTTATCTGGACCGAGTTCATTAAAGCTTGCAGAAGGTGAGGTTTCTCTCTGAAGTCAAACGGAAACATCTTTCCCCAACTCTTCCTCTGAAAGATTTTCTGTTGGCTTCGCATCGATCGCTCGAACAGCGAAATAAGTCGGAATAAGGGCTAGACCCCATAAACCAAAGTTGACACTCGCGGCGGCAATGAGCTTTGACTGGTGTTAGCTTGTCGCTAAAGTATGTTTCCCAGAACAGTCTCATTCGTGACTCCCTTGGGGGACTAGGCGTACGTACTGGAGCATGTGTAGAGCTGATGCCTGACGCCACCGCACCTCCGGCGGCTTCAACGGCTCGAACCGTTGATGTAAATCGGATAATCTCGGCATTATCACGCGCCATGTAGCCGGCAATCCAATACCCGTAGTTATATGCCAATGCGCTACGACTAGTCAGTAATCATGATGAAGGAGTGCAGGTGAGAGGTGAGGTAAGTAGGACTCACAAGTTAACCTGCAAAAGGATATAAAGCGCCCATCCGCGGCCAAAACCACTGTCGACCCAGTCTAGCGCAGGAGCCTTCAACCCGTATTCTCGCTGGATGACGATTGCCCAGACCCACGTTCCCCCAAATAGGACCATGATACCGAAGTAAGCGAGCTTCGCACGCTGGTTGATTGTGAAACGCTTCCAATCCAAGAAGTTGCCGAAAATGAAGTTGGCGGTGATCTGAGCTAGTGCAGAGACTAGAGATGCCAAGGCACGGGAACGAACGGAGAAGTATAGGGAGAGGTAGGATCCCGCATATGACAGCAGAAATGTGACGTAAAAGAAAAAGGGGAAACTTTGCATCGATGCATTGTCAGCGTCTTGTGTCGAGAAAATGATATTGAGAGCCCTGGGCCTCCATCTGATCACTTACACCAGCAAGAAGTCCTTGCGAATCAGGATTTTGGCAACAGCTTTCAGTTCCGAGACTGTGGGAATCCGCTCAGCCTTTGCTACCTTTCTTCCGTCCTGCCGCTGGACCTTCTCGGGGGGAGATAGCAGCATTGCGACGAACGGACCGAGGCATTCTAGAAATAATTAGATACTGGCCACGATGCCGCAAAGAGGTGAGAAACTTACGCAAGGCCACAAAGACGATGTAGGTTCTATAATCTAGCTTTCCTGTCGTCTTCCCAGTAGCATCTAAAAGCGAGTTAACGAAATTGATCTTGGACAAAGAGTTGAGGTTCAACACTGACTGAATGCAAGATTGATGGCACCTCCAACGATAGATCCCCCCTAGGATTGAATTGTCAGCATCGTCGGCTACCTATGGTGCCTTGAATATGTCGAATTTAACAACCCACATTTCTGTACGCCAGCCAATAGGCTAGATATCTTCCTCGTTTCTGGTCTTCCGGATCTGCATGCAATTGTCAGGTACGCCCTAGCAGATCAGGAAGGTTTGGTGACACCTACAACTAATCATGATCGCGCCTTCTGCAGCCCAGAAAACTCCAGCAGTGATACCACAAGCGGCAGAGCCAACGTAGACAAACCACTCATTGCCGTAGCGGTTGTTTGTGTAAAGTGACGCTGAGTAAAGAGCACTACACCAGGTTGGTTTTCGTCTTTTTTGAATGTCAATCTGAAGGCGGGAGTTGACTTACTATCCCGTCGTACCAAAGATCAAGGCATTCTTGAGGCCGATCCTGTTAGCAACCACACTTCCCATGGAACATGTTAAAACCATCATGACCCCCAGGACAGCATTCGCAGACCTATGCAGCTCGGTCAGTCGACATAACAAGTGTTACATGTCTCGGCCAAAGACTTACATGACAAGGTAGGGAGTCTGTTGGCCACCTGCACCCGTTGACTGCATAGCATTGTATAGACCCGGGGCGAAGAATGCACAAAGGCCGATTACTGTGGCCTGGAAAAAGACAGTCCGGTACCATGTTCGTTTGCCGATGCCGTGTTCTCTGAAATCTGCAACCGTACTATCGTCAATTGCCGAGTGGGCTTCTAGTGGTTGGGCTTTTGGATCGGCCATGATGCAGATAATGACTTTGATCGCAGAAACGCATGCCCTTCAATTGAAAACACTCGGTAGATGTCAACTGCGAGACAACGGTTCATAGCTGGCTTCAAACGCTCCTCTGAAATCGACAGGTTTCACGACAATCCAGAATCGACGGGCAGCTTGAAGGCTACGTACTTTGTAAATCATGCAAATCAAGATAAAATATCTTCAACACCCTGGTACTGTTACCCCGATAGCGGTGGTTGATTGTGTCGCGATCCAAGTCATCATGGCGTGCTTGTTATGTCTCCACATTCGCTGAGTGCAGAGACAGGCGACGGATTCTCGGCTGACACAATGAGACTCTGATATCCTTGGCTTAGTTATGTCGCTGAAACTTCGAAAATGACACACAGAGTCCTTCAGACAAAGGAGGAGAAGGATACATAGGGGCTACAACAATATGTTGAAGCCGGCAGATATTTCATCTCCTCATGGTAATTTGGTAGTATTTGCTCACATGTTTTATCACACATCACACTCAACCAATAGTACGACTTAAGGGACCTTAAATAACTGTTCTTGACATGCGCCCCTCAGTCGCGAATTGTACAATACGATCCTGATGAAGTGCCAGGTGAAAGTACAGTTTCCCCAAGGAAAAGCTTCATTCGAAAGCTTGAGCCTCTTGATTTGTATACGTGCAGTTGCTAGCTCAACTTCTACTCCTGATGCAAGGCGGTGTTTGATGACTCCTTGGGCTTGGGGATCAGCATCCAACTGACACCTGTTCCTGCAATCAAAGCAATCAGAACAGGCTGCAGCACGCCGACACCAATGCGAGATGCAATGACGCCCGTAATGACGGGAAACAGGGATCCACCAATCTGCCCAATGACAAACACGAACGAGAGAGCTGTTGGTTGAACCTCTGGTGAGAAGAGTTTTGATCCAACAGATATGCCCTGGAGATTGTCAGACGCCTGGCTCCTGCACAAAGGCTCATGGCACGACTTACTGTTGCGAACAACGGACCAGAGAAGAACCCAAAGAAACTGATGGCGACTGAAGCGGCGATAATGTTGGGCACCCTTGTAGACATGGACATATTAGACCTATTGCAAGCCATAAGATTCATGAATTATTAACTCACAGCCAAAAGACCAACTGGAAGGCTATGCAGAGCACCACATAGAGCAGAATCATTCTCCTCTCTCCAAGGCGATAGGTAGGCTCGGCCAAAAGTAGGCGACCAAGCATAGCCCCTCCGTTGAAGCCTGCCGGGACATAGCCCATCGCGCCGAGATTACCGCCGCGAATCTCAACGAGGTATTCGACAATCCATCCACTTGCTGTGATGGTTGCGCCAAGTAGGAAAAAGAAGAAGATACTGACCATCCACAGAGACTTGGATCGCAAAGCAGTTTTCATTAGTTGAGATGCGCTCTTTTTCTCTTCGCCATCACCCTCTGCTTCTTGCCTAGTCGCATCAGTCTTTGTACGCCCGAATTTGATGGTATCTCGGAAGGCGTAACAAGTCAGGGCGAAGTTGAGAACACCAATGACTAGCGGGAAGATGTAGAACAGATACCATCGGGATGTCTCTCCAGCCGATGCAATTGGTGTCGCGACAAATGGAGCTACTAGACACCCTGCCATGTACAACGCATGGATGAAAGCAAGCCATCGATGGGCGGCCTTGGCACTGGCTACGTAGGCATTTGCACTTGCATCTTGGTACGCTTGTCCGAGGCATACAAGCCAAAATGTGACGGCGAAGAATGGGAACGGGGGTCGCCATGCCCGGAGCGCATGAGCCAGGATTTGGAAGAAGGCGCCAAAAGCGAGTAGTCCGCCGAGGTCAAATCTTTGACGGAGGTAGGTGTTTGTGAGAGCTGCGAGGAACCAGCCGAAGAAGTTTGCTCCGTAGCTTGAAACAGAGGTCAGTGTTAGAACCTGGGACTGAGAGAAGGAGCAAAGCTTCCGCTACGCACACAATGGATACGACTGCTGTAGTGATATTATAGTCGCGGATCATGTAGGGAAGAAGAGGACCGACACTGCCGTCATTGACTCCGGAGATGAAGAAGGCGAAGCCTGCTGCTATGAGCTTCGAGAGGGTACCATTGTCGAGTTTGTCGCTCTGTTCAGCCTCTGGAGAGTCGTCAGACCCTAGCACTTGTTCTCTGCGGGGTTGCTTGGGTGTCTCGGTAAGTTCGTAAGAGTCTGTCAACGAATGTTGCTGCTGAGTGATTGTAGCCATCATTCATGAGTCTTAGAACAAGCGCAAGATGGATCTCCTACAAGTCTTCAAAAGGGCCTTCGGATGAGGCGAGCCCATTCTTTTAAGGAGGACGGGTCGCGAGGCGAGGGACGGCTGATCAACGGCTCCACCCATGCAGTCAGGTTGGTTGTTGTGCCGGAAGAGGACAATGGCTAAACTCCGGAGGATCAAACCGAGACCGTGTCCTGGCACACTGTACGGGCCCCGAAAGGTGCCGGTCGATCTCTCCATAAAATGGCGGGGTGGACCGGAATTTCGGGCGCGCTTCCGCCCAATTATTCCGGACTGGCCCCGGCTCATCACGCAGGGCAATTTGGTGGTATCCTTCATTTCTGGCCGCTTACCATTCTCAACACTTAGGTAGCGCCTGGATCCTGAAAGGGTTGCGAGACTGAATTGCTTCTCCGGTTTCAAAGGCTATCTGCGCACAAACATTAGTTCAGGATACAAGCCGTTTACATACTGTAATTACATGAGTCTTGAGTTCTAAGAAGCATACTACAAATGCCACTGCTATTAACGCAATGATTTTCAGCGAGTATATATGAAAGAGCGCTGTTTTAAATGGCCCATCAAATTCTCTATCTCGAGTAAGCAGGCTTGTTGTCTTTGCAGATCATAAATCCCCGACTTGGCCCGTCTTAGTCTAGGATCACTCTTCTACGCGATTGACTATGACTACCAGCGGTAGATCCTCTGAAACCAACTAGAGACATGTTGAGTTTGTCCATTTTGAGTGTTGGGGACATCACGATGATAAGCTAGCGAAAACATCAATAAATACTATTTCCATAATCGAAACATGAGGGCTTTTCAACCTGAGTTCGACTAATTGGAACCTAAGGCAGTGCCTGAGGGTCTATGACCCTACCCAACGAACCTTGTGAAAGTTCAACCCCTTCTAAGAGCTCAATGTTTGAACGATCGCTTATGAATATTAGCTCTAAACCAACTGACCTTGAAATATCAGCATAGTGAAAGGTCACTTCAAGGTCGTGTTCAATATCCGTTCAAAAAAAAGTATGAGACATCACCGAGTACAGAAGCTGTTGATGGCAAGAACGTTATGTAGTTGCCTAGGTACGAAGTGAGTAGGCGTTGAAGCATCGCTGGGTGCCAAACGCCAGAAGTATGCTGTCCACCCTCTCGGCCCCGAACCTTTGATGATATATCCCGGCTTCTTCGGAAACTGTGCAAGGCAAGGCACATGGAGAAATGATTTGTATTTCGCAGAGTAAACCTTACGGCACCGGCAGTACCAGCCTAATGGGTAGCCCACCACTTCCAATGCACTGAGATAGCTAGAGCGAGTGTGACACCCACTCCGAACACACTCATCATTATGACCTGCATGATTGAGTCTACCACTGCTTGCTCAAGACTCTACTCGCAGTGTTTTAAATGAGCTAGGGCATCTTATTTTAAGAGAAAATGGCCCGCAAACACTAATACGGCGACAACCTTGAGAAAAATGCTACATGTGGTCTGATCAACTTTTACATGCCTTTTGCGGCGCTGTAGAACTGAGACCTGTTCCCAAGGCATTTTCATGGTGTAAGGTATTCATGCCGAAACCTTCGTTCGACGGCAAGTTGTTACTCCTACCTTGGGGAGCTGTCGTTCATGTACGATGCGACACAGTAACGGCGGTTGACACTCGGTCGTTCGTGAGATCAAGTAAAGGGGGAGGCGTTTCGCGGATTTCCCGATACAGGAAACGTCAAGTCATATGCAAAGAAGACAACCTTCGGCGCAGGAACGGTGCGTGTGCTGCCTTAGCGGGGTTGTTCCTGTTGTTCCTGAAATAGTACGGTTTCATGCGTCCTTGATCAGACGAGAAAGTCTAAACCTTTACCCTTCAAATCAGATGTAGAGGGATCCCCCACGTTGGAAATGCGCAATTGTACAACGGCCGAGATCTTGTTGTTGTGTTTAACGTTTTTTTTTATTGAATATAATCTCAACCAACGCGAGAGGAGCTCACACAATGGAACACCAAATAATCAATTCTTGCCTTCCGCACGTACACGAATTTGTGAATCTTCTGTCCCAGACAGCGACTGGAGGTTTTGAATGTATAGAAACGAGTGAAATAGTAGAATGGAAAAATTGTAGGCGGAATGTCGCCCAGTAGTACCCGTGAGTGAAAGTACAACAGGCAAGCGGCACAAGAGTTTGATCATAGATCACCAGCCGAAGTTGGCCATGGGGTTTCGCCGCTTAACGAAACTCGCTCGCCGGCGTCTGTCAAATGCCGCTCCAGCCGATTTCCCTGCGGCTGCTGCTCCCTCTCCCCCAGCAGCCGCCTCCTTTGCCTTCTTAGCCTCGGGATCGTCATCCTTTCCTTTGCCTTTGCCTTCAGGTCCCCCGGCGGCTTCCTCAGCAGGACCAGCGGCACCCTCGAGGCCGTTGTCCTTGGCCTTTTTCTTCGCCTCGGGGTCATCGTCTTTGCCCTTGCCCTTAGCCTTACCATCTGGACCTGCCGGCGCGGTTCCGTTGACGGCCGCCCCTGGAAGAAGTGCCGCCTTGCCCTTTGCCTTCTTATCCTTCTTGGCCTTTCCATCCGGTCCAACGGCTTCGGTGCCGTTGCCTGCGGCTCCAGGGATTGCTCCATTCAACTTCTTCGCATCCTTGCCCTTGTCCTTCTTTCCCTTCTTGCCGGGGGGTGCAGGTACTGTTCCATTGGCAACAGCCTGACCGGGCCCAGCAGCACCTGCTAGCTGTCCTTCAGCCTTCTTCTTGGCGTCATCCTTTGCCTTCTTAGCATCGTCCCTTGCTTTCTTTGCGGCGTCATTCTTGCCCTTGCCCTTCTTATCCTTCTTCTTCTTCTTGCCGGCAGGATCAGTTCCATTTGCTGCGGGAGGAGGAGGTGGAGCTTGAGCTGCGGGCACAGCAGGTTGAGCAGGAGGTGGCGGGGGAGGAGCGTTCGGGTCAGGAGCCGGTCCATCTTCGGGAGGAGGGGGAGGTGCCTCGCCATCCGGTGGCGGAGGAGGAGCATTGGGATCGGGAGCAGGACCTCCATCAGGAGGCGGCGGAGGAGGAGCGTTTGGGTCAGGAGCCGGTCCTCCATCAGGAGGAGGTGGTGGCGGCTCCGCATTCGGATCAGGTGGCGGCGGGGCTCCATCAGGAGGAGGCGGTGGAGGCGCGTTCGGATCCGGAGGAGCAGCATTTGGGTCAGGAGGTGGTGGTGGTGCCCCGTCAGGTGGTGGCGGCGGGGGAGCACCGTTCGCTGGAGGCGGCGGTGGAGGAGCAGCGTTCGGGTCAGGGGAAGGCGGAGGAGCGGCATTTGGATCGGGAGGCGGCGGTGGTGCACCATTCACGGGAGGAGGCGGTGGTGCTGCTCCATTTGCCGGGGGAGGGGGTGGAGGAGCTTGTCCCGCGGCTGGTGGTGGTGGTGCTGCCGGTTGAGCTTGAGGAGCTACATCCGGAGTTCCATCGCCTAGGAAGTAGAATCAGCTTCTGGTTCCCTTATGGTAAAAAGTCGATCGTGAAGACGAACCTTGTGCCTTGTTGTTACTGCCGAGGGCAGACAATACACTGTCAACATCCAACTTTTGTATGAAGTTTCTGAGATTTAGGCCTCGTGCCTTTACGGAGGCAACATTCAAAGCCCGCTTTGTATCTTCCGAGACTTCATTATTTCGCCGAGTATCGTAATTGGCCGTTACCGCCGCGTTGAACAGCAACGCTGCCACGGCGGCTTGGCGCCATGAGAGAGTGAAAGTCATCGAGACTTGATGTACTAAACGAACATAGAGACTAGGTAGTTGTCGTAAAGTGAGAACATCTGTGGCGTCAAGCCTAGCAGAAAAGGAGAAGGAAAGGAAAGGAAGTCCACGCAGTAGACTATAAAAAGAAAAAGAACGAGATGAAGAGAAACGATGAGGCGAACGAGGAGGTTGGGGGCAGAAGATCCGGACCGAGAGAGAAGAGATGAAATTCTCGGCCTAGATATAAAGTCGTTCGCCGAAGAGGTGTGGTTGCGTGATGCTCCACTAGGCTTAGTCGGCTGAATTTCCTCTTCTCCGGACAGCCGCCACGGTGATGGTTATCCGACCCAGACACGACCAGACACAACTAAGTCAAGTGCAGGGGCCTGTTTGAGGAGCGCGCTGAACAAAAGGATCGTGAGTTCCAGGATGACTGACCCCAGTGGGACCGAGTGTAAGATCTAGGCTCAGGGGGCAAGCTCGAGGGGGCAAGTGAAGGAGAGCAGCTCGCCACAGAACAGTTCGAAGCCACGCTCGAAAGTCTCTGACTTGAGGACAAGTGATAGAAACGGCGCTGTGACAGGCTTCGACAAGTCGGCAGGTCCAAAATTAGACCCAGAGTCGAGACGATCCGGACTCATGGATGGACTGCACAGTAGGTGCTCACAGACGATCTTCAACGCAGTATTACCCTTGAGAAAACACACGGACAACGCGAACAAGGCTCATAGACAAGCTTATTCATGTCAACGTTGCGGCGGCCCGCGGGCATGTGCGCTTGGGTCCCAGGAAGTCTTAGTGAAGTGCCTCAGAGCACTAGAAAAGTGCCACTTTCTCAAATCAGTCGTGCGGGGAGTTTGTCACTTGTGATGTCGACACACGAGAGATGTTAAGCAGGTGTAGGGGAGAAAAGTGTCCGCCGCCGTGGAGGGCAGGGCTATCCCGTGCGCAGCGGGTCAAGCAAGGCATGAGAACCACACCATTGCAAGGATGATCAATAATACCTCGTCTTGCTGGAAAGAAGAAGATGGATTGTCATGATTGACCGTGCAGTAGCAGCACTAGTGACAGATTCGGAATGGTGGGGGAGAGTTGCTCGAGGAAGAACCGTTTCAGCTACGGGGCCATCTCTACCCGGAATGCCTTCTTCGCTGAGAGCAAACTGTGGCCCTCGCGAGTGTCTGAGCGTGCTGTCACACCAAGTCGCAGATGTGTGCCAAGAGGGGTTGACATTGCACAGCAGTGAACCTGGGAGGAAAACTCAAATGCTATCAGATGACTATTTAAAAGTCGGCAAACCCGTTTCAGCATGTTTCCCTGGGAGCCTTTAGCGCCCTCACAGATCTAGGCATAACTTTGGAGGCTTTATCTTAAGACACTATCATAGCCGCCTAGCACACAGGTCGTCTCAGACTTGGAGGCCACGGGGCCACATGCCTGGAAAAGGAACTCTGTACAGCCGGAATACTCTGGAGTCAGGTTCGTGGGAGAGATGGACTGATTCATCCGCTTCGGTCATCTGAAAGATCAGTCTGTCAACGTAAAAATGCATGCAACCTCCAGCCTCCATTTTCCACTCCAAGGTTTTTGAATGACGAACGATAGACAGATGACGACTGCCACTTACCTCAGTGTCAATTGAGGCCCAGCCAACTGGTTACTTCCATCGACCTGCACACATGGAACATCCACGACCAAGCCGATGCTTGACATCTGCGAACGTGTTCTCGTCATCTCCAATTCCCAAGACTGAGCGACTCAGCGCGGATGCAAAGTGCCATTGACAAGGAAGCACAATCAGTCCCTACCACAAGCCCGTGCAACACCTCGCCTACAATCAAGTGATTCAATGTACTTATAAAGCCATGTGTCATTCTCGACTGCCCCTCAGCATTTTCTGTGACACTGTGATACAGTAACAACAGTATTGCTTCCCCGTAGCAACAATAGCACTTGGACCAAGCGGCAGATCGCCGTTAGATGTTTGCGATGCGCAGGGAGATTCACGCTATCCATGTCTGCGAGGTGCTCGTAGCCATAACCCTGGCTGTTTTTCAGACGCACGCTGTCGAGAGTTGCCACAGCCACATTTCATTTGATGACAAAAGTCCGCAACCCTCATATCTTCCATGTACTGTTCGGCGCAGTATTATGATTATACCAGCGTAGACAAAGTCATCTTCAGCACGGCAAAGCATGATAGTAAGGTCGTATCGAATGGAGACATCAGATGTGCACGAACAGCCGTTGACTAGATACCACCCTATTGAGGCCAGTAGCCAAGAAACGTCCAACATCAGGCGCCAAGAAGCGCACAGATGAGAGAATTTAACCATAGAGAGATGTAACCCGGCCCCATATCCATCGCATAATTAGTTTCAACTTGGATGGGTCGAATGTCCTTTCAACCCTCGGCCAATATGGCTTCTACCTCACATAGGTAGCTCGCGGCGAAACATGCCGACAGTAGCGACGCCCAACTATCAGCCATAGCGTGGTGTAAAAAGGCGCGTCACATTTTCATTCAGATCTTGATGCTTATACCTGACTTAACTACTGTGTGGCGGAGATCAGTCGATTAAGCATTCAGCCCAAGTAGCGGCCAGCCAACAAGACTCGGGCTCAGTTGAACATGATTTCTTTTTGTTCGGTGTAGTCAATTTGCTACTTTAGTCATGCATAATCGCCTGGATACTTTTTAAGAGTAAAACTACACATTTAAGTCACATTCGCTCGTCAAGCTTTCTCTCGTCTTTTTGTTTGTCTCGGAGAAATCATGTTTTTGAGTTGTGGCCGGCTCGCAGCACACTCGCAAAAGGCTGCCGATTGTATACTAGACAATACTATGTTGGGGGAGACAAGAAGGGCTCGCGACCTAATGTGGACGACAATTTAGAGAATAGAGATTGGTCCCGGATCTCTTCTGATCGGAACAAAGCCTAACGTGGCAACTAAAACCCAGTCGTTGGCAGAGGGCCATGTGAGGATGCCCTCTGCCAATTTTCATTCAGGCGCTTTTACGACCAAACCATATAGAAATTGAATCATGTTAATTACTCTCCGGTACGATACATTAGCCTGACAACCCGGAGCAACCTTCGTGTGCGACTCGGTGCTCAATAGATAAAGCACTTGGTTATCTTGTTACCGAGAAAACACGACGGTATCGGGAAACTCTTACTCGCAAGAGTCACAGCCTCAACAAATCGGCTGGTGTTGTCCTAAGACCAAAGGTGTTGCAGCAGAAGACGGAAGACGGTCTTGTTCTCCAGCTCATTGCAGCGTTAACCGTGCACTTGTCGCCAGTGTTAGTACTTGCAACGCCCTAGTCACTCCCACACGCGATACTCTATCGGGCTTGTGATGCCGGTATTGGTGAAACGTGCGAAACTCCAATTCTCTGTCTGTTGCCTCCACGAGGATCCGCCCTCGTAGCAGACCTCGTTCTCGCTATCCGAAGCATTACCTGAATGGAATGATGGAAATTATCCACTTTATGAAATTCTCTCTGTTACAATTTACAATGCCTTTTTTCCCGTTTGGAAATGCCCCGACGCTTGCAAAAATGACCAAGTTCTGTTGAATGAGAAAATTTGCTACCGCTCCAGTTTCTTGCAGATTCATCGCAATAGAGTTCCATTCTGCCCGATCACTCGCGGCCCTGAAGCTTAAAATAAATGCGGGCGAACACCATATGCTTGATTTTTGGTTTCACCTCTGCAGTGACACTGACAGGCTCACAGACGTCCGAACATCTGAAGTCAACTTACACGTAAACATCCTTGAGGCTCAATTCATGGGCATACCTGGCACAACTCCCGCCTCAAGCTGAAGGGGCAAAAAATCTCGCCATCATCCGCGGGAGGCCATTTGGGGTATGCCCTGCAAGAAACGGTCTGGCATAATCCGACACGTAACGTAAGGTGCCTTTTGACGTTGATGAAAAACCCTCCGTCCTCCGACTTTTCTCTCTGGAAGTCTCTTGCGAATCATGGTGTTGCCATTATGTCTGGCCCTTGTCCAAATCAAGGAACAAAAATCTGCAAAGTGTTTCCAGCCTCTTCCTCCTGTTTAAATGCATCTAACCCTTTTGATCGACACCATTGGCGCTAGTGTCGACTGATGTTGGGGACAGGCCCTGCGCCAAGAGAAAGGTCATCTTGTAGCTACAGATCGGCCCATTCCACAACACTAGCTTGTTGATAACCCTTCTCGTGTTCAAAACAACTCTTACATGGCGTGTGATGACTAACATCGACTAATTACTTGCCGGGGTCCCCCGCAATCTGCTGCTCCCCCGGATCCAGGGTGGCCCCGTAAGCCCGGTTCCCCGCAATCCGGATGGCCGCCAAATTAAGTCCAAGGCTGCTTCTGCATCGTCCAACCATCTTCGTCCCATTGTAACCTTCATCGTAATATTGCAAAGGACGCCTCGTGAGCCGCATCTGCAGCCGCAGTGGCAGCAAGAAACCATGGCAACACAACAGATAAGCTCGGGGACACCCATCCCTGTGGCCGATGATGCTGCATCTCGTCGCGCGAAGAAGAGGGAACTGGACCGACGTGCGCAGCAGGCTGCCCGGGAACGGAACAAGAATCGCATCGCTTACCTAGAAGCGACGATTCAGGCCATGAGCGAGCAGGAACAGAACGGAAAGATCGCCAGCTTGATGAACCAGCTGTCTGACATGACGAGACAAAGAGACACCCTGTCGAAAACACTATCCTCACTTGAGACAACAATACAAGTCCACCGTGAAGGCGAACGTGCCGATACTTTACAGGACCGAGCATTACAACCTGGGGTAAAGGGTTCCAATTGTCAGCCTTGGTCCAGCGCTTATGAGCGTTCAACCGCGTTCGACATTGACGTGGAAGATATGCCCTTGGATGTCTTCACCCCCAGCATTTCCGCCATGACTTGGGGAGTCCCGGTATTTGACGCAACCGGTCATACTCTTGCAACAGAGAAGGAACTGTCCAACAGAGTCCCCGCTCCATCTACCCTCACCCTGGCAGGGAACCCTAATCTGGAATGTCTATCCGACTCCCCTCCGCCTCGACGTCAAGGCGATGGTGTGATCGTACCGGAGCCAGACAGCGCCTGTGAGTGTTTGGGATCAAGGCAGGATCCTCAAAGTCCCGGACCATCTACGACAAGTCTATGGAGATCCGCAAACGAAGCTCTTGGCGCCAGCGAAATGCTGTCGAGGAGTGTACTGAATATGGAAGACGAGATGAGCGATGACATTCCGGTCCGCGTAATACTAGAGGGATGGGATGCCGTCGAAAGATCAGGGAAACTACCGCCTCTGTGGAGAAGGCTGCGCCATACCGATACCCTCCAGTTCAAGAACTGTCCGGATACCGAACGGCTGGCTATCCTGAGACTCATGCACCGCCTCCTCCGGTACCAAGCCGAGCCCACAGTCGAACAATGCGCCAAGTTACCAGCATGGTATCTGTCGTACAAAAACGAATCCGTAATTGCCGGCCAGCAATTACGCCTTATTTACCACAGTATCTCAGCAGGTAATCAACTGGATTCGGTCGGTAGCTATTGTGGGATTTGCACTGACAAATATCCAAAGACCGTCCCAATCACTACCTCATTCCTCCGCGATAGACTTCTTCGTCTGGTGAGTCTAGTCTTTCCCCAATGACAAGATTTCCATGTGAAGAAGACTTGTTTACCTTTGCCCCGCTTTATAAAATAGGCCAGGCGTTCGAGAGCGCTTTGTGTTTTCACAGCATCAGTACTGTTCAAACTTGTTCTGGGAGGTATTCGCAAGCAGCTTCCGAATCATGTGGCCTTTTGAGTTCCGCGATTGCTACCGGCGAAACATCGAGACAAGGCGATACTGCGTGGCCCCAGAGTTCGAGGACAGAATTCGCGATATCAACTCCTGGACCATGTCGTCAGACTTCTTCAACCACTTCCCAGAGATGTATGCCGACATCCCAAAGAGGTCTCCTTAATATCTCCGCTACGGCGGTTTTCGCAACAAACGAACGTGCACCAGAAGGAAGAGATACCTCAAGTACAGCTCTCCTTCCCACACAACTGATCAACACCGGGCACCCTACGGCGGCACTGAGGGTCACGATGGCTGCGACTGCCCCTTTAAATGCCCGTTGTGTAACGGGCCTCACGCCGCCTTCGATACGACTTGCCCTATCTAACCCAAAGTGGTGAAGGGGGTAGTCTAGAGGAGGGATAAGGCTCAGCTACGGGCCATCCGAGCTGAGGGAGAAAGATTATAGAGAAATACGACCCAGCAGTCGCATCGATATTCCCATAAAGAAGAATAAGCAATAAACTATACCCCGGCGAATAAAATACAAAAAAAGAATACAGCCCTCTAAAACCTTATAAATCATATAAGCGAATATAAGCAAGCGGGCATCCGCCCACGAAACAGCACTAAACCTAGCTTACGCAGCCCAGATCGATATACTCCTAATACAAGAACCGTCTATCCGTTCGGAGGAGAGGAGGCTTATAAGACACCACCCAGGTTTTAAGACTTTCACCCCAGTAGATAACTAGACCAAAGACCGTCCCAGGGTACTTACTTACCTCCGCAGAGGAACTAGGGTACAAGGCGTATAAACACGGCCTCTACCCGATCCATCCACAGACCTGCTCTTCTTACGACTCCTCTTAAGAACGAAGGAGGTCCTTATAGTTATTAACGTATATAACGCCCCTCGTAGCTCTCTACGATCTGGCCAGGCTCTCAGGAACATCCTAGCGGCCTAGCAACCCAAACCTGAGGATCGAGTACTGATTACGGGGGATTTTAACTTATACTATTGGACGTAGTAGCCCGAGGCCACGAGTTCCCCGGACGCTGAAAACCTAGTAGAATGGGCAGAAGCCGCCAGCCTTGTCCTAATGTCACCTATAGGTGAACCCACGCACAAAGGCGGCAACACCCTAGATTTATGCTGGGCGTCCAGCAACCTCCATGGGGCTTCTACTAGCATAGAAACGTCACTATACACGACATCAAACCACGAATCTCTGCTTACCCGGGTCCCCTTGGCCCTGATCGATTCACCCAGCCAGACCCCGGGAAGGTTTCGGCTCGACACGATGGACGAGGAGCTTTTCCTCAGCATCATCAAACGCAACTTATAACCTATACGCCGCACTACAAACAACATCCAAGACCCATAGTCTTTAGATCTCCTAGCACAACAGCTTACGGACTGTCTTATTAAAGCACTCACGGCTTCCACAAAGCGCACGCTCGGGAAAAGTATAGGGAGACCATACTAGAGCGAAAGCTGTATACGTAAACACCGAGCCTATACGAGTAAGCGAGCGATATTAGTAAGACTCCGCGTAGCCGGAATGAACTACTAATGGGAAGAAGAGGAGGTCGAAGCTCTAAAACAGGATTTCCTCTACGAGTTTAAACGCTCCAAGGATGCCTTTTGGAAAGATAAGATCTCCTTAGCCTCCTTAAGTAAAGATATATTTAAAATGGTCGGTTAGCATAAAGCCATAGGATCCTTTTAGACCACGCTACTCCGAGATGTAGATAACCAAGACACGCTTGTCTTATAACCAAAAGAGAAGCGCGACTTATTTACCCGCGTCCTCCTTAGAAACGCTGCAATCTCCGAGGACATACCAATAGAAAGCCCAGTATTATAAAGGAAAGGTATGCTTCCTTTCCCGCAGGTTACGAAGGACGAGGTACGGTCTTCGGTTCTCACCACGGGAAACACGACTCCTGGGACCGACGGAATCACTACGGCTACTTTAAAAATAGCATAGCTAGTTATCGAGGATATTATCCTCTCACTTTATAGCGGGTATATACGCGAGGGTTAGCATCCTATTTATTTTAAAAAAGTAACTCTCGTGATCCTAGCAAAACCGGGAAAAAGAGATAAGACACTCCCGCGCTCCTATAGGCCAATTACGCTCTTAGCCGTCCTCGGAAAAGGCTTAGAGAGACTTATCGCTAGACGACTTACCTAGATCGTAGTTAAATATTGTGTTCTATACGATCAATAGTTTGGAGCACTCCCTCTTCGCTCTTGCAGCGACCTCATCGCAACGGCCATCTACGATATCGAGTGCGCCTAGCAAAGAGGCCTAGTTACCTCTATACTTACGCTCGATATAAAAGGGGCTTTCGACGCCGTGCTTCTAGGACGACTGGTCCGATGCTTTTACAAATAAGGATGGCCGGAGAACCTCATATGCTAGGTCTTAAGTTTTGTTACCGGAAGGAGAGTAAGAATAAGGCTTGATAGGGAGGTAGGAGACGTCTTCGGTCTCGAATACGGACTACTATAAGGCTTATCCGTATCTCCTATTCTATTTATACTCTATATTAAACCTCTTTTTAAGCTAGGTATAGCTCGCCTAGGAAGGAAGCGATCTTGTTTTGGCTACGCCGATAACGTCGCTATCTTATTAAGCTCAATATCACTAGAGAATAACTATAATATCCTAACTAAGGAATAAAAAGAAACCTTAGGATAGGGCGCGACGGAAGGAATTACTTTTAACCTCGATAAGTCCGAACTAATCCACTTTACTAAGAAACGAAAAGATAAAAACCCATTAATTATAGTAGGTTTGCCGGATAGAAGGTATCATACAGTTCAGGCTATCAAAAAAGGCTCTTCTCTACGCTAGCTCGGCGTTTACTTCGACCGTAAACTCATATTCAAAAATTACGTAAAAAACCTCTCCGTAAAAACATACCAAGTAGTCAATAGTCTACGGGGACTAGGGAACACTATCTAGGGCGCACCTACGTACTTACTTCGTCAAGCGATCACCTCTTATATACTACCTATTTAGTACTATATATCTAAAGTATAGTAGCCCGGCAAGAGCCGGATAAAGAATAGACGTACTATCTCAAACGCGGTTAGTAATCTACTACACTAACTAGACGCAACGCAAACCAAAGCCATCAGAGCGATAGTCCCCATATACAGAACTACGCCTATACCGATCCTATAGTGCGAGGCGGCTCTACCCCCAGCAGAGGTGATACTAGACGCGAAGCTCCACACAACGTCCACTAGAATCCATCGTCTGGACGAGCGACACCCTCTCCAAACGAGACTCAGGGACAAATCAGGACTAAACTCACGGCTACGACGAATAACAAGCCTCATAAGCAAAAATACCGAATACATCGATCCGTTAGAACTCCCCCCTTGGGAGCAACTAGCGGACTGGTAGACAGCCCTCGCCAGGGTCGGCTACGAACCTAATAAAACCAAAGAAGAACAGGCCCTCTCCTTTTCAGGCAGGATAGCAACTTTCTCTAAGCAGGACATTATTATCTATATTAACGAGTCCTAGATATCGGACGGCAGTAGTACCTCCGCCGGAGCAGGCTGGGTAGGGTACCAAGCTATACGGCAGATCTTCCACGGATCCAAACTACTCGGCTCCTAAACTAAGGTATATAATGCGGAGGCATATACTACGTATCACGGCCTAATAGAAGCCACCCGGGCTCCTACGACTCGTATAGCAGATAACGTCCACATCTACCTCGACAACCTCGCAGTCGCGGCTAGACTATACTCTCAGAGCACAGGAAGCATCCAGGCTAGATTTAGGGCCTTCAATAGGCTCTCTTCCTCCTAGACTCGGAGACAAAGAGAGAGCTGGACAACCCCCGGCAGGGTTTATGTTTGGTGGTGCCCTGGGCACACGGGAGTACCAGGAAATGAAGAAGCGGATGCTCTAGCCAAGGAAGCCTGCAAACTAATCCCAAAATCACAACCACAGCCCTCATTAGCGCACCTAGAAATGCAAGATAAAGCAGCTACCTTCCAAGCCTTTGCCAGAAAATAGCTGTCCCAATGCCCTCGGTAATATGCCGACCTCGAGATAATTCTTCACCCCAAGCCGCCTAAACTCCGCCTCCCTCGGCACTTACTAAGAAGGCTATACGCAGCAAGATCCCATCATGGAGACTTTGCAGCATACCACGAGAGATTCGCTCATCAAGATGCGTTGCTCAACTGCAGCTGTGGGAAACCCAAGACACCAGTCCATTTCTACTTCTGCAAGCGTGGACGCAAGGCTACACCGCGCTACCTCCGCCAACGTATGGCTAAAGCAAGTATTGATTTCTTGTTAGGTTCTGCTAAGGGAGCCTCTCTTCTATGCGAATGGATAGAGGAGACCAATTTCTTTTCCGAAATTTGCCCGAGTCATTGAACAGGAACGTTAGGTGAAGACGGTAGCCTGTAACATAGTTTAGATTAGCATAGACCATATCGGCATAGCGCCCGGCACGTCCTTTTGTTACCAGACGTTAAATACATCATCATCATCATCATCATCATAATCCACCTCATGTTTGTGCCAATTGCTGCGTGTTATAACTTGTGGCAGTTACCAACATGACCAAAACCCCCCGAAGGATGGAGTAAACAACGCCCTTTGCTAAGCTAGGCCGTGTGGTTTGGGCACGAAAAACAGCTAAGCTTTCTCAGTTAGATTCATCCCACCGGATGCTGAATGGCGTCAGTGTATGCACAAACTTCCCCAGTTTTCTCCAATTCTACTCTTTCATACGTTTCTTTGATTCGTAGTTAGACCGAAATTCAAGATGGATTAACGTTTGATTCGCTATTACCCCTCAGCAGCGCAATGAGGTACTTACGCCGCTCAGTTCTGTGTGGGATTATCCGATGCTTCTCGTTTCACGTCTACGCTTTTAGCTGTCGTTTAACTCATGCATGCGAATCGCAAACGCGTCCTCGAGAATCCCATCAAGTTGCTATGCGGCTTCTTCATGGCTTGTGCCGGCCGTAAACGATAGAAACTGCCATACTTATTTTGAATCGCCACATCATGGAAACATCTTCTACGCGGCGGAAAGGTGGGATCCATTCCACTCGCTCAGCCTACTTTCAGGTCACGTTCCCAATCATACTCTAACATGCGACAGCATACGATCTTTGTTTTCAAAAGAAGATCAAATGTGACATGCTGAAGCCTGCATGTTCGAACTGTTTGCTGTACGAGTCAGAATGCCGAACGACAATCGTAAAGCGGAGGGCACTACGCTCCAAGGGAAGACCACGGCCACACCAGCAGAGCGAATCTGAAGAGTGAGTCGCGCCCATCATGATCATTTTTGGCAAACTTCCAACGTAAATTCAGTCCAGGAAAGGTCTCCGAATTAGAGAGTCGTCTGGCGAGCATAGAGAGGGTAGACAGCCACTTCAGAAGAAGCCAGCTGTACCAGCTCCGTACTTAGCAAAGCAAAGTGGGCAAAGCATTCATGTCTGAAGTGTCAACATGTCGCACCCGGCAAGTGCCCTGCAATAAAATAGACCTGAAGAAGCTTGTCAAGATTGATCAACCGCCAAGGAACCTTACCTACATTTGCCGGTATGCGTGCCTGATTCCATTGACCCGGCCATCGGGAGCACGCAGGCACTAGTGTCGATTAAATCCGATCAGAGACAAAATGGAGACAATCAAAAGGGCGGCCATATGGTTGGCATCCGGCATCACGGAGTTGTAACACATCGTAGAAATCCCTGTGTTTTCTCCGTGGAACGCCGTGGAGTACGCCGGGCCGGTGCCAAAGCCCGATCTGTGCTGCCTTTGTGGGGCTCCGTCGCCACTATGACACTACCCGGAGAGGCATTCGTCGCTAGCACTGTTCTTCTCGGACTCCAACGGTCCCGGTCGTAATTTGTCGCCCGACACGGCGCTCCGTGGAGTAGACACTTTTCGGCGATGTCTCATGGCGAAGATGTGGCGACCAAAGGCAACAAAGACGAAGCCATCGTCTCAGCATCAAATAATTACAGAATATTTCCAGCTATAAGAATGGGATACTCTCTCGTCGACTTCCATCATGCTTCTAAGAAGTTTGAACACACATAAGCCATCTCATACCAATCAGATCCATATCCTCAGCCCGACACCAACGTTACAAACAGCGAATCGAAATGTCTGCTCGTTACGCAAGTGAAGCTGTCAGCCCGGAGCCACTGGCTCAACCCTTGGCTTTCGCCTTCTCCAATAAGAAAGCCAAAAAATCGTTTCTTGAAGAGTGCAGTGGCTGAGAATCTGGCCACGTGGAGTGGAAGCTCAAGCGACCAATCCAAGAGGGGAGTTCCCACACCGGAACTTGTTGAGGTCTATCGCCGGTAAGTCACACTTTTCCCAGATTCCTTCCACCGCCCAAACTCATTCACAAGGCGGATGTTGTTCTGAGACTAACAAGTTGTACTGCAGTTGGGGTGAAGGTCCAAACAGCTTTGGTGTCATCGTCACTGGCAAGATTGATGTCGAGTTCGACTGCATGAGCAGCATTGGCGACATGATCATTACCCCCGAGTGCAAGCTTGAGGGGGAACGGTTCGAAGGGTTCAAGGCCGTGGCTGCGGCTGGCAAGGCTGATGGTAGTCTCATGCTGGGTCAAATCACCCACGCCGGGAGACAAGTTCAAAACAAGATCCAACCCAACCCGATTTCGGCTTCGGCAATCGGACTTGGTATGTAATATCTCATCCCACCATCGTTCAAATCACGATTAACCTGACAAACTTAAGAACCTAGAATGGGTATGGAATTTGGCAAGCCCCGTGAAGCGTCCAAGGAAGATATCAACCGCGTCATTGAAGGGTTTGCGCATGCAACCGAGTACCTTGAGAAGGCCGGCTTCGATGGAATTCAGCTCCACGCGGCACCACGTCGTCTCATCGCCCAATTTCGATCCCGTACCACGAACCAACGTACGGATGAGTACGGGGTCCAAACACTCGAGAACCGTACCCGTCTCATCGCCGACATTGGCAAGGCCATCCGCAAGCGCACATCTCCTGATTTTATCCTCGCAGCAAAGCTCAACAGCGTCGAATTCCAAGACGGCGGCGTCACCCCTGAAGATGCTCAGGAGCTTTGTGCATCTTTTTCGGACCTAGGCTTCGATTTCCTCGAGATCTCGGGAGGTACGTTCGAGGAGCCAGCCATGTCTTGGAAAAAGGAGTCCACTCGTAAGCGGGAGGGCTTCTTCCTAGAATTTGCCGAGACCGTCGTCGCGGGTCTGGGAGACCGGGACACACGCAAGACCAAGGCGTACATTGTGGGCGGTATGAGAACCGTCGGAGCAATGGTAAAGGCCCTTGATATTGTCGACGGCGTCGCCTTGGCTCGGCCCGCGGCTCAGGAGTTCCGCATCCCTTCTGATATCCTTGAGGGACGCACTACAGGAGTAATTCGTCCGGTCCAGATGGTGGAGGACGATTTCGGGCTTGGGGTCGCCGCAGCAGGTGCGCATATTCGACAAGTTAGCAAGGGACAGGAGCCTTTCGACTCGAGCAACCCTGTGGTGATCGGAACTTTCACCTCAGACATGCAAGCATGGTATCAAGATATGCTTGCCGATGGATACAAGCTTGAACATCACCGTGGGGTAGACTTCTCCGGAAAGGCGGTGCCGTACGGTAGTGATACGGTAGCCTAGACGATGAGTTCCAGCAGGTTGCATCGACTGGGGGCAGATGAATTCAAGGTTTCCTTTACAGTTTTACCCTTTTGTTTGTAATTCTCTACATAAACTTCCATAAAGGTCGGAGTTCATATCGCTACAAGTTTTGTGCATTAGACGTGCAGCACCCCATACAATATACTACGGAGCTACAACAGAAGAGCCTAGACCAGTCCAAATGGTACTTATCTGCATTTAAGCCATCATGATTCGTGAGCCAGACTCCCGGGTCTCTTCTCCCGAGTAAAGGGTTAACGTTAACCAACTCTTGGCTGGCGTTGATCTAGCGGTTGCCAAGGCGTGGTTGATGAGCGGAGGTTGAGCTACTGACACATGGTCGAAGAGTCTGCGACTCTGACTCTAGCGCCCTGACTCAGTGGCGTCATTCTCCCTGCAATCTCATGACAGATTTCCAGCGAATCATCGAATTGCTTATGAGACTTTGCGTCTTGCAAGGCACGTTCTAAGAGTCCGGATTAGGTGCTAGTTGTGCAGGACGAGACTAGGTCCCCTGCACTACCCCGGATTACCCCGCATCCAACCTATCTCTCGGAGTTGCTAGGCGTTGAGCGGAATGGAGGCTTGCTTTGAGGCTTGCTTCAGTCTGAATTAGGCCCATTGGTGTGTGATGGAAACAGATCACTATCGCATACTGATGGATACGTCTGTCTTGGCGATGACTCCTGTTGGAGACCCCTGCGAATACTTAAGAGAATGATCAGCGAGCCTTGCAGAATGGATTTTGGGTTTGATCTGTGGCAGGAGTTCGGTGTCTTGCTTCTTCTCCCTACGTATTAAACTCACGAGGCACAGGTCAACTAAGATGGAACAACGAACGGCTTCTAACGATCTTCCCCAAGGTGATGAGGAACTGGGCACCCGTGTCATTGACGAAAAGACCCACGATTCAACCCACGTAGAAGATGTAAAGGGACAAGATGTTGGGCAGATCTGCGGGCTCACCGAAGCTGAGCAGAATAAAATCATGTACGCCACCATGCCACGTTCATCATGTGCAACGGACAACTCTAACCAAGAAATCAGCCGTCGTATCGATATTCGTCTGCTTCCGATTTTAGGCATAATGTACTCGATCTCCCTCATCGACCGAACGAATCTCGGCCTTGCCTTAGTTGCGGGCATGCAAGAAGATCTAGGTCTGGCTGTGGGCAACAGATACACTGTTATTGTGATGGTGTTTTTTGTTGCATACATGTTCGTGCCTCTATTTTGATTCGATGGAAATTGACTTTGGCTAACGAGTTCAAAAAGTCTCTTCGAAATACCTAGCGTACGGCTTTGCTGTTTCTCCTCGATCTTGAATGCGACATGAGCTGACCGGTGCTGCAGAATCTCATGCTCCCAAAGGCCGGACCCGCCAATTGGCTCTCGTTTCTCGGTGTAGGCTTTGGCGTCGTCCTTATCGGCATGGGCTTTACTAAGAGCTGGGGTGCGATGGCAGTCTGTCGAGCTCTCTTGGGAATCCTGGAGGCAGGTTTTCTACCAGGTAGGGATACCTTCCGCTAGATCTTGATGCCTACATTCGGAGAATCTGACGTGGGAAATCTGACAGGATGCACCTATCTGATTACCTGCTGGTATACGCGCTTTGAAGTGGGCAAGAGGCTTTCCGGCTTCTGGATCCTCTCCGTCCTTGCCAGCGGCTTCTCTGCACTATTTGCATACGTTCTTACCCTTCTTCGCGGAAAGAGTGGATTAAATGGCTGGAGCTGTAAGTTGAGAGCTTGAGATAAGCCTGCTAAAAGCTGGAATCGTGGTGCTCATCAGATATAACAGGGATCTTCATCATCGAAGGCGCCATTACCGTGGTTGTCTGTGCTCTAGGCTGGTTTATCATCATCGACTTCCCAACCCAAGCCGGCAAGTTCCTGAAGCCGGCTGAGCAAGAGTTCATCATTGCCCGCATCAACCAAGATCGTGGTGATGCTGAAGAAGATCACATCAATCTGGCCAAGATTCTGCATCACCTCAAGGACTGGAGACTGTACTTTTGGGCATTCAATCTCATGGCTTCAACGCTTCCCGGATATGCTTACTCCTACTTCCTTCCGATTATTCTTCGCAACGGTATGGGCTTTAGCAGCACCCAGGCGCAACTTCTGTCCGCGCCTCCCTATGTCTTAGCAGCTATTGTGGCCTACATTTCCGGCTATCTCGGAGACAAGTACAAGATTCGAGGGCCAATCATTGCAGTGCATCAAGCTTTGACTGCAGTCGGGATGCTGATCACCGTTTACGGCAAGGCTGATGGTGCTCGCTACTTTGGAGCATTCCTTGGTCAGTTTTTCTGTACAGTTGGGGGCGATTGTGGACCATGACTAACTTCAACAACTCCTAGGCATCGGATTTCTTCAGTTCTGCGTCCCTGGGGTGCTCACCTTTCAAGCGAACAACATCACTTCGCACTCAAAGCGAGCTGTCTCAAGCGCCACATGTCTCATTGGAGGCGGCCTCGGGGGCATCATTGCAAGCACGGCTTTCATGTCGAAAGAGAGTCCCCATTATACCGTAAGTTACGGCTCTTCCAGGACCTGGCTGGTAAACCTTCTTCTCTGATTATGATTATCTAGATCGGCATCTGGACAACATTTGCCATCTCTATGGCTAGTATCACAATGATGATCATCATGGATATCTACTTGTGGCGCTGCAACAAAGCAGCAAAAGCAGGGCAACGCAGGAACGAGGGCATGGAAGGCTGGCTGTATACACTGTAATAGGATCAAGAATTCGCTTAGCCTAACTGTGGGTTCTTGGTAAACTTCTCTTCTGTATGATACAGCCTATTCTTGGGTCGTAGGTAGATCTCAACGCTGCCTGTCTGTTACCTCGGTAATACAAAGTGATTGTGTTCCTCCTTAGTCTTATGGTTCATTTCTCTTTGTTCGTAACTGTTCCCGAGTCATAAGAGTTGTCGCTATCCTTCTAGACTACATTAATCTTTGAACATTGTGTAACTATAGGTTCTTGTTCGTTCCTGTTGAGTCTTTGAGAGCATTTAACTGGCCTGTGCTGACTTACAGAGAGAGCCTGCTTGTCTGTTCAGTGTTTTACCATGCCATTGTGTTCCAGTGCTATTGAACTCAGTCAAAGTACTCAACTTATACCCTTTACATTATGCATATAAACAGGCGGCCCTCGTGGCTTCTTCGTGTCCAAGTCTCAACAGCTTTCCAAAATTCCAAACACTCTTGATTCCATTCACAACAAGCACGGTCTGAGTATCCTTCAGAAACCCGTCATAACTCAACCCACCCACAACTTTACAGCAAAACTTTTCCCCCGACAAAATGTGTCAAGAAACCGAGATCTTGATTGTCTGCTGCACCAAGAACTGCCTTTCTGAGAAGAACGGCATTCGCCTTCCGCTCCTGTGTCTCACACCCACGCCAGAGCCTCTGTATTACCTCTGCGAAAAGGCAAAGGCATTGGGATACCGCACAAACGGCAGTCTCCTCGGCCTTCCCCTCATGACTATGTACCCAGATGAGTGCCCCGATGTCGCCAACGCTGACAAGTTCCAGCTATGCCTTTGCCACGCCGTCTCGCGTGAGACCTCGCAACGCGCCGGCTTTCTCATTCAATGCAAGGAATGCTGTAACGCAGGCCATGCACAGAACCACACCCTTAGCGACCGTCCAGGTAACTTCCCTCAGTTCAATGCACGCCCACTGGCTTTTCCCACCGAGTCTTCCGCCGATTCTTCTACTGAGTTCCCCCCTAAGAATAAGTATTTTACGAGTGATTGGACCTGCTGTGCGGTCGGCGAGTGCAGCGATAATGAGCTGTGTGAATACCGCGTGGCTGCTCTCCTGTGTGGGATGTCGACGCAGTCTCGGGAGGCTGAGCAGGCCATCATTGACACGTGCAATCAAGAGACAGACGAGGGCTACGATGGAGACGTCAGCGATAACTCCACTTAGTGGCGGTTGGGATAGATTCGCTCGATAAAATAACCGAGACCTCGCTGGCTGTTTGGTCGAGAATGACATTGAATATTTTTGGGGAGCAGGCTTTAAAAAATGGGTGGTTTTCTGTTTAGACTAGATATTTCGTTGAGTGTTATGCATTTACAATTTCCACGTCCCACAAGAACCTATCTTTGTGTGCTTCTGAAAACTGAGGCCGTCGACAAAAGTAACGCCAAATTCTGTCTAACCGGGTCGCGAGATTGTTAGGTAGTCTTGATACTAAGGTACGGATTACAAGCACATAATTAGTAGACAACAGAACTTAGAACGAAAAAATAGTCAAAGATAATTACCAATCAATTCAATTCAACCCACTACCCGAAGCCGAAGCCAGCACGGACATGGCGCACGGGGTGGACTTGACGTGACAGCGAACTGACGTTGTAAACAGTGGACGCGCCGAGACTGCCGACGTCGTAATGAAGAGAGTCTTATCGACGTCAGAGCACATAGCGGTGGGTGTTACCCACTTGTCATGGGGGATCAGCAGCAGCGATGGGATGGCTAAGCTTTCAAGTTGGTTGGAGAAACGGCGAAGAAATGAAGTCATCGGTTACGGTCTACATGTGCTGTCCATTGCAGCATGTCTAAGATATTATCATCACGCGGGGCTTCTAGCACAATAAAATTCGGTTGCTGCTCATAATCCATGTCTTCCTCGGCTTCGCATTTTGGACGCATGGTTGTGCTTGTCGATGGTGTTTCCTGCGTCTAAAATAGAAAAGAAAAATTCGTTGGTGTGCAAAATTCATCGTTAAGGAAAAAGGGGCTCTGGGGTGACTCAAACAGCTGGGACCATCCTGTAGCAAAATCCTCCGCCGCATTGGCATCTCATGTTAGGAGGTTCATGCGCTGCCATCTGACAAGTTGAACGCACAGAAATGGCGTTCGTGCTGGCGCAAGGGAGCGGCCCGAAGAACTCATGCACAAAGGCAAAAGGGGCATGGCAAATAGCAAACCTTTGCGAGAGCCTTACTGGGGACAGCGGTCAAGTAAGACTTGGAGGGATTTCTTTCCCATTTGATGTTTCCTCCGCTCTTTCGAGTCCGAGGCTCCGTCGTCGTTCAACATTCCCCCCATTCTTTGCGCCCGGCTAACCCGGCCACGCCGTCGTCTCGCGCCGAAAGCCAGATGACAAGGTTTTGCAGCGCCTCCCGTGCCACCTAGGCACCTTAGAGCGCTGAGCTAGACTATCTTGGCAAACTGCCGGCAGCCCACCGTTGCAGCCATTGACACCGTAGCAAAGGTCCTGCAGGGTGAGATTGCCAGGCCACTTGAAAACCCCTCCAGCGGCTTCAACGTTCTTTGATCACGTTGGTTGCCTTGGGGCTTCACTCGTGACTCGACGAACATGGCCGGTGGTGTGCAGCGCAGGGTGCCAGAGAGCAGAATGCCCATGTTCAGCCAGCAACGAAAGCGCCGGACCACACGGCATGGTCCCATTGCCTGTGGAGTCGAGAACCGGGGCCCTTCGGTCACTTCGCCCTCAATGCGACGGCACCGAGCAGCCCAGCCCGCTGCTTACGGTGCTTAGCGAAGATGGTGCCTGGCATTGACCCTTTAAATTTGGGCTGGTTGTGGTGGATCGCGGCTAGCTGTGCCCGAGGGATGCGTTCATCGCCCTCGTCGGTCTACGGGTCAGTTGCTGATGATTGACAATTGCCTTGGTCTATGTTGGACTATTTGAAGTGGCTGATACCCCACACGCTGTTGCCTAGTCTCTCGCGAGGGCTTTCGCGATGGTGTCGTCTCGTTTACCCAGTTCTCGGCCCTCAAGATGAGGTTTTCAATCGCCAGCATCATCGCCCTAATTACCCCGCTGGCGCTCGCAGCTGACTCTCTCGAGTACAAGGCAACACCAGCAGGACAAGTTATCAAAGATGGTGTCAAACTCAGGATCCTTTCCGTGGGTGATTCCATTACTGTGGGATATCTGAGCAGCGATGGAAATGGCTACAGGCTCAAACTTGACGAGGACCTGTCTGGTATGTTCACTCACCGCACATGAGAAATTCAATCAAGCGCTCTGCCACAAACAGGCAGACAAAAAGGACCCATGTCTAACAACCATAACAGTCAACGAAGTTGTATTCGCCGGTACAGTCTACGGTGGAAATATGAGCGACGGATACTATGTAAGTCAACAGAACAGGTCCCAACCCAACGTTCCTCATTCTGACGAATTGCTTAGGCGGCTTGGTCTGGGAAAACAATTCAGTACATCGCCGACAACGTAGGCCCATCCCTGGTACAAAGACCCAACATCATCCTCCTCCACGCCGGCACCAACGACATGAACCCGAACCCGGCAATCTCCACCGAAGGCAACGACCCGGCAGCCGCCGCCGAGCGACTGGGCTCCCTCATCGACCAGATGATCACCGCGTGCCCCGACGCTACCATCCTAGTCGCCCAAATCGTCGACACCTGCAGCGCCGAACAGGAAACTGCGACGACAGAGTACCAAAAACTCATCCCGTCCATCGTCGAGCAGCGAAGAAACGCCAGCCACCACGTCCTGGCCGTGGACTTTGCGGCTTTGGGTACCGGCATTCTCAGAGATGATTGCATTCACCCGACGGATGATGGTTACCGTACTATGGGCGACTATTGGTACGACTTTATTGCGCAGATTCCCAAGGATTGGATCACTCAGCCGGTGGGCGATGACCCGGATCGGTCAAAGGATGAGGCTGCGCGGGCGAGTAAGAGTGTATCAAGCAGCAGCGCCGCCAGCTTCTCGTCGCAGAGCTGGATGATGCTTGTTATGATGCAGCTCATCATCACGGTAAATCTAATGTGTTAATGAATTAAAGTAATATGATAGTAATTAACGAGCGATTTGATTCAACCAATTCATGTACAAACCGAATCTTCGAAATAGGCTGTACTGCCATCTTCCTCGTATCAAAGATTAGTTTGCTGCATGTACACCAGCCTGTAGTACTTGATATGACTAGGCTCTAAAGAACGTGATGTATGTCACCTGCCCAAGTAGCACGATTTGCGTAAGAACTTGAACTTGATCATGCAAGAGGATCATCAAGAAAAGCCTGTGCGGGGCGGAACAGTCGAGAAATGTCACCTTCTGGCCACGTGCAGTGTCATGTATCTCAATATTTACAGTAACTATCGAACTAACACTGTTGATCTATATGAATTATCAATAAAAAGAAATAAAAAGAGAAATTTTCAGCCCAAGTGTCTTGATTCGTCTCTAATATTCTCACATCAGCCGCATTTGTGTATAGTCTTATTCCCAAATCCTACCATTCGCATGATGCATCCTCTCGGGGCGCTATGCCCTCGCGTGGCGACAAATGGTATCAGGGAATTTTCCATATACCCGAGTGAAAGGTCAAGCTCGGGAGGCTTATCCATGGTTCTAGAGATCACCACCGACAGACCCGATCATCTAGTTGCTCTCTGACCCTTCCTTGTCTCCGCAACTGCATTTAGCTTTGAAGAATATTAGGTGCATGTGCTTACGATTGGTTAGTGAATCTATCCAGCCTGGCATGGACCTTCATGGTGAGCCTGACCCCGCGATTTCACGGCTGTAGATGGCAATCCCGATGTCTAGTCATCCTTGCTTGATTGCCTCGGAGTGGACGAAACATCGCGATGAATGCGGGGTTGCTCACCGTGCCCTCACTGATGGTGGTGTACATGCTTCGCACGAGGAACCATAGACCCCTCACTTCGACAGCTTCATGATGTCCAACCATAATGGCCCCGCTGAATGTTATAAAACGAGGAAGAACCCCTGTGGTCTGCAAGCTGCCAATGCGCCTAGCTGTTGATTGAGACTTCTTATCGAAACTCCTGATCAAGAAATTCCATCTTATTGATACTACACACCGCTAGATGTCGAACAGAAAAGATCACGGGCTGAAGGATCACGGTCTGTCGGATGACGCCGTGGAAGCCGGCCATGACTTCATACACGATGCAGAGGTAGAGGAGGAGAGGGTAAGCCTCCCATTCGGGTTGGCAGGAAAGCTCTTTGGCTGAATGATCTTTAGAGACACAGCGGAGACCCAAACACGATGCCGTCGATGGCTTCGCAGCAGAAGAAAGGCGTAAATCTGGAAGGGATGCAGCCGAGCAACCCGATAGGACAGGACAAAGCTGGTAAAAAGGCGTGATCGCAATTGCTTCTCTGTTGAAATGTGCTCGTAAGGCAAGGAATTGCAGAAGACGTTTCCGTACAAACAAATTGTCGTTAGTACCATTTTAGGGTAACTAATGATACTTCTTTTAATAAAAAATACTGAGTGTTCATTAAGACAAATTCGAGTCCACGCATCTCACAGGAGCAACCCATGTGTCCAGAATCAGCGTAAATATGTCATCCCTCCGCCTTCGCAACACAGCATTGAACTGATTTTAGGTAGTTGAGCCTGAGAAGTGAGCTTTCAAGGACGTCCAATATCACTTCCGTCGATTCAGTGCTGTATTTCTCTGAGTTTGCACTGTTGCAACTTGACGCTTTTCAGGATCGGGCGGAGTGCTGCGTGGCTAAGACATGCTATCTCACAATCGGCGCCGTTGCGCCGCGTCTTGGGCCGACTTCGGACATTTATCATCAATCAGCCGTCAAGCCCACCGGCCCGGACCGGAGCTGCTCCAACAACTACCTCCAGATTCCGATCGAATCAGGCAGCATTAGTCTCACCTTCACCACGCACTCATCAACTTTCCACCAAATGGCGACTTCAGCGCAACACTTTGTCGTCCTCGGCGGCGGCGTCATCGGCCTCACCACGGCTCTGACCCTCAGGGCCGAGTTCCCGTCCGCAAAGATCACGATTCTGGCAAAGTACTTCCCCGGCGACTACAGCATCGACTACTGCTCGCCGTGGGCCGGGGGTAATTGGTGCTCCTCAGCCAACGACAATGGCCTCCTCGAGTCTTTCGACCGCGTCGCTTTTGAGCGTTTCAAGAAGATTGCAAGTAGTGCACCGGAAGCGGGGGTCAAGAGTTCGCCACTGCGGATGGTTTTCGACCAAAAGATCGAGGATGCAGGAATCCTTAGCGTAGGAACTGGCAAGCTGTGGTACGATGATTTGGTCGGGGGCACTGTGCCACTTAGCAAGGACGAGTTGCCTGATAAGGCTGTGTTTGGACTTGATGTGCCCAGCACGTTTGTGATCAACACTCAAATATACTTGCAGTGGTAAGTGACTCATCCACTCCTGCGTATCTCATGGCGCGCAAACTATCTGACTGTACTAGGCTTCTTGAACAATGCAGACAGAGCAAAGTCATTCTGAATCGTCGAGAAATTGGCCACATCAATCAGGCTCGCATCTCTTCAGATGTCACAACTGTCTTCAACTGCACCGGCTTAGGATCCTACTTCCTTGGTGGTGTGGAAGACAAGTCCATATATCCAACTCGTGGACAGATCATCTTAGTCGAGCAACCGATTCAGCCCCTCAAGAGGATGTACTTCCGTTCACCTCGAAGGGTAGACAACGACACCACCTATATCTTCCAGAGGCCTCTAGCTGGCGGCATTGTACTCGGCGGGTGTCGCCAAGACGGAAATTGGGACAAGGAGGTCGATCCCGAGTTGACAAAGACCATCCTCCAGCGTTGTTGCGCGCTGGCGCCTGAGCTCGGCAGGCCAGAAGACCTCAAGATCATCAAGCACGGTGTTGGACTGAGACCGAATCGCAAGGGCGGGCCGAGAATCGAGGCTGAGAAGACAGAAGAAGGGCTCGTTGTGCATAACTACGGAGCATCTGGGGCAGGCTACCAGGCATCTTGGTGAGTTGATACATAGATCTAGTCTGCAAGAACATCGCGTTGCTAACGTGGGCGTAGGGGGATGGCAGCACATGCGGTGAAACTCGCAAAATCGCAGCTAACAAGCGAGACGCCCTCATCGAAGCTCTAGGTCAAAGGAACACATTCTGAATCGTTGCGAATATGGCATTACCAAAGGATCCAGTTCATAACAGGAGTTCCCATTATTTATCATGGCATTAGATACTAATAGCTACTACTTCTAACTTGAAACCTCAAGGATTTTAAACACTGGGCCACTTGTAGTTCAACCATTTCTCGAGTGTGCCGTTCCATGAGCCGCTTCCCAGCTGCACATGGACCCAAGCATCAACGAAATGCTTCCATACAATATCCCTCGGGACCGCATATCCCAGCTCCTCAAAGTTGAACGGCACGTCAGGGTTGGCGATGCAAAGCTCGCCCTCGTGCAGCTTGACCTGTAACTCGACCTCGATCAGATCAGAGATCATGGCATCGGCAGTGCCGTCCAGAACAGCCTGGTAAACTGCATTATTATCCTCCACCATGACAATCTTCGCAGACTTGAGATTCGCCCTGTCGAATGCCTCGTTGGTTCCGCCTGGGTTGACAGCGACCTTTACGCCGGCCTGGTCAAGCGATGCGAGGTCGGTGTACTTGTCCGCGTCGGCGCAGCGGATGCAGTTCGTCTTACCGACTCTCTGGATCGCGGTAGAGAAGAAGGCAGTTCTAGCTCTGGCGAGAGTCAGACTGACACCGCCCATGGCAATGTCGAATTTGCCGGCGGACAAGTCGCTCGTGATGTTGGCCCATTTCGTCGCGACTAGGCGGGGAGGCTTGGGCAGGCCGAGGGCGTTGGACAGGGACTGTGCGACATCGATGTCGGCGCCGATGTATGTCGTGTTGATTGCCGTTGTGTTCGGCAGGGTCGTTTGGTTCGTGACAAGGTACGTGAACGGTTTGTAGTCCCCAGTTGTGCCGACGTTGATGTACCCGCGAGCAAGAATGGTGTCGAGGAGAGACGTGACATTCGCATATGACAGAAGTGGTGTTGTTTCGCCGAGTTGAGCTTGAGCGTACGCGCTCAACGTGGAAGCGCCGAGAAGGGCGGATGTCCAAATGTTCACCATTGCGACTGAAGATCAAACGGGCAGACAGATTCAATGCCGGGCGTGAGTGAACATGAGACGCAACAGCGAATAGCCACAAGTTTTATTGTCATCGTCCAGGGCCGATCCCGGGGCTCCGCAAGCTCATTTCAAATCCTTATCATCGGCTTTGAATGTAAATTGCGATAGTTAGCGATAGCGAGTAATTTACTAACTATTGGTCAATTGGACCTGTCAACTCACGCCAAGTCCTAGCTAGTCGAGTAGCTTGCGCAATTTGATTATGCTTGAGTAAGGTAAAGACTCGTGTAATATTCTGCCCTGCCTTTTAGACTCTTTACAGAGGAAGTAGTTCTGATGTCAAGCGGGGTTGGCATCGTGGGCCTGGGCTGGTCTTGATTGCGTCAACCCATCGGCATGTGGCAGATCCACCTGTCAACCAGGGCTTCCCACGTTGTCGGGTTTCCTCAATGTTACAAGTAGATTCCTTAGACGCGACCGCCTGCTGTCAGGATACCCGATATCCTAAGTTGAATTCCGTGAACTCTCACTCACTACAACCTCAGAACCTTTTTCAGACGAAGTTCAAAATGCCGACAGTACAGCCTCAAGAATTTCGTCTCTTCCCGCAGCTCCCTTTAGAGCTTCGCCGAGCCATCTGGGATGAGTGTCTACCTCGCGTCCGCGTTGTCGAGATAAACAAACCTCACAGAGCAGGGTATATTCACAGTAGATATATGCCGACAAATGATGGAAACGAGGAGTGCAGTCATCAGATGACGTACAGGCTCAACTCCATCCCTCCGGTCATTGCGGCCGTCTGTCGTGAATCCAGACAGGCTGCGGGGTTTTCAGTACCGCGAGATGATGAGTGGCGGACGAAGAATGATGCAATTACCAACGAAAAACCAGCAGTCTTGTGGTTTGATCGTGCTCCGAGCAGGAATATCATATTCCTTGACTGGGATCCAAGTTGTGGTCATTACTGGTCAGCTCGTTCTCCCTTGGGTCCATTCAGATACCTGTCTCCCGTTGCGGCTCACGCCCAAACGGTGTGCGTCACGGGAGAGGTTCTGCATACACTCTTCCCACCCTTAAGTGATCGGGAGAATTTCCGCACTCTTTGGGGTATCAAGTCTTTCTTGGTATGTCAGAAAATAGTCGCCATCCACGCGAAGATCGATGCTGCAACACAATCTGGACTCTGGGGGTTCAATGGTGAGGAGCGCATCGGTAAGACCGCCCCGACTCAGTTGGCTCTGTTTGTTGAAACTAACTCCGACAGTCTTGGTTCATGTGGAAAACCTAGAAAGAATAGAAGAGTATGCCTGTTTCAACAAGACCTTTGGCTCCGAAGAAGATGGCGAAACCAAAGGCTTCTTTCAAGGGCTTGTTGGGGACTCGACGCAGTGGTCAATGCAGCAAGAATTGCTTAATACCTGGAAAGCGCGGTTTCTGCTTGGACGATGGCATGATCAACAAGCCGAACTCGGCTTGCAAAAGGCAGAAGACTGGAGTGTGACGCCAGCTCCTGGGTTGTTCGGTGTTCTTGATAGCGGATTGGAGAACTGGAAGCTGAAAGAAGACAGTTCATGGGCAAAGGCGACGCTCCCAGCGGTACCACAAGTTCAGTGGGTGTACATGTTTCGCCTGTGCGTAGATGATTGCCACGTCAAGACGAAGTAGATACGTGTAGCATACCCTTTACTCTCTAGCTATCTTTCCTCTAATTTCTCCGGGTGCCTCATCATAACAACACGCTACGAGGTAATCGTCTTACCGTGTGCTCATTGGGTAAGGGATTTAAAGTATCAAGTGGCAGGATTTGAGGACTTCATGAGAGTAGAATGGCGGTTGCATCTTGGATGAACTGCTAGCGAAATGCAATGACGAGCTTAACGGCCAAGTGTTTGACATCTCTCGGGCCCTAAGCTGTTGCATTGAACGAAGCTTCGATGTGAAGCCTGACTTTTAAGTCTACGAGAACCTAGCGACTAAAGCAGAGAACGGGTTGGGTTCTGCTCGAGTCCTTGCATGAACACTGCAAAACTTGAACGAGTATGTCCGCGGAATGTAGTTGTCGTAGTCATGACAGCTCGGCAACTTGTCAAGTCACAACCAGGATGGACATTCCAGAGCCCTGCAGCTTAGTCAATACGACTTGTATGTTTGATTTGAATAGAGCTGGGATAGAACCTTTGCAATGTGTTTTCTGGTTTTTGAGACCCGTCTGACTAACGCTACAGGCGTCCTGCCTCGGTTGGAACCAACAGAGCCTAACCCCTGTCATCTCATGCACTTACTGGGACTGATTCTCTGTTGGTTTGTCTCTGAACGCGAAAGCTAGCCATTACCTTCCCAAAACTGCTTAAGTCCTGCATTTCGGGTGACCGCAAGCATGAATTTTATTCGTTCGCGGAGACGGAGGCGCTCGCCGAGAACATTGAGTGGATAGCCTTGAAGGAAGAATCGATGGAGCACCCAAACAGCTCACTTGAAGTGTCACTTGAAGTGAGGGGCAACTCTGTGCTCCACGTGGTCTTTATCTCTTTCTTTCTGCCTCAAACATCATCCAGATTCATGTTCACCATTTTATCCACAACATATCACATACCCCGGCCCGCACAATTGACAGAACTCATACGGAATGCAGGCTCCAAACGTCGCGGCCGTGGCAGACGCCACTCCTGCAAATGAGATTGCAGCAACTGTAGATGCTGATAACCATGTGAGTTGTATCGAGGCGTGCCTACTTGCGACAGTGATCCAAGATCCAGACGAGGACGATTGCAGGTATCAGCGTTCGCAGGAAGGACAAGCGTACTGACAGGAAATGCAGGACGAAGGCATTGACGCCGATGGAGACGAAAGCTCGCAGGCAGATACAGAGAGGTGATTTCCATTCCGGCGTTACACCTAGAATCTCGCATCCGATACTGAAGACTGACTGTACCAAATTTGATACAGTATCCGAACTACGTCTACGACATCCGTGAGCGAAAGCATCACTGACTATCGTCGCATCCATGGCCGGACTTTCTCCCAAAAGACGGACTACTGGGGTCCCAACGACGAGAAGCAGAATGAAGCGCTGGACCTTGCGTAAGCACAAACATTGCCTGCCAACTGCTCCCTCAGGGCAAATGCAAGAATTGAAATCATCATAACTGACGACGACAATGACTTTACTAAAAGTCACAATTGGGAGCTGCAATTCTTCGACGACAAACTGTTCTTGGCACCTCTTGGTGACAGTCCCCAAGTAAGTAAGCTCACTATGGTCAAACAAACAGGTCTTTGGTGTCTAAAAAGTCACATAGAAAGTGCTTGATCTTGGAACTGGAACTGGTATCTGGGCTATGTGAGTCTCCAGATTTCGATCCAGAGATGTAATGACTTTCTAATGCCCAGAACCTACATATAGTGATTTTGCCGACGAATTTCCGTCTGCACAAGTTACTGGTGTCGATATCTCGCCCATTCAGCCCGGCTGGGTCCCTCCGAACTGCAAGTTCCAAGTCGACGACATCGAGCAGCCGTGGACTTGGTCTGAGGACTTCGATTTCATCCATGTTAGCCATCTTGAGGCTAGTATCGCGGATTGGCCGGCCTTGTATAAACAAGCTTTCAACCATCTGATTCCCGGAGGCTATATCGAAATCAAAGAATTCGATATTACAACTCGGTCGCAACTCTACGGTGACGATATCCCTAAAGACCATGTTTTTAGCCGATGGGCACCGATCTTCTTTGAAGCAGCTGATAAACTCGGCAAGACGCTGACCCAGACCCATAACCGCGGCATTGCCAGAGCTCTCGAAGCAGAGGGATATGTCGATATCGTGGAGAAGAGATACTCCATCCCCATTGGTTCTTGGCCTAAGGATCCAAAACTGAAGGAGGTTGGCGAGTACAATTTGATGTACAACGATGAGTCTCTTGAGGGATTCGCACTATTCCTGCTCAAGGAAATCATGGGGTGGGAGTATGCCGAGATCATCGTCTTTGTTGCGGAGATGCGTAAGGCCCTCAAAGACCCAAAGCTTCAAGCGTACATTTACCTGTAAGTCAATTTCATCACCCTAATCTATATCTCCTATAGCTCAAATCAGACTAACCACGAGTTTCAGCCATGTTGTTTACGCACGCAAACCCGAGGAGCAGGAGGGAACTCAGGCTGAAAGTTGAAAGCCAAAAAGGACGGAGGATCACAAGTAGACAATCGACCCTGAATACAGTTGGAAAGTGCCGGCTCTTGTAGATCCTGACGGGTCAAGCTTTGGCCAGCATGGTGCGACAGAGAAGAATTGAAGTCGGGAAATAGAGCGCATAACAGCACACAACATGCAGAGAGAGATAGGTTATTCCAAAGCATTTTCAATGGAATAACATATACTGCGAAGTACTGAAAGTGTGATTGAAAAAGAACGGCGCATGCTTCGCAGCCGAATCAGGCTGGCAGCCTGTCAGTATGAGGGCTTCGCGGCGATTACGTCCCCATCACAAGCTCTAACTTGACTGTACTAGAAATCACTCGAGCGACCTCGGCAGTTGCACGGCTCATGAATCATCTACAGACTGATTTCGTACTGGAATCTATTCCCTGCTTATTGCTGACTTCCTCGATTCCGAAAGTGGCTAAACGGAGATCGGTGCCTCTTACATGCCCTAGTTGTAAATTAACTTGTAATACGACCCGGCGTGTCAAATATTGCCAATTTTCCCCAAGCAAAGAGAGAATGGTAACAGTCTTCCAAGCTTAAAACTTTGAATCAAATTCTAAACTGATTGAGTCTAACTAATCGCTCATGAGTTGATGCGGGTGACGTGGAAAATCTCAGCCCACGGGCGTTGTGCAGCACGAGTTGAGCAACCCAAACTCACGATACCCTCACATACGACCATAGCCATTGGAAAATTCGGGATCCCGTCCGCTCTCCCATAGACAAGCCAGTGAGGGGAGTCTTACCTATGGAGAGTCGTATTTCTGACTAAGCGCCGGTGAGACGGAGATGGCCCCACATTTCCTTCCCGTGTTGCCCGTACCGTTAGAGCGACATCTCCGTTTCTGGCCTCCGGCCCGGTCGCTATTACGCGCCGCAAAGGCAGAGCCCGGGTGTGGCCATAGACGACGGCGGTTATTGCGGTCAAAATTTAAATCTGGGATTCAAATTCCCTATCATCCCTCCCTCCCTCACTCGCACTCCTCCGTCCCTCACACTCATTCCCGGCGTTCCCTTCGTCCTCCCACTCGCTATTTCGCAGACTTCTTGTTCCTACCACGATGGATTTTCACTCAATCCCCGGCCGACCAGTCCCTGGCGACTTACGTTCACAACAAGAAAGAGCTGCGAGGGATTTCGCTCTTTTCTCTGAGGAAGCTTTGCCCGACCGCGCTAGCGTTGCATCTAAAACAGCAGATCAACGTGAAAGAGTGTGGGCAAAATGGGAACTGTGAGAAAGCTTCACCCTATAATCAACACGGGTTTACTAACGCCATTTCCGTACGCACAGGTGGGCAAAGAACGTTGTGAACATCGACCCCAACCAGACTTGGCTTGACTTTTGCCTCCATTGCAACACAGCCACTACCTACATACGCATGTTTCTGAAAGCCTACGTCGAGAACTCGTATGAACTCCGCGTTTGTCTGGGCCCAGAAGAGAACGAATGGGTGCGCATGGTCAGTACGGGAGTTGCGCTCATGGATGTATGGAAGAGTCTTGTGGGGTCCGCCGATATGAAAGTGCTTCAGAAAAAAAGGCAGGAGGAGCCACACAACCAAGCGCAGTGGAAGTTAGTCTTCCACGAAGGTAGAGGACAAACCAGCAATCCGGCCTACAAGGTATCCCTGGTCAGTACATGCCCACTTCATGAATGCCGGCTATCTCTGATCTAGCGTTACAGTGGTTGAGAGAAAAGCTTGTTGACATCATGCATCTCAAGCGGGAGCAAACATTCGAGAAGGTGCCTGCCACTGCCGAAGACATAACACTTTACCTAGATGTCCTGTGGAGGCGTGGAATGGACGTCAGATGTTCTCCGAAGACGAGGATCGCTTTTCATGCCGTTTTGCTTCTCTCTAGCATCGGAGGCTTTCGGCCCGGCACACTCATGCAGATGCCTTTTAGCCAGGTCCAGCTAGCCGTCGTCCGTGACCCGCTAGACAAAAGCAGAACTCAACTATTTGCAACATTCACCATCTATCAGAATAAGCAAGCGAGCAAGAAAATCAGACGAAAGCAAGATGACGTGTAAGTATCCATCACCTGATTCATCATGCTCGGTTCCCCGGCTAATTCTCGTTTTAGAGTGAAGATATCGATCACGGTAATTCCATGGCCTCTCTTGTGTATCGTCAGTCAAGTCATCGTAGTGGCTCTTGAGAAAAACGCCTTGGAGACACCTTTCAGCTCGATGGACGAGATTCTCTGTCGCCCTATACTGGAAGATGTGGACTATATCCCTTTGCGTTGGAAAAAGGATATGGAAAACCAGACGCTATTTGAAATAACGTACCCGGCCTTTTATGATTTGTGGTACCAGGTACTCCTTGTAGCTGGAGTTCGCGAACCTCCACGGCCATATTCGATGAGAGTAGGTGCAGGTGGCAGGCTACATAGTAAGTTCGCTCTACTACATCAACCAACCGTCTCTCACAGATTCACAGAGTGCCTTGAGCCTCACTTGAGCAACTTCATCCTTTCGCATACCTCGGCCGTGTTTCAAGGAAGCTATCAACCGGTCCATGTAGCCGAGAATCTTCCTCGGGTAGCCTTTGCAAGGGTCCTCCACCTCGAACATCACGAAAGATTGTACGCTCTTCTGGCAAATTCGAGCCTTCATCGAGACGAAAACGCCCCAATTTACCCTAAAAAGGAAGACATCAAATCATGGGAACAGCGAAGTGATCTTCGAAAACTGAGGATCGAGTACGAGACTCTACGAAGAAGAACTGCCGCCGACCGTCCAGAAACCAAACGTGTAGCAGCCCAGATCCAGTCCATGCGCGACAAACTGGAGGAGCTCACCATTGATCGAGACAGAAAGGCTTATTTTGAAAGAGTCGACACACTGCGAGCCTCCGGAATGCCGATACCGGGAGAACTAAGTCAGAGTTCTGAATCACATCGACGGCGCTTCCATGAGGCAAGCTCGCAAGGAGCTGCTGCGATCGGCAAGTTCCTGTGCCAGAAAACTCCTCACAAGGGGAGAACTGCTGACTTCGTTCGAATGGGACTTGCATATCTTAGCAAGCTTCCTGCGTCAGCTCAGACAATAGCTGACAGGTGTCTTACTGCAAGCCCCGAGGCTCGATTGAACGTGCGGTCTCCGCCAGTCCCAGTCGAACGGCCTCTTAGCGATGCAGGAGAAAATGAGCAGACGCACAGCTGCATGTTTGGATGTGGCACATACAAGAGCCGTCCAAACTTGACCAGGCACACGCTGAATGTCCACATAGCAAAGGGACAGTTCGAACAGCCTTTTGAATGTCCCGAATGTGCTCGCTCTGGTCGATCGTCTGAACCCATTAATACACCCTCGGCATGGAGTCATCACATCGCGAAGGATCACGGAGTCTCGAATGCGCCATACCTGCCTACTTACCTTTCACCTATTAGACGGCATACTCCAAAGCGACGAGAAAAGGCTGAGAGGTTGGCATGTTTGCTTTGCGGCTTGGCCGTATGCGTTGGTAACAGCTACTCACGGCACACGAATCGAGCCCACAAACACGCTGGGCTTTTCAATAAGACTTTCTCATGCATTATTTGTCAACAGAATGAAGGCAGGCAATTCACTGTTGATGGTTTTGAGTCTTGGACAAAGCATGCTTGGGATTGTCACGGACGAGACAGCCAGACAGGGTTGAAGCGGCCATACTAGCGGGCAGCAGAACCGTCGGTTGACCAGAGCGAGAAGATAGAATGGATACATTAGGCTCTGAATAGAAGATGCTTTCCAAGACCAAACCTTCCCAGTTAGCTCGTGAATTCCCTAAGGCGGCGACCTTATTCAAGCTCTTTCTTTTTACGTACCTCAAGAATAGCATCAAAACAAGTTATTATTAGTGATAATTTGATTTAGTGCACAGGGGCTGATAGCTCACCACTAGCGGCTTCGACACGAATGAACAGGATGATCAATACTACATGGCCACGCTGGACTCGACATATCTCAAGAACTGCCTTCGACGGAGTCTTCTGATTTAAAGCGCTCAGAACACAGAAAGCTCCGAGAAACGGCGAATTCCGATGACCGAGGAACTACGCTTAAACTTTGTGATTGAAACTATAACGTGACCAGCTGTTTACATACTCATTCCTCGAGATCTCCTGCGGTGTAGCGCTCATCGTCGCCTTGGGTCCACATATTGGCCATTCGTCTCTCTCTTCATGTTGCTTGTCGGAAATGGGCAGTTCCGCGCGGATCCCCACAGGAAGCTCCGAAGGCAGCTCTACTGCTTGGGGCAGCTCAATGGCTTCAGGCAGCTCAATGGCTTCAGGCAGCTCAATGGCTTCAGGCAGCTCTGTCATTACAGGTAAATCTGCGTAATGTCAGGACTAAGCAGGCATACATCTCAACGTGGCATAACATACTTGAGGTAGCGGACTTCAGTTTTGATCTTCTTCTCATGCGCATTGTGAGAAAAGTAATCCCAGCGATCGCGGGGAGTCCAATCCCGACGATCAATCCTATCCACCGAAGCGAAAATTCTTCGCCATCATCTCCCATACTCGAAGTGCCAGCGGTGGCCAGAGGTACCGCAGGGGTTAGGGTCGTTGTTGTTGCTGTAGTTAGATCAGGTAAAAAAAAGGTCGTCGAACTAATAATGAGCGACGTCGTTATAGTACTCGACAATAGAGTAGTTGGGTTCGTTGATGATGATGTACTGATGTCTGGACAACTGGGTAGCGCACAAGGATCGGCCGAGCAACACCCGCGGAAATTATTGTGGCTGCAGACATAGAAGGCAGATCCATCAGCACAGCTTGTCTGGCGACGCAAAGCATACATGATGAATCGCAAGCAGGATGAGGGTCGACAGGCAAGATTTTCGCGAAGGCGAGCGGTTGAGCTTAATATACCGGATCTCGTTGTACCTAAGTAAGAGATAGCTTGCGGGTTAAATTGGGTCACTGTCCCTGTTTCTCGTGTGCTATCTTGGCGAGCGGCTACAATGAAGCTAGATCGGATACGGACTGTTCAGCGACTTGCCGGGCGCTTCGGGCCTGTATCAACGGGGGTGGCCGAAAAAGCGGCGCCTCCGACGCTAGAAGAAGCATTCGGCATACCTTAAGCGCTTTCGAAAACTCCGTGTCATTGACCCACTAAATCGGAACCGTAGTAGAAGGAAGTGGGGCCGCTCTTCGCCGCTCAGCCTGGGCAAGTAACAGGGGGTAAGCAAAGCGTCGACCACCCACTGTTTGTTTGTCTGCCTGGCCAGGTCTTTCATTTTCCTTAGCCACTCTGCTGGCACTCACCAACCGCCTTTCTCAGCTATGACCGTAAATGTTTATTTCGCTTCACTAGGAGGGGACCGACTTCAAAGAACAGCTGGCCTCTTACCTAAATGCCCAAGGCCTTTACTCATACAGCCGCAATACCCCCCAGGCTCACAAGACCTCATAGCCCTAGAGCGCAAGGAGGATGCAGCTAAAGCCTTCCAAGCCTGGCTCAAGACCGTACCAGACAACCATACAATCGTCTACTCGGACGGCTCTAAAGCCGCTGATGGGGCCACTGGGTTCGGCTTTGTCATCTACCGCAAGAACAGACGTATAGCCCAGGGCTGCGGCCGCCTCGGCTTAGCAGAGGTGTTTGACGATGAGGCGGAAGGGGCGAGGTCAGGGCTCCGGCGGGCCCTCCATACCTCTCAGGGCCAGCCGATACACATCTGCATCGATAATACCAGTGTCATCCAGGGAATCCGTGGCAAGGTCCCAGACTCCTCACAAGCTGCCTTCTTAGAGATCCAGGAGGCAGCTAGGATATACGGTATACGAACCCATTGGTCTCCGGGGCACCAAGATATAAAAGGAAATGAAGAAGCAGACAGCCTAGCTAAGGAGGGAACAACTCTGCCAGGCCCTAGGGGCCAACTAGCTACTCTGTCAGGTATCAAGTGGCTTGCTAAAGAGCGGCCAAGACGCCAATATAGACGATGGTGGAAACAAGAGGCAACCCCCCGCTATACCCAACTAGGGCTCAAGGCCACCCTTGCTTGCCCTCCTGAACTTGGCCTCCCTAGGGCTGCCCTTCATCACCTCCTTGCGGCGCGGTCAGGCCACGGGGACTTTGAACAGTATCACCAACGCTTTAACCACACAGAAGCACTGCTCACCTGCTCCTGTGGAGAGGTTAAGGAGGCAGACCATCTAGTCTACTGCCGAAAGACCCTACTGAGGAGGCAACAGTGGCCCACCCTCTACCCCTACAGCCGCCAGGAGCCCGTAGGACCTATAGGGTCCCTCGATCGCTACTTCAAGGGGCTAATCACTGACTCTGAAGGCTTTCAGGCCTTCCTCTGCGTGACAGACTTCTTCCAGAAGATCTGCCCGCGGTACTAGGAGATAGGCCATAACCTATCCTCCAAACGACAAACTACCTCTATTAGGAAACCAGATGGTTATAACGGAACTAGGGCACCAGTGGGAACTAGGGATGGATAGAACACATAGTAGCTCACGAGCAAGACTTGGAGGACGTCAGGATACGGCATGTACTATATAGTATATAGCTGGAGCCTGCGACCCTCCACGCCACATACCCTTCGGGAGGTCTGCCGCAAGGGCGGCTGCGCCCTTGCCGCCATGGCGTTAAATATAAAACAAAGAAACAAACAATGTAGACAGATGTGTTGCGCTTCTTCTGAAGCGTTTCGACGAGTTCACCGAAAGCGGACAGACGTTCGATCTGAAGAAGCGGATGTAGTATTATGCCTTCGATGTGATAGCGAGATCACGGTTAGATTGGCTTTGGCTTACTTGCCCGATTACGTCAATTTTGTGATTTTCGTAATAGTCAGGCAGACGAGTTGGCTTCTTGGAATCTGGCGGATTAGATATCGACGGTATCGTGCGAGGTCTGCAAGACACCAATACCTTATCAACACTTTCAGGCGTCAGCGCCGCCTTTCTACCAATACTTTTTATCCTCTACGGTAACCCTTCTCGTGGTATTGTAAGCCTTGCGCGAAGACTTCAGTCAAAAAGCCATAAAATTAGTATCAAGGAAAAAGATGGCGGAGAGACCATCTAAGCAAAAACGTAAATGTCTTTGGCACGAACGCCACGGACTTCGTACCGAAGCGGCTGGGTTATTGACACACCTCCTTGGAGAGGTTGACGGCCATGGAGCAGTATTACTTGCTCTTTGGGGCGGACGCGAGGACCTGCCTAGGGAAGCATACATCAAGCCTGGAGATAATGAAATTGATGCCGGAGCTGGTCAGAGAATATTAATTCAAATTTGTCAGTGGGGAATTGAAAACCGTCAATAGGTGGTTTGTCAACCCCCAGAAAGTGCTCTTCCGTGCCAGACGGAGAGGAAATAGGGCCTAGCTTTGAACAGCATGTCAATTGTGTCCTGCACAATGTGTAAAGGGAAGTTGAAGAAGTCTTCGTCATGACGAGCGGTAGGTTGCTAAACAATAGGACCTAGTTTCAAACAGCTAGGCGTGGCGTTCAACCACTTCAACGTTGTGACTCTTTGTGACTGAAAAATGATGCTCAATGAATGAGGATCTCACGAAACCTGTAACTTGATAGCTTTGAAGGAAATCCTTTATAATTCAAGCTAACTGCTTGGCCGATATGCAACACTAAGCTACGTCGAATCGTGAATGACAACGGGCCAAGGCTCATTGTGTGGGACTGTGGATACCTGAGGCAGTGGCTGGTGCCCCAGGCACCAGCTGCCCGATCCACCTCCTGGTTGATCCAGCCCACCGCAGCCACCTTTCACCCTCTTGACCACATCACCAACCAACCAACAATACCAGTTGTATTGCCTGATTGCTTGCCTTGTTGATCCAGATGAGCAGTGTGTACTGCCCACAAAGTCTGTCCTTGAGCCCGGCTCAAGTCTATCCTATATATAAGTCCTAATCCTGAACATATCCTTTGTCCGTATGTTTTCCTAACGGGTTCCGTATCCTGAAAGGACGGGCTCCGTATCCTTGGCGTATGGGTTTCTTTATTTTATTATTACGTAACTTGTTCTATAGTTCTTTTATTCCGTGGGGTGACGTATGTGTTCCCGTGACTTGTGCATATGGTGTGCCGTAGCTGCCGCAAGCCTGCGGGGCAGGCACTGGTCTTGGTCATGCATGTTGGGTCGTAACATTAACTCCCTAGGATGTGCTGATTATCCCCGTAACATCAGGGCGGATCTATATTCTGAAGGAGTGTAATGCACAAGGTAAATTGTTTTTGCTCCGACCATAACAGTGGTTTTGTTAACTGTGAAACATTAATAACTCCCATTTCGCTTGACGTATTTTCGACATTATCCCAAACTTTGAAATAAATCAACCCCAACCCCCTCAGCGATCGAAAGATTGGACCCATAGTTGGCGGTTGGCTTCTATTATGACGGAGATAATCATGGAACATTCCGCATCTGAGTTATTGACATCACAAATGCCTGTCCTGTTCCGACCTTCAAAAGATTGTGAACGAAGTCGATAAGGGGTGAATAATGACTTCTCCAAAGGTTTGAGACGCTCCAACCTGTGAATACTCCCTTGTGTCAACGATGGTAACAATATTCAAGGAGCGTAGAGGAGAAAATCTCGATTAATCTATGCTCATTGGTAATGTCAAAAAGGGAGGAATCGGTGTTCTAGAACAGAGTGAGGTTACTATTCCCCTTGAATATCTGCCTAACTTTCAAGTTAGTATGATGAGGTTCGCGAGTCTCCTACTTTGCTTGATGGAGGAGCTGAATACACAATCACCTTACTGAGAGGGAAGATGAAAACAGCAAGGTAAGGTTTGAATCTGTTGGAATAGGCCTACATTAGGCAGCAGGAGGTTGCTGCCGCGGTCCGTTCCAGCCACGGTGGTCCGTGTGGCTTAGCCACACGAGGGTATACCCCAGACTTCCTGCCGCCGCTCGCACCTGGTTAGACTTCCACTCAACAACAAGAACAACAAGCAATATCACCACTACAGTCGGTGATCGTTGCTACCCACGATACTCGAGTATTTCCTTTTCCACCTGTGAATCCAACAATAAGGATGCGATACTCATCTTAGCCATCATGGAATGGCGGCTCTTCCCTTAAGACAACCATGTTCTCGCGCATCATCCCCGTCTCCAGCCGTTGCTCCGCCCTCAAATGCCGTCTATTTGCCTTAACACGATAATCTTCATACGCTTCCCGCCCCATGGTGGCGAACAAGTACCGAGGATGCACGCCAATTGCCTGCGCGCTCTTCTGCCCAACGCCAAAAGACATGATTGCAAAGGCAGCAATTTTGTCGGTCTGCACGTTACGGTTTGGTATCGTTACGAAGTTGATATCACGTGGCCCATGATGTACATTGTCGGCGTCGGTGTTGCCCGGGATGAGGCCGCTTCCGAGAATCTGGATACAACTGTTAAGCATCCAGGATAATGCTGGGCCTTTGGGGTGGCCTAGCAAATGCTTCTGGAATACGCCACACAGAACATTACCCGCCGTTCGGTCCAAATCTTGGAGCTGGCGCTGAAAAATGTCAATCTCGTTGCGATCATCCGCCTTCGATGATGTGCCGTGGAATGATACCACAGCGATGTCATCCACATCCAGGCCCCAGACAGCTAATGAGCCATGGATCGGGGCAATAGAAGTCGAATCATGCCAGAAACCGTTGCCAAGACTGAAACGGGCGTCGGCCTCCATGCGTAAGAAGTAGTGTTCGATGACGGCCGCATCGACTCGGTTTCCCGCCGCTTCCGTATCGGCAAGCCCCTTGTTACGAGACGCCGCAATCTGAGCAAGTCGATGATTCAGCAGATTTTTCCGCACAGAGAGCGAAAGAGAAGCTGCAGACCGCCCAGTAGGCAACAGATGCACCTCGTGAGCGTTGCTGAGGACACCTTTGCCGGGCGTCGCGACTGGCCGCGTAGCTTTGTCGCTCGTCATGCCGGTGAATGCGACGATGGCGTAGATTGGGACGCCTATCTCAATGGCCAATCTAGCGGACATAACAACCTGTATGCCGGCGCCCTGCGACTCGACAAAACCTTTACTCGTCGATGCCGTCGGCCTCGTCATATCCTTAGGTGTCGGAAGCCGTGCGGCGTCTGCCCTGGAGTCGTTGATCGCTTCAATGTTGGCAAGCTTGTAGACTTCGTCCTCTTCCATGTTATCTGATGCCCCGACTAGACAGACTTTTGCTTTTCTCGTCACGATGAGGTCAAAAGCTGTGTCTAATGACTCTAAGCCGGTCGCAAATGCGCTGACGGGCGTTCTTGTAGGGCCCGCAGACGATATGAGCAGCATGTTCACCCATGTCGCGACGGTGTCGGCGAAGGTCTGCAGCACATCTCGTTGTACCGAATCATCTTTGAATATGCTTTTGTGCACCTTGTTGAGATAAGTCGCGCCGCTGATACCTGTGCCGGTGCAATTGCCGACTTGAGACACGTGCAAATATTGGTACAGCTCATATGGATCGGTTATGCCCGACGAGAGAAATGCTTCAGCGGTGCAGACCAGGGCAAACAGCGTGATGCGGTCGACCTGCGAGACAACTTCCTCCGATAGTCCGTAACGCCGCGGATTCCAACCCGTTGGAAGCTGTCCCGTGACGTTGGTTCCGAAGTTGAGAGCCTTTGGGATCATCAGCAGTGCCCCCTTTCTCAATCGGACTTCAAAGTGACCATTTTCGAGCGGCTTGACGTCGACCTTATCGCCGTGCTGCTGTTTGAACTCAACGGCGTCATCCTTGGAAACCTCAAACGGCGATAAGTCCTCTTCGATGATAACTTCTTGCAACATCTGCTCCGCTTTCGGACTGTGCCCGTTCCAGAGGGCCGGCTTGACGACGCGTATACCGCTGTGTTCGAGGATGTGCTTTTCGTAACGAGACTTGACCTCGCTATCCCACACGGGTTGACCAGAAGCCACGTCGATCCAACCGCAATGCCCTTGGGTGGTAGCACTAGGAGATGCATCGGATTCAGTAGGAGAGCCGGCAGAGACTGTGTTGGAGTGCTTGATAAGGCCCATGATCCAGGCCATCTCGATGCATCCCTCAAGGGAAAACTGCCCATATGCTTCCATCTCCCAACGCGTGCGGCAGTTTCCGTGAGGGCCCAGCTCTCCGAAACCAGTTATGACGACCACGCGATCGGGGTCGATCATGCCGTGCAGTTTGCTGTCTACGTCGCGGACGGTGTCCTCGTAGTCCGTGAGCTTTGGAAACCCGACTTTCAGCAATGCTCGCATGCTTTCGGGTTGTGGTAAGTCTGCCAGCGGAAGCGTGCCCGTATCGAAAGCCTCCAACTCGTCCTCGATCCGGACTGCTCGCACAATGTCGCTCTTTTCTCGTATTGTTGCCTGAGCCTGATCGACAAAGGCCTTGAGGCCGTCAACGCAGCCTAGGTGCCCATTAAAGTCGGCGAAGACTGGCTCATCCTCGTACAAACAAGCCACATTTGGATTCAATAGCAGAATGATATTGAAAGCCATCTCCCGGGTTGAGAATGTGCGCACACCGAGATCCGCCTCGACGCTCTCAGTGACTGTGTTGTCACCTCCCATTAGCGAGGTCAACCTCACCCAGCCGACAGAGCAGCCACAAATCGACAAGGCCTCTGACCAGTTCTCAGAGTACCATTTGTCGAGCAGGCTTTCGAGACCTAGTTTCGACTCGGCGTAGAGACCGTCGCCGCCAAAGATGCCGTGGTTGGGTGAGAGTGGTAGAACGACTTGGACAGGGCGGCCGCATCCGCCTGTACCGGTGATGTTGTGTTTGTATCGTTTGATGGTACCGAGGAGATGTATGGTGTTCTTCAGTATGCGCCTGTGATCTAGTCCGCTTCTAGAGTCGATGCCGTCAATTTTGCGGCCTTCCTCGCCGATGCCGGCAAAGGGGAGGACGCAATCAAGATCCCAACCCAGACCACCGGATTCCGATGACAGATATATCCACGCGATGAGCGATTCGATGTCGCGTATGCTTGCTAGGTTACAGGCGACTAGGGTCAGGCTTGAACCACGGCTTCCGTACTCGGCGTAAAGCCCCTGGAGGTAGCTCGTGGTCTCAGCTGAGCAGCTCTCTGTCGTGACGGCAACCTTGGCCCCTGCAGATAAGAGAGCGCAAAGTACCTCGGAACCGATGGATTCGCGCCTAATTCCGGTGAGAAGAACGTGTTTGTCTTCAAGGGAGATCCCACCCGAGATCGCTTCGCGTGCCTCATCGAAGAACATTTTTGTCAGGCCGCTGTCGTAAATCCACTCTCTTTTGCAACGAGACTTGAGGTGGAGCCAGGGTGTAGGTGTTCCAGCCGTGCGCTGCGGTCGGGACATCTCGTCGAGATACGTCGACGGAGAAACCGAACCCTCACGAGGGATGTCTTGGACTCGAACGATGCCATCTATGTCAATGACTGTGGAAGGTCTCGTCGGTGCGAAATCCGGCTGAAATCGGGGAGGGACCTTCCAGGCCGCGAGACAAGTTTCCAACAACTCTTCAAGAAATGTCACAGCAAGTAGGTTGGAGTTTGTATTTCTTCGCTCTCTCTCGAGGAGGAAGTTGAAGACTTCAACTGAACCAGGCCTAGACTTGTTCGCGATACTCATCGTGATGCGGGCAAGCTCTGCAGCGTCTTGTGACCCGAGGACCCCGGTCCGGATGTTGTAATACGTCTGGAGAAGATCGACAAGAGCCCAGTTCCATGCGGAGTCGTACGTCCAAGTCTTTTCCCTTGTGAATATAGGCTCAATCCCAGAGACATATGCCACACCATGCTCTGCGATCCAACCGTCGACTTGGGACTGAAGTCGACCTACGTAGCTCTGTAGCTTGCTGGCCTTATCCTCTTCCGAGTCCAGTTGGAGCGTCCGGGCACAGAGTTCCAAGAGGTTGCGGTAAAATATCTTTTGCTCTGCCGGAAAATTTAAGCCCGCATGTTCGTTTGTGTTAGGTTGTTGCCGGGTTGACACGGGCGATACTGCAATATTCGAGTCGCGGTCTTTGGTGTACTTTTCAAAAACGCCATCCAGGAATCGCTTCGCCGAGATCTCGTCATCGATGGGGGCTTTCGGTGCCTCTAGAACAGCCCAAAGCAGAAGAGCATCCTGGTGACCCTGGCGCAAACCCCATTGCCGTTCTAAATATCCCCTTGTATTTTCAGATGAGAATCCAGCAGGCATCTTCGCCGCCATGACCTCGGAAATAACAGCACTGGAAACATTACCGAAATATCCTGGGAAGCCCGCTGCTTGTATGTCCGCTGCCAGCTGTTCCAGCGGCATCTCTTCTGCGCGATCGGGTATCATGTTGAATTCGGAAGATAAGTCGTCCAAAATCTCACTCTGTAGCGTAGATTGCCCTAGTGGAATATCAAATGAGTTCTGGCCGATGTTTTGAGTTTGAGAATGAAGGGGTCTTGCACGTTGCATCTTTTGGAATGGGGATAAACCCACCTTTGACCATCTCCGTAATTGTGTTTGATCCAGGCAGATTGAAGGCTGGCTTGTTAAGCCTGTGAAGTATCAGGAACTCCAAAACCTGGCGAGCTGTGATCACGGGATCGCCTGTCGTCTCTGAAGCAGGTTGGCATGCAACGATGATGGGAGGCACTGTTACTGGTGCCCTATCCGTCTCCGACGCAGCCAACTTTGCCAAGCCCTTTCCCGGCATCCCTGCTGAATTGTTGAACGCAGCTTCTACGTGGTGATATATCTCGCAGCTATCCGACTTGCAGGACAAGATCTTTCTGTTGATGGACATGGCTGCATCATAGTCCTTGTAGCGGTTGGAGGCCAAAGTCTGATTCGCCATTGTAGTGAGTGTGTTTGACGGCCCAATCTCGATCAGCCTCTCCACAACATGATCATCGAATAAGGTGGCATGCGTGTCGGTCCTAAGAAATTTTGTGCCTCAGTCAGGATCATAATTCGTGGTGTGATTAACAGGGTTGCTGCGGTCTAGTCTGTCGTGACCTACCATTTCACGGGAGATGCAAACTGATGGCTATAGCAAAGGCTCACTTAGCGACATTTCAGTTGTCTGTGAACGAAACATTTTAATTAGCCGTTGAAACGAAAATACTCACGCTAGAAGTTCAACTACCATGTGGTAGCTGATGTCATGTTCGTCCATTGGCTCAGTTATGAATCGAAGCTGTCCAGACTTTGGGGACAGCTAGTGGAATAGAATGGGTTAAGATCAGCAATGACAAGTCCTAAAGGAGTGGAAATTCAGCCTGTAGCTGCAGAGCAGAGAAATAAGCCAGATCTTGTGCATGCGGGGTGGAGGCGAGGTAGATGGGTTCGGTGGACGTGTGAGAGAACAGAGAGGAAACCACGGGGAATAAATAAGAGAAATTTCGATGGAAGAATCGCATCACCGCCCTACTAGATAACGGTTTTCACCACAGGCTCGCCCGATTTGATTGTACACCGGCAGCTCTAAAGAGTTGAAGAGAGGCGTCCGGAGTGACTGGAAAAGGACTGGGATGCAGCATGTCGCTTGCAAGCCCAGTCGGCTTGGTCAGCTCTATCGAGCTTCTGCGATGTGAACCACCACATCCGATTCCAAGGGAACCAGGTCACAGAAACCCATGCGACGCAAGAGAATCTATTGGTCTAATCGCCTGGCCACATGGTATTTCTGGTTTAGCGCAAGCCTGCATAGCATGATTTTTCACGGTTTACCTACAGTCAGCCGCTGCCCCGTGCAGACAAAGACATCCGATTGTTTACGTGGTTTGGCCGTTGTATGCAACATTGGTTTCAACAGTACTTTGGCCGAGCGGGTGGGCACACAGAGGAGGAAAAGCCAAACATCACGAGATGCCGCACATAAGCCTCAACTTATGGACGCTACGTTCGTTTCAACAAATGCTGTAGCGAAAGAGACTCAGAGAGCAGGTTTTATCCTTGTATTGTTGAGGAGAATTGGTCATCATTCGGACAATAGACCCCGTGGATACATGTCCACAAGTACGAGCGGACCAGACATAGCTTCGTTATCTCCATTTGCTCGCACTCTCCAATTCGAAAAGTTGGACTAAGGTACCTTGGGCAAAATCAGATGTTGAATTCAGCTATAAGAGCGAGGTAGTATTACAAGCTACGACGGGACAAAAAACTTTTAAATAGCGACACGCCTCTCTCAAAAAGCTATGCCACCATTTCATGATCTAAGTCTTTTGCCCCATTATCAAAAATCCATCAAGTCACTTTGAAGCAGCTACATGGAGGAAACATCAAGATGGTGGCCTTGCAAAATGCATCATCCGCGTTCGCGCCCTCTGGGTTGGGTTTGATGGAATCTCATGTCAACAACATCATTGTAGCCACAGATCTACCCCCAAATATCGACCAAGAAGCGATGGAAACAGCCCTCCTCTAGCGGCTGCAACATCCACCTCTCCATCCATCACCAAAATGCGCAACATCACACCTTCCCGGGCAGTCTACCCCTCCCCAACACCCTTCTCCGGTCACCTCATCCCTGATACCTCGTTCCCGCCGCCGCTGGTGTACATAGATACGGCATTGGGCTCCGTCGTAGCGCTGTACGTCGTCGGGCCCCAGCTAGCGGGCCACCCTAACATCTTGCACGGCGGTGCGTCAGCCGCCCTTGTGGACGAGATCATGGGTTGTACAGCCGTCGAACGTTTGCCCGCTCGCAAGGTCGCTGTGACGGCTACGCTGGAGCTCACGTACAAAGCCCCTGTCTTCTTGGGATCCGATGGAGGCTGGGGCTTGGTGGCTGTCTGCGCGCGCGTGCAGAGCGCTGCGGGACGGATGGCTCAAGTGGTTGGATCTGTCGAGAATATCAAGACGGGACAGAAGCTAACGTACCTGCATAGCGAGCGACGCATCATAGCGAGCGACGCACTCTCTCAAACCTTTCTACCTTATGTATAAGTTAACTTAGCCACAACGTACGAAATCAATTAAAACTATATATCACCCTCTTCCTCATTACTATCCCAAACCACTTCACAGGTTCGTGCGTTATGTCCAGGCTTCCCGCAATTACCACATCGTCGCGCGCGTGGTTCAGCACCTTCCGTACGACCCTCCTTCTGAGGGTTATTCTCTCCTCCAGCATTAACACCACCCTTCTCTACTTGTAGTGCCTCTGCTTCAGCACTATTAAGTGACCCTCCAAGACGTAGCCGGGTCTTTTTTGCCCTCCGGCGCTTACTTAGTACCTCTATCCCCGTACGAAGCTTACGGTTCTCAGCCTCAATAATAGCAAGCCTATGGGCTAACTTGCTAATACCTCTGGCCTGGAAGTCAATTACTTCGTACATTGCTGTTGGTGAGCTACCTTGATGTGCTTGGATCTTCCTTTTAAGGGAGGTAGCACTTCGTACGCCCTCTAGTGCTGTAATTGGTGTCCTTGGGTCCCAGGAGCCTTGGCTGCTTGGCCGTGAGTTTGATGGTGTTGGCGTCTTTGGCTTGAAATCCAAGCGAGAAATAACCACTTCAGGGTTAAAAGGTACAAGGCCTGCCTGCCTAAAACCAGCTCGTACGTTATTTTCGCCCATGGAAGTAAAGAATGCTGCTTTAAAGGCAGGAAAGAAGTCATCCTTTGTACTATGGGAAATCTGTATCCGCATCATCTTCTCGATTTCCTTGCCGTACGAGTACTTTAACGGGCTAAAGCACCCAACATCAAGAGGCTGAAGCTCGTGTGATGAATGGGGAGGCATACAAAGAGCAATAATGTTTTGTTCCTTGCAGTATTCGTCAAAGTCAGTCGATTTATGGCTATTATGGCCATCAAGGATCAAGAGGCGATAAGAGCCCTTCGTACGAGTCCTTGTACACTGATTAAAGTGCTTTAGCCAATCTAGGCCAATATCATTTGTCGTCCATCCATTTTCGCTTGGATGGATACGCCATGTGGCTGGAAATTGGCCATTACTATACCACGAGAGGAGGTGATATTTGCCCTTTACGATGACGTACGGAGGCAGCGCCCAGCCATCCGCACATACACCCTGAATGACAGAAACCCATTCTCGATTGCCAGGCTGTTTCGTACGAGGCCTTCCCTTACGGTCAGAAGTCGTAACAACCTTTGCGTGCGATAGCATTCCCATCAGGAAACCAGTCTCGTCAAAATTATAGATATCGTTATCCTGTATCCCATACTTTGCAATTGTGTTTCGCACAAGTGCAAACCAGCCTTGTATAATCGTAGGATCCTCAGCTAAGGCCCTCTGATAGTCGATTCGACGTTGAAACCGCATTTTCAATTCAGGGACGCGTCGTACGAAGTTCTCTGCCCATCGCGGTCCAGTACGCGTCCCATCGCGTGCGTTTAGGAGTTGGTCGGCCATTTCTCGTACGTCTTCTTGTCGCGGAGGGAACCCTCGATCGATTAGGTCAATAACTCGTTCAAGAATCACCTCCTCTTCTGTTATAGTCATCTTCATCGAATTTGGTCGTGTTTCACCTCGTGCGACGCGTCCAGCGCGTCGGTGGCGGAGGGTTGATTCAGGGACCTCATAGATAGAGGCAGCTCTTCGTATAGACATTTTCGGGTCTTTTTCAATAGCTTGGAGGGCAAGGGTAATTCGACTTTCAATTGAGGAGGATTGCATGTTCGTACGTGGAGAAAAGGTGACCTAAAGATGAAGAGGGTAGAATTGGGAGGACGTGCGTCGCTCGCTATGATGCGTCGCTCGCTATGCAGGTACGTTAGTAGAAGCACGCGGAACTTTTGTAGAGCCCATGGGGACATGGAAATGCGGACTCATCTGATGTTAAGTGTCGGGCAGCGTGGATTGGGGCACTGCCCGAGGTAGAATCACTAGTCATCACACACTTACAACATACTGTAAAGACTTAACAAATGCTCACAACGAACAACACTCAGTAAAATCACATAACGTTCAGCGCAGTGCCGCGTCAGTAGTCAAATGCGAAGTTCGGTGGTACGACAAAGCTGTGTGATGCATTCAACTTGTCAATATCTGTTGGTATCCCTATCACAGGGAAGTTGGTTCGAACCACTAGGCTCTGTGGGTGACGAAGGGTCAATTGATGTATATTGACTGATTCTGCGTAATGTGTAAAAGGGAGATTCCAACTGTAGGTTGGGTGGGCAGTCGAGGTCTACTAGAGGGCCGAGGGGGGCCCTTGTTTTGCCCCTGACTCGCAGTCGAATTGGACTTCCAATCCGACAATATCCAAGGCCTCACCTCACATCGCTAAAGCCAGCTAGATAACGATCATGGAAGTTTATCTACAGAGAAGCTCGTAGTGCCAATTGCTTCAGGGCTTGCCCCGCGTTTCTTTTCTATCGGCAATAGACACTCGATCTTGAATAGTATTCCCATGGTTCGCGCGCTAGCTGCTTGGTGTACCTACGTAAACCAAAGTACTTTGATGTTACGTATGCATACGATCAAATAACTGCGAAAATCAGAGCTCAAAGTGTAACTTGAAAGCCAACCTACGAGATATGACCAGGTAATCTACAGACAACTTCTTTGCTAAACTGAACCAAAAAACAACAGGAATCTCATAGATACATGACTGTGGCCGAAATTGCAACCCATGTTAAACTACCGTTAGAGGCCTTAGGAACAGCGCCCACCCCAAGGCAAGTAAAGTTGCCAAGTTCAATCAATCAATCAATCAATTATGAAGCCATCGCCAGTCAATCAAGTCAATTATGAGCCTCAAACTTGATTGATTGCCTTGGGGTGGGCGCTGCTTGGGAAACTGAGCGATCTTGAATAAAAAGTCTCCAAACCACCAACCCCTTTCTTGAAAAAACCGCCCCTATCGAGATGGCCAAAGTACTACGCACATCTTCTTGTTTCTTTCCATTTGATATTGGCGATTTCTAGTTGTGGAACGATTCGTAGAGAGTTCGGAACAAAGAAGCCCGACCAAGAAGCTCCGCGGGGCAACCTTCCTCGACGATGACTCCCTTGTCTAGGATCACGATCTTGTCAAAGTCAAGAACGGTATCGAGGCGGTGAGATACCGAGATGATGGTTGCATCCGCAAATCGTTCCCGGATGACATTCATCATTTGCTTCTCAGTGTCGACGTCAACACTAACATGGAGGGTCAGCCACAAGTCTTCCTAGAACTAAACAATCACTGTGCACGTATTGGCCTCAGTGGACAAGCCAGACATACCTGCTAGTAGCTTCATCCATGACCACAATCTTTGACGGGCGGAGGATACCTCTCGCCAAGCAGAACACCTGTTTCTGTCCGTGCGAGAATAAGTCATCGGTGAAGTCTGCATCGAGTCCACCCTTCTCCTCAATCAAACCCCAGAGGCCAACGGCGCGGAGGGCCTCGGTGATGGTCTCATCTAAGGTTGTGCCTTCGGGGTCGCAGTTAAGGCGTATACTACCGCTGAAAAAGGGAGGCTCTTGAGGAAGCGCGTTCAATCGTTGACGCAGAACTTCGCGTGGCATTGTCGCGATGTCAACGCCGTCAATGATGATCTGACCCTCGCTGCAGTCGATGAGGTGGAGGAGAGTAAGGAGCAGAGAACTCTTGCCGCTGCAAAGAGGGTGATCAGCCAAGTGTCACCAAGATGCCACGAATGTGATCGATGAAAACAAACATACCTTCCGCTTCGTCCACAAATGCCAACTTTCTGACCAGGCAGAACTGTGAGAGAAACCTTTGAGAGAACGTTGTCCATTCCCTCGCCATACGAAGCAGTCACATTGTGGAGGCTAATCGCTCCACTCCCGGGCCAAGACTCCGGTGGCGTCTGCGGCTCCTCGGCCTGGCTCTCACCGGGCGTCTGCTCAGCGAAAGTCTTCACACGCGCGACGGCACCGATTGAAGTCTCGAGAAGGGTCCATGTGGTGATGGCCGCTTTCATGGCGCTACTAAGACCCATGATGTTGTACAAGGCGACACCAGCAAATCCTGCGCCCACACGACCGCGCAGAGCGACTGCGACAGAGATGAGAACGATGGCGAGAGCGGCAACAGTGAGGTCAAGAACGAGGGTGAGCCAGCGCTGGATGCCGTAGAGGAGATACATTGGTCTCTGCGAGATGTCCAGGCGGTCTCGCATAAGGGTCGTCAGGTCCTTTTGCCAGCCAAATGCACGGATTGTAGAGAGTCCGCTCAGAGTCTCAAGGAATTGGGAGCTGACGTACGTTATTACGCGATCCTTCTAAATGACGATCTCCTTGGCTTGGAATGGCACTTACTACATGGGGGCCTTAGCGTCTAGCTCTAGGAAACGGAGCTGACGTGATGTCCGCAGGTAGAATCTTTGGATTATCCAGAGGACACCGCCAAGGAACGGGAAAACTGCAATGAGCTGGTAAGATGCAGGAATGATCATGAGAGCCTGTGCGATGCAAATGAGTCCGTCTGGATGAAAGTTAGTATCGACTTTCAACCATGTTTGTCAAGTCATAAAAGGACTCACTGGCAGCAACATTAAGAAGAGCAATCGGCAACTCAGCGTCGATCAACTGAATGTCCTGGCTGAATCTGAACAGGGGGTCAGTCTCGAAAGTCCACCAAAAGTCATGTACATGCCTACCTGTTGACGATGGAGCCAGTATTTGTTGTGGCGAAGAAGGACAAAGGTGCACTTGGCTTTGTTAGCAACAGTAGGTGGTACTACAAGAGTCAATGATGACTTGCCGGAGGGCCTTCTCGAGAAGAATCCAATGAAGTGTGATACCAGAAGTAACGGCCATACCAAGTACCACGTGCCTTAAGCAAATATGTTAGTAACAGATTTCGAGGCGAAAACAATAGTAAGTAGAACCTACCGGCAGACCGCCGCCAGCGCCACCAGTGAGAGAACTTGAAGCACGGTATAGACTCCCATGTACTTGCCGGTCTCATGATTGGGATGTAGGTCATTTGCTTCACCCCACCATGAAAGCCAAATTTCTACCAATCACTTGGTCAGTAAAGCTCGCGTTTGAGGTGGGAACGGGGTTGGTTAAGTAGGAACGCACCAGGGAACTTTGTTAGGAAAGCCCAGATAATCTGCAGGATGAGGAAAACGATGACGCTGCGAAGACCAGTTGCTTGAAAGTAGTACTTGTAAATTGAACGATCACCCAAGCGTTGAGTCTCCTCGTCAACACTACTATCGGTGGCCGTATCTTTCTGCTGAGGCTGGAATGCAGATTTGCCGTTATCCTGTGCTGCATCGCGCTGGATCGCATCTTCCTTGGTAATGAGACCTAACTTGCTGATGTAGCCAGGCTGCTTGTTGAGCTCTTCAAATGTTCCACGAGAAGCGATGGTGCCGGTTTGGTCGAGGGTGACGATGTAGTCTGCTTGAGGAAGAGTGTGTACTACAAGATTATCAGGACAGGGAGAGGAAAGGGGTGGCGAGATGAATTACATACCAGCGTGGGTGACAAACAGCGCGGTGACATTGCGCTGTCTCAAGAGGCCAGATATTCCGAAGAGGTTGTTGAAGACGCGAGTTTGTGTCTCAAAGTCGAGACCACTGAAGACGTCGTCAAAGAGAATACAATCCCGTCGGGAATAGACAGCGCGGGCAATAGCCTAAAGAGCACGTGGATTAGAAAAGGGGTTATCAAAGAAATAACGGCAAAGTGATCAATGCTTACTACGCGCTGCTTCTGGCCACCACTGAGGGTAATGCCCTTGCTACCTACCATGACCTGGTCGCCATCTGGGAACGTCACAATGTCCTCCTCCAAGGCACAAGCTCGGATAACGGTACTGTACCAAGAAGCCTCGAAGTGAGAGAAGCCAGTGACATTGCGACGGAGGGTCTCGTTTGTTAGCCAGGGAATCTGGTCACAGAAGGCGATGCTGTCAGAAGATCGGCCAATGGTCCCCTCTGCAACAAGAGTTTCACCCAAGATAGCCTTGAGGAGGGTTGATTTTCCAGAGGCCACAGGCCCGACGATCATCGTGAGCTTTCCAAGGGGAATATCCAGCGTGAGGTCAGCCAAAGCGGGGTCCGCGTCTGCCTTCCATCCGAATTTGGCATTGCGAATCTCAAAGGCATTTCCGTTGGCTAGAGGATCCAGAATGGAAGTCACTATGGCTGTGGGCTGCTTTTCGGACTCCTGGCAAACCGAGGAGCCGCTCTGAGATTCACTGACGGAGGACGTGCTGTCGAGTTTGCCGGAAGTGCTACGGACTTCTGACTTGGCAGACGTCTCTGGGGACAGAAGAAAGGATTGGATGCGACCGAAGCAGGCGATAGAGGCAAAGATGTTTGGAAGGTGGGCGAACAGCTCGTTCAGCGGCTGAGTGACGAGTGTGAGAAGGGCTAGTGACGTGAAGATTCGGTTCGAGTCTAGGGTGGTATGGTCCTTTTGTGCGATGGCCGTGTATGCGCCGAAGGTTACGACTGGGGAGATAGCGCCAGGCGAGTATGCTGTGATGAGTCAGTGATGCCGGCCTTTCTTTCCTTTTCGCGTCGTCATAAACCTTACATAGTGTGACAATGATGAGCAGCATGGTTCTGAACTTGGCTGCAGACGCAATTTCCTTGAGGCGAAGGTCCTGGATGATCTGGAACATCTTGTCGGTAAATCCGGACAGTTTGACGCCTTTGGTAGATCCCAAAACAGAAGAAGTGACCGCTACAAAACAGGTCAAACATTAGCAAACTCGGATGAGTAGCGAGCTACTACGTAGATCGCATGACCAGAATTTCAGAAGGTGTTGGTCTTACCAACTCTCTTTTGGATAGCCGCCATCCAGGATGCCTGGAAAGCCCCAGCGGAACCCGAAAGGACTCCCGCACCAACTGCACAAACTGGACAAAAAGTCAATAAATGGACCATCCAGTATTGTTGGAATCATCGCTTACGCAAGAATAGTCCAAGCGGGACCATAAACACTACTCCAAGCTGTCTGTACAGCAAGGCGAGAGCTACGGCCATCTGGAGAAGAGTCGACCAACTCTCGTGGATCTTGGACATGCCATTGACAATTCTCTCGACGTCAGTGCTCATCAAGGTGACCGCAGCAGCTTCCTCAGCGCCTGTGATGCTCATGGAGGTTGTTTTCTCGTAGATCAAGAGCACGAGACAGCCACGCATCATGGTCGCATAGCGAAAGACGAGGTGTTGACAACCGGCAGTTACAATCTACAACTCATAATAAGTCAAATCATACCCTACAAAGTTGATGAAAATTTTTCAGAAGTTCCACTCACCGCAATGCAGATGTACACCAAGCCATAGGCCCCGATCAGTCCATATCCAATGTTTCTTTGGCCCTCTGAATGGTCAACTGGGCTCGCGAGATAGGCCATGATGGTGCTGATCATGAATGGTTGTGCCAGCTGGAGTCCAACAAGGATCATGTAAACAGGAACAGGCATCAGAATGGGCCACTTCAGAGCCGAGAAGATGGCTTCAAGTAAGGCATGGTTTCCCTGCTTAGTTGCTGCCAAGTTGAACCAGGTATGTTAGTAGCGGCAAGGATACGGCACGATTACGGAATTCACTCACAGTTCTTCCACTTCTGTCCAAGGCGGTTCCAAAGAGAATCGGAAAGCAGTTGTCTATCAATGGCGGGGAGCTTGGCAATTGATAGCGGAGAAGAGTAGCCCTTGTAAAGCAGACTATTGAGCCAGTGGAAACCAATACGATTGAACAGACCAGCGGTTTCTTCAGAGCTGCACTCGCCCGAATCGTCAATGATCCATCGTCTCTTGCTAGCTTCCTCCTGGACAAGAAGCGCAAACTTCAGAGCAAAAGCTGCGGTTGAGAGTGATACTAGTGGGGTCCCCACCGATTTCACCCAAAGGGTCCGCAGGTGGACAGCATCGAAGATGGTAGACAAGGCCAAAAACGCGCTCAATAACAATGACGGGCTGAGTGATCGTGAGTGCTCTGTATAAGATAGAGCAGCCACGAAGATGCTGTCAAGGGTGGTTAAGGCGGCGGCGGCAATGGCTGCTGTTCTGTTTAACGTGAGATCTGTGTTGCACGCCCAAAGTGCGGTGAGAGCGACAGAGATGGCAGTAAGAGCTAGGATCGGAGCCTGGAGGGTTTTCGCTGTTAGTAAGCTGTAATTGAATAAATTTCAAACAGGCTGTCAATGGAAGCTAGATTTACCAGTTTAAACAGGCGAAAGGCATTGCCTGCAACCTTGTGCTGTTCCGAAAAGCGAGAGAGAATCCTCCAGGCCGCCGAGATGATGAAAATTGAAGATGGGAGAATCGACAAAATCGTGTCCTCAAACAGGAGCGTGAAGTCAAATTTACGAACGCAAGAGTTCACCACCGGGCCAAATGCGAAATCACCAGGGTCGCCTGGCGATGCACAAGTCGCCATGGTGGCCATTGAAGGGAGATCTCTCAAGAAGCAATGTAGGTGTTGAAACGAGGCGACAAAGTTGAGAAATTCTACTTGGTCACGATGACTTCGAGGTCGACCAAGCTGATCTGTCCAAGTGCGGCGGTAAAGGAGATTCAAGACGCAAGTGGAGCACTGTACTGTCTAATAGTTTGTCCTTGGCTTATTGATGTACAAAACCACAACAGCCACTTGGCTCTTCACACGAGCAGAAAGAAATGACGAGAAGGTGCCATTGTTATGAGTAGTGAATACAAACTGGAAGACATCGCTTTGGTAGCTGTTAACGGCACCAATTGGTCTTGCTTGCTTGGTGATAAGGCGACGGAATTGTTTGCACGTTCAGCTATATAGAATGGGTGGTCTCGGCTGCAACATCCCTGTTCCCTGCATGAAATGGCGTGGTTGAGGGACCAAACGAGTTTAGACGCAGGGAGATGTGTTACAAGGGCGGATGCACAGGACAAGCAGGCTAAGCAGCTACCAAAGCTGGACTGGCGTCGAAAAAGGCTTGATGTGACCCTAACCTGCATTCATCCGAACTGGTGTGAGCAGGGGTGTTAGGACTTCTTCACTGAGCTCTGTTGGTTGGACGGCGTGAAATTGGACGAACCAACAAGCCAGACTTGCCTCGTTGTCACCTCACCCCCTGGCCACCATGCTGACCCAGTGACCTTGACTTTCCCCCAGCTTCTCATCTTAAAGGCCAACAGACGAGTCTAGAACTCTGGGTTGTATCGATCAGGGTCCAACAGGCTTCTAAAAGTGCATATGCTGTTAATTCTGCGATGCACTAAAGTAAGGAACTTATGTTGCTGGATAGAAAGCGAACCCCTGCTTATCTTTGCCGATATGCGCCGCAGAATCACGAGTAACAGCAACAAGCTGATTGGTGGTCTATACGGCCGTTGCAAGCCCGAACAGCTTAAATGGTGTGGTAAAGGGTGCGTGTCCGTCCCATTTCGTACAAAAGAATGAGGTCTAGTTCAAACCTCATGAAGTCTCAATTCCGTCCTGCCGAAATGGTGCAAGGCACAATCCAGGCCATGAAAATGTGCCTTCCTCAATGCGTAATTAAGTAAGTAGCAATGCCGGCCCCCAAGCCTACCTGAAGTACATTGGCACGATATCCACATGTACAGAGATCCCGACATTTGGTGTTTTTAGGCCATGATGGTAAGTGACAGCAGGGCTGTGCCGCAGCAAGCCCCCTCTCGTAGAGCTGAATTATGAAGTGGTGTTTGCCCGTTGGTTCTACACATTCTGGAGAGGCCAACGTACTTTGCCATCAGAACTGTCCCAACACCCAAACTGGATTTCTGATCTGTTGGTTCAAGAAGCAGTGGATCCCAAGACGTGAACTCTGAAAACCAATTCTGTTAAGGTGTCAGGATATCCGCATTGACACGCATCTTACCATTCTACACGGCGAAAGTCTCGATTCCTCTCTCAGCTATTGATCCTACAAACTTCCAGCTTGAAAATATGAGCTCTGACCTCCCTCCTCCTCCCTCATACGACGACGCCGTCTCCGCCGTCGCCCGCCAGCCGCCCTTTCCGCGTCCAGACTCCGTTGCGGTCCATCACATCATCGTCGGAACCGGCGCCACCTCTCTCTCCCTCCCGTTTCCCGACCCTGCTGAGGTTTGGAAGAGTCGCGACATCTCCGTCCAGGACTGGGCCGCCTTCGCCTCCAACATTACCGCGGCACTCGACGCCAACACCGTGGACGACAAAAAGCAGGCGACAAACATGGAGGAATACAAGGAAAAGCGCTTGATGGAAATTGTCGAGGGTTGGAATCGTGGTTTCTTTGAGCAGCGCGGCCTCAGAGTTGTCCTCAACGGACAAGATGATGCTGCTCCCACTGCAGACTCCTCTGCTGACGGCTCACGGTTCAGTTTTGGCCCTAAGAAGTTTGGGGTTCAGATTGGAGGGGGTATTTTTGGCGTGGATCTATCTAAGAAGCCTGTTTCGGAGAAGTAGACGGCAATTTTCGCCATCAAGTTCGAAGTAAACCGACTTGATGTGCAGAGAAAAAGGAAAATTGTCGCTTGAAATTTTGAACACAATGGAGCGCAACACTGTTGGAATTGGTATCAAATGTGTTTCGCAGCATTCATGTTCTCTTCTGCCATTCTACTATCGACAAATTTCTGTCACGGACAATGAATTGAAGTTTTCTGAACACGAAGCAACTCAGTAAAGGCCTAGAATGTCGAGGGAAAATCAGAAGAAACTGCGGAAATACCAGACGTTGCGCACTTTCGTCAGGAATATGTAAGCTCGAGGTTTGGCACATTCTCAGCCTATGCTGGCTTTGAAGCTCTCCGCTTTCTCGAGGCAAGGGATCAGAACAGGTTTTGGATCAAATGAGCACTAACATATTTAGATACTTATGAAATCTTCTGGCAGAGTCGGGTAAGAGTCAGTCAGGTAGTACACGTACCTTATGCTTCGCCGGCCGTCTCCCAGATCATTCAATTCTCTAACACCTATACCCGTATCGCTCATCATCAGCTATGAAGAATTAGACACGATAAGGACTAGTAAGGCCTGTTGCACCTTGCACCAAACTGAGCAAGCATCCCGATTTGACTTGGATTACCTTCTAGTAATTGAAAGTATCACCGGTGACACAGGCTCTAGTTAGAGTTGTTCACAGCTATACTAGGCTTTATTTGTTAAATTGCAAAGCTGAAGAAGAAAGACTAAACTAAACTAAAGAGCGCAGGATCTGTCCGTAGACTTATAGGCTATGGGCAGATCTTCTGGAATATTCCGTTGAACAGGTGGAGTTCTGCGAGTAAGATAGAACCCCCCTTCTCGGATGTTGTAGAAACTTCCATAAATGAAGGCATAGCCTTGAAGTGGGGCGTAGCCCGTGACAACCGGGCCCCGAAGTCGGAAACGAGGAAAGCTTCATTAAACATCCGCTATTACACAATATGGCCCGATCCACCACCCATTCCCTCCGTTGTAGGGGAACCGACTTCCATATCCGTAAAACGGAGAAGCTTGCCGTCTCCAACCAAATGAACCATATTAAGTGGTTCTCACAGCTCCCGGCCGCGAACCCCATGTCGCGTCATCAGGCGCAAGGGGCTTTAGCATCCGTCATAGCATCCGCAGTAGCAAACCCCTACGTCAGCCCCACCAAGAGCCCCTCCCCCGAACGCATCCACATCACGCATGATTTGGTTGTAAAGAGGACATGGAGTAGGCCGAGAGTGAGGTTAAATGCCTAATCCTCCAAGTTATTTTGGACCTAGACTGAGATTTCATTCGGGTAACCCAATAGGGACTCAGTGCGAGAAGCGGAAGGATCTCGGCTATTCCACGTAAGCGAGAGAGATCATAACGACCGACGCCCAGTCGTTCAATCGAACCCGGTCTTCATACTACGAACTTTATATCGGATGCCTGCCAAATCCCGCTTTTCATCTGCCTTCAGTTCGTCCAGGCGTCTTGTTAACCTAGCGTCTCTTTAACGCATTCCTTGTACAGAGAGACCGTTCCGGCTTAAGCAATATGCCTCCGGCTCGTGCCAGGCCGAAGGCGTCCACTAGCATCTGTCTCCAACAAACAAGTGCCGCCCGTTCGAAAACTCCGCCGGATGCCAAAACAAGAAAGATTAGCCGAGCCAGTATCCGTTACATCAAATTCTTTCAGCCCCTCTGGCTATGCTAACATGCCGCCTCAGGCATACTTGATATCCTGATGTTATAGCTTCCGCTTTAATGGCGTGTTAGCAAAATCGGCATGACTCGTGCGTTGGCAACTAGAAAGTATCCTCAACTATCAAGTCAAACACGCTCCGGCTCCCTGGCAGAGTCTTTCTTCTGTACCAAAACGACTGTTTCTTTTTAAGGCCATCGTAAACGACCTGATCACCAAGCGCCAAGGGCAGTCTTTCTCCACTGTTGGGATCCACGACATAGCATCCGTTCAATTAGCTGGAAAGCTTCGAGTGGTCCCCATGCCTTGTCAAAAATGTCGATAGTTTCAATGCTCCCTTTTACGAAGAGGACCTTATCTTCGATGAGCAGGTTCCCGCTAGCCTTTTACTCCATCGATCTACCACAGAAAGCTCGCCTAGCCATCATCATGTTCCTCATATGCAGCGTCGACCAGCCGTCCGCTGTATTGGCTCTTCAACCCGGTCTCTATGCCCGTTTGGCTAGCTCTCACCACAGATCGGAGCATCGATCGAATGTGTCGAAGAGCTTCCTGACCCTGGTTTGAACTTGGTCGACACGAAGTCACTTCCACTATACCGGAAGATCGTGTTGAATGTAGCAAGACTGCAGTTTGTGCGTCCGCGTGAGGTCCAAAGTTCCAGTTCGGAGCCTTCAGCAAACCCCACCAGAACATTGCATCAGGCTGCCTGGACATTCCGAACATGGATCTTTTCGTCTAGGATATTGCCGTCAATGATTGAGAAGTCTCAATAATAGCCGCTTAGTTCTCCTTGGTTTGCTGAAAAATTTCCATCCCAAATCGCGTCTCACATCAGTCCACTGGCTAGTTCCATTCACACTCATCAATATCTTCGTCAAATCCCACTTGAACGTTTCACGCAGACAGTCTTACACAAACAAACCTGTAGACTATCATCTTACTACACGTAACCGACAAAATGAACCCCAGCCGTACCCAGATGATCGCCTTTTGGCAGACTTACGTTGCCAGTCTCGAGCCTTGCACCCTCAATCTCGCTGGCGGTTTTCGATCTGTCGACAACCAGCATCGCACCATGGACATTCCTGTCCATGAAGACGGTCTGGCGAAAATCCAGCAGTTCTGCACCGAAATTGACGTGCCCTTGGCCGCTGCTCTGAAGGCAGCCTGGGCTATGGCTCTCCACGCCTACGCCAACACTGACGGCGTGCTCTTTGAAGTCGTTGAAGGCTCTCTGGGAGCTGACGAGGTTTCGGGAGAGCACGCGACCATATGTGCCCCCCGGGAATCTCTTGTCCGTTTCCAATTCGGGAATAATACGACTTGTGCACAAGTCGTCAGCGACATGGACGCTGATCAGTCTAGCAGCGGCGATTTCAAGATGGTGAACATCGCCCAGGCTTGGGGGGCTGCACATGGAATCACTGGCTCCTTATATAACACCAAACTGGCACTGTGGGATCATGGTGATCAGGTGTCATCCAACGTCGTTCTTCCGTCAGAGGTAAACGACAACAATCAGGTACGCTGTCATGTTCATGTCTTTTTGGCGAACGCTCACAGCGCGCATGTGAAATGCCGTGAAAGTCTAATTGGGCGATTTTTCTCACAAATTTGATAGATTGCTTGTACAATCCACTTAGGCATTCGGAGGCACTCTATCAGCCTACATGTAGAGTACGAAACATCCCTTGTGTCCGACTGGGAGGCCGGCCATATCGCTACGACCTTCAACCACATGGTCAATCTCATCACATCGCAATACACAACACCAATCCCATCGTTGGACGTTGTTCCGGCATCTCACCTAGAAGAACTCGAGCGCTGGAACCATGGAAATCCGCAAGCAATTCAAAGCTGTGTACACAAAGTTTTTGAATCCCGCGTCAACTCTCAACCCGACGCTATCGCCGTGGCTACGCGGCAAGGAGACCTCACATTTCGCCAACTTGACGACTTGGCGAATAGCCTGTCACATCGCCTCGTGAATCTTGGCGTCGGCCCAGATATTTTTGTTCCTGTTCTCTTTGAAAAAAGCGTCTGGGCCCTAGTATCTTGGTGGGCTATCTTGAAGGCTGGCGGCGCCTTTGTACCCATGGATGTTGGCCATCCTGACCAGAGACTTCACGACATCATCTCAACATGTCAGGCAAGCCTTGTTTTGACATCATCCTCTAGTTCGAGTCGAGTTTCAACATTGGACATTCAAACTCTTGTTGTCGACCAAGACCTCATGGACACATTGCCTAAGAAGACGTCACCACCAAGGACATTAGTTGCTCCCCACCACGCCGCCCTCGTCATCTTCACCTCTGGAACCACAGGCAAGCCAAAGGGCATCGTCCTCGAGCACAACGCTGTTTGTACGGCATCCGCTGCACAGGCTGTGGCCTTCAACATGGGACCGGGCGATCGTGTGTTGCAATTTGCCTCATATACCTTTGACATTGCCCTCTCCGACATGTGCACGAACCTGATGGCCGGGGGGTGCGTGTGCATCCCGTCAGATCAAGAGCGCATGAGCAACCTTTCCGGATTCATCGCTGACATGGGCGTCAACTATGCCAACTTGACGACGACAGTCGCCGGCCTCTTAGATCCGACGTTAGTGCCTAGCCTGAAAACCCTGGTGCTTGCGGGCGAAGCAATCACAAAGGAAGCTATGACGACCTGGTCCGGCGTTCTCAAATTGTACAACGGCTATGGTCCCGCAGAATGTTCTTTGTGTACTGCTTACGGGCCCATGTGCATGGATGATGAGCCTGCCAACATCGGTCTCGGTCTCGAGACCATCTGCTGGGTTGTCGATCCGAACGACCATAATCGCCTCAAGCCTCTTGGAGCCGTGGGCGAATTGCTCATTGAAACTCCTCTCATGGCGCGAGGTTATCTGAATGATCCGGAGAAGACGCAAGCTGGATTCATCTATGATCCTCATTGGGCCTCCGATCGGTCCGGTCGCCAACGACGTATGTACAAGTCTGGTGATTTAGTCCGGTATAGCGAAGACGGTACCCTGATCTACTTGGGTCGCAAAGATCACCAAGTTAAGATCAATGGTCAACGCGTCGAGTTGTCCGATATCGAATTCCATGTCCTGGCAAATCTGAGCAAGGCCAGTCAAGTCGCTGTTGATTTGGTTCAGTTCGGATCCGATGCTCGCAAGACCCTCGTTGCCTTCGTCTGCGTCGAGCAGGAGAGCCATTCGGCAGAGAGCTCATTCGGCGAAATCTTCCTGCCTATATCAGAAGACCTTCGTCCCAAGCTTCTGGCTCTGGAGGAGAGGCTCTCAAGTCGCTTACCCGGGTACATGATACCATCGATGTACATGCCGGTTTTTAGTCTGCCAATAACGATCGCTGGCAAATTGGACAAGCGGACAATCCGCGCCCATATCGCCCGACTCTCAAGCGCACAAATTGACAGCTATTCTCTCGTTGACTCTATATCTGCTGAGAACAGTGAGTCAATGTCTACGACTCAGTCAATGCTCTCCGGACACTGGTTGAATATTCTTTGTCTGTCACAAGCGAAAGCCATCCGCCCAGAAGACAGCTTCTTCCGGCTTGGTGGCGACTCTTTGACTGCGATGAAGCTTTCAATCTCTTTGAGAAAAGACAAAGTGTCACTCAGTGTTGCTGACATCTTTCGGGGGCCGACTCTGGCTCAGATGGCTGCTCTAATGACTCGTGTCACTGACGCGGAGGACGAGACTACCTTGGCTCTGGCTGAGCCCTTTTCCCTGATTGACAAACACCACCAGACCTCAGTTCTACAGAATGCTGCTGAGCAGTGCTCTGTACCTGTCGAGTCTATCACAGACATCTTCCCTTGCACGCCCCTGCAAGAGGGTTTGATGCTCTTGTCGGACAAGGAACCTGGCTCTTACATGGCTAGGAACGTTTTCCAACTCGGTCCTGAGGTCGACATCCAACGTTTCAAGGATGCATGGGAGGAGGCCGTCCAAACCACACAGATCCTCCGAACCACGATTGTTCACAACGATGAAATAGGATCTTTACAGGTTGTCATTGATGGGACTACCTCCTGGGAGGACAGCGAGCTCAGCCTCGACGTCTACCTTGTCGAGGACAAACCCGCCAACATGACCTATGGAGACTCATTGAGTCGTCACGCAATCGTTGGGAACGGCCGGGAGAGGTACTTCGTTTGGACGGCGCATCACTGTGTCTTTGATGGCTGGTGCATTCCCATGCTCACCGAGAAACTCGCCAACCTCTACGACGGCACGCCAGTTTCTCTATCTATGCCATTCAAATCGTTTATCCGTCACCTCCAGGATCTCGACAAGGGGATCGCAAGCCAATTCTGGAGTCAGCAGTTGGATCAATCGAGACCAGGCTACTTTCCGAAGCCAGTCACACACGAAACTGCCAAGGATTCCATCGTCGAGAGCGTTGCGACTCATGCCATCAGCTTTTCACCGACAGCGTCCGACATCACTCCGTCTACTATTCTCCGGGCGGCATGGGCGCTGGTTGTCGGGAAGAACTCTGATCAAGACGACTTCACCTTTGGCGCGACCGTCACGGGTCGTAACGCGTCCCTCGATGGGATTGACACGATGATGGGACCGACAATCACAACTGTACCAATCAGAGTCCGTATCGACAGGGAGCGAAGCGTGTCCGATTTCCTGGCGGCACTGCAATCTTCCTCGACCGAAATGATCCCTTTTGAGCATTTTGGCTTGCAGAACATCAGTGCCATCAACAGTGACGCCAAGTCCGGCTGTGGCTTTCAAAATGTCCTCGTTATCCAGCCTCAGTCAGAAGAGGCCACAGTTTCGTCCGGCCTCGACATTCAATTTACGAACAAGGGTGGCATGAACGGCCACACCTACCCCCTCCTAGTCGAGTGCACCCTGGGAAGTGACCGCGTTGAGATAATCGCGAGATATAATCCCGCGTGCCTCACGACCGACTACATGGCGCGCGTGCTGCACCAGTTCGAGCATGTGATCGACCAAATTACCACTAACCCGGAACGCAAACTAGGAGACGTTGATTTCTTCAGCCCTTGCGATATACAGCAGCTCTCTAGATGGAACTTTAGAGCACCAACTACTGTGGAAGCCTGTATACACGAACTCGTCAGGCTTCAGGCTATGCAGCAGCCAGACAGGCAGGCAATCTGTTCGTGGGACGACAATCTTACCTACGCAGAACTTGAAGATCGTTCCACTAGACTAAGCCTCTACCTTGTGTCGCTGGGGGTATCGAGTGGAGAGATTGTGCCTCTGTGCTTTGAGAAATCTGCCTGGACCATTGTGTCCATGATTGCCGTTCTCAAAGCTGGAGCAGCTTTCGTCGCCCTGGACCACTCCCACCCCATTGACAGACTTAACGGTATTGTACGAGACACAAACGCGAAAGTCTTGCTAACATCTGGGTCTCTAGAGAATTTACTAGATACTACTGACAAACTTGTAGTTCCAGTAAGCGGGGACTTTGTCGAGACATTGCCTCCGTCGTCCGATAACGCGTTGCCTTTGCCGACGGTCAACCCTTTTGATGCAGCCTACCTCATCTTCACCTCTGGCTCCACCGGCAAACCGAAGGGAACCATCCTCGAGCACAAGGCCTTCTGCTCCAGCTCGCTTGCCCACGGGAAAGCTCAGTTGACAAATTCATCTTCCCGTGTCCTCCAGTTCTCGTCGTACGCCTTCGATGCCTCCCTCGTTGAAATTCTCACCACCCTCATCCACGGCGCTTGCGTCTGCGTGCTAAGCGAGGAAGAGCGCATGGGCGACATCGTCAGCGCAATGAACAGAATAGAGGTCAACTGGGCCGTGCTGACCCCATCCTTCATCAACCAGATTTCACCGCAGCAAGTACCCCAGCTTAGGACCCTCGTCCTGGCCGGCGAGGCCATGTCTCGGAAAGACATCGAGCGATGGGGTGCCGCGGTGGAGTTGGTGAACGGGTACGGGCCCTGCGAGTGTGCCGTCGTCTCCGTGGTCAACTCGCATGTTACGGTGAACACGGATCCGAAAAACATTGGGTTCCCTACTGGCAACCGCTGCTGGGTGGTAGATGCTGCGGACCATACACGACTCGCACCCATCGGTTCGGTTGGCGAGCTTGCTATCGAGGGTCCGACTTTGGCTCGTGGCTACTTGAATGATCCGGGGAAGACGGCACTGGCGTTCGTGGAGCGCCCGCGGTGGCCTATCATCGGCCTGGAGACAGATATTTGCCGCATGTACAAGACGTAAGTTGTTATTATCTCGGAACATTTTCTGAGAGAAAAAGCAATACTGATCATGCAACCGCAGAGGCGATCTTGTTTGCTACAATCCCGATGGATCCCTCAACTTCGTTGGCCGGAAGGACACCCAGATCAAGATCCGCGGCCAGCGAATCGAGCTCGGCGAGATCGAGCAGACCCTGGCCTCCTGCCCCGATCTCCAGCACGTATTTGTGACTGTGCCAAAATCAGGCAAGCTCCAGGATCGCCTCGCAGCCGTCATCACCGCCAGAGCTGGTGACACTTCGGGAGGGCCACTAGAAGGCCCCCCGTCCCTAGCGTCCCAGCTTCCGAGGAACACCATCGCCAAGATCATTTCAGATACCCATCACAGGCTTACTAACGCCCTTCCAATCTTCATGATACCGACAGCCTGGGCTCTTGTCGCAGCAATGCCGATGAACAAGTCCGAGAAGACTGACCGCAAGTGCCTGAACCAGTGGCTGGTTGATCTCGAAGACGAGGTCTACAATACCATTATGGACGCAACCTCCGGTTCAGATGAGGACACTCAAGCGACCACCACAGCCGAGCAGACGATTCAGCGTATCGTCAGTCGTGTCCTGGGCCTTTCCATTGAGAAGACAAAGATGTCCTGGTCGTTTGTAGCAATGGGTGGGGATTCCATCACTGCTATGCAGGTCAAGTCAGCGTCCAGGATAGAAGGCTTGTCTTTCACGGTTCAGGACATCATTCGAAGCAAGTCTCTGATTCAGCTCGCCTTCTGTGCCCGGGAGATCGCGGGCCATGAAGGCAAGCCTCCAACGTACGTCGAGCAGACCGAGAAGATATTTGATCTTTCGCCTATCCAACAGCTGTACTTCGAGCAAGCTTTTGTCGAAGGCTCGTGGTTCAACCAAAGCATGGCTGTCAAGATTTCCAAGCATGTTGATGCCTCGGTGCTATCTGCTGCAGTTGTAGCTTTGGTCCGTCAGCACTCGATGTTACGCGCTCGCTTCTCCCTTGGACATGAAGGCCGCTGGGTGCAGAGGATCACTGAGGATATCGACACTTCGTATGTGATTCGGCACTTCACAGTCGACGAGGAAGCCGCGATGGACGACATCTCGACAAGCAGCCAGCTAGAGATTGACCCTGAACAAGGTCCCTTGCTCATCGTTGACGCGTTCAAGGTTGACGACAACAGGCAATACTTGTTCCTCACCGCAAGTCATCTGGTGGTCGACCTTGTCTCCTGGAGAATCCTCCTCGATCACCTGCAAACTCTGCTCGTCAACAGCGACGCGTCAAAATTTGTCGCGACGCCGTTCCAGCAGTGGTGTGAATTGCAAGCCCAGCATGCACAGGAGAAACTATCGCCATCTTCTATCGGCTGCTTCGCAACAAACAACTCTGAAGCGGAGTTGGAATTCTGGGGCCTCGAGGGAAAATCAAACACCTACGCCGACACCTCGACGGTCAGCTTTGTCCTAGACAGCGCAAAGACCAGCAAAGTTGTCAGCGGGGTTCACCAGTCTCTTCGCACCGACTTCGTCGACCTGGCTGTCGCTGCGCTGATGCAATCTTTCATCCAAGCATTCGGGACGCATAGATCGCCAACAGTCTTCCTCGAAGGACACGGCCGCGAGACGTGGGACGAGGCGGTCGATAACTCGTCTACCGTCGGTTGGTTCACCACAATGTACCCTTTGCAAGCTACCTGTGTTGATGTCATCGACACTGTCATCTCCGTCAAAGATGCGCGCCGCGCTGTGTCCAACAATGGCTGGTCCTATTTCGCAAGCCGATTCTTGAATGACGATGGCATAGAGGCTTTCGGTCAGAGCGGTCCCGTCGATGTGATTTTCAACTATGCCGGACAGTATCAGCAGCTTGAGGAAGATGGCGCCCTGCTGCAACTCGACACTAAAAACTTTGCCAGAGCCACGCTGAACGATATCTCAACCTCTATTCGACGTTTCGCGGTATTCGAGGTCAACGCCGAGGTACACCATGGTGTCGCCAATTTCTCCATTGTTTACAACAAGCATATCAACAATGCTGGCTTGGTTGACAAATGGTGTCATAACTTCCAGAACACTCTTACGGAGACTGCGTCACGATTAGAGGCTATGGATCCGAGGTACACGGCGTCCGACTTCCCTCTGCTCTCGCTATCATCTACAACACTCGATGAGTTGCTCTCTCGGAAGCTACCCAGCTTGGGGCTTGGCCAGCAGGATATTGAAGACATGTATCCCTGCTCTCCAATGCAACAAGGCCTTCTAGTGAGCCAGGCTAAGCAGGCTGGCAGCTACGATGTTCAGTTCTACTGGGAGATTGTCGGTTCAGTCAGCTGCGACCACCTCATTGACTCTTGGCAACTGGTTGTAGATCGACATCCAATTCTTCGAACCATCTTCCTCGAGAGCTCTCGTGATGATGGCTTGTTCGACCAGATCGTCCTCAGGCCTCGCTCTGTTTCTTGCCCGACAAACATCATGGACAGCGGGAAGGACACTACGTCTTCACGATTCTTTGCTGCGGTCATCGATCTGCCCGTAGAAAGCAGCGGCAAACCACGACACTGTTTGTCGATTCTGCAAACCGGGGACTCGACGTTCTGCAGACTTGACATCAGCCACGCCTTAATCGACGGCGGTTCGACAGCGTCTTTGGAGCACGACTACGCTCTTGCATGCAACGGATACCTGGGAACCCTCAACCCCCCGCTTCCCGTGTACAAAGATTTTATTGAGTTGATCTCCACGCGACCGATGGCAGACAGCCTCGCATACTGGACTAACTACCTTCGCGACGCCGAGCCTAGTCTCCTGCCACCCCTTCTCGATAACAACAACGACTCAAGGGAGACACCGGAAGTGCGCTACATCGACGTTGAGCTGAGAGATACCGCACGATTGATCAACGAGTTTTGTGCCAACGAGGGGTTCACTGCCTCTAACTTGTTCCAGGCTGCGTGGGCCATTATGTTGCGGACCTTTGGCGCTTCGGAGACGACTTGCTTTGGGTATCTCGCTTCTGGGCGCGATTTACCGATTTCTGGGATTCAAGATGCCATCGGGCCGTTTATGAACATGCTCATCTGCAAGCTGGTCATCTCTAACGAAGCTACGGTCGACAGCATCTTGGGGGCGGTTCAGGATGATCTTTTGAGTAGCTTGCCTCATCAGATGTGCTCCATGGCGGAAATCCAGCACTCGTTGAATCTGTCCGAGGGGTCACTATTCAACACTGTCATGTCGTTCCAGAGGTTGGACAAGACTGAATCCAGGGACGACGCAGGCAACATTCGCATTGTCAACCGCGGAGGAAAAGATGTTTCCGAGGTATGAGGTCGAATACTTATGAATGCTTGGTTGTCTTGCTTGCTGACCAAACGCTTTTGAACAGTTCGACATCACAGTCAACGTTGGTCACTCCCAGGACGGCTTCGAGGTCTCCTTGGGATACTGGACAAACTTCATGTCAGACGGATTCGCAACCCACGTCGCAGCCACCTTTTCCCACATCTTGGCTGAAATTGTGCGCATTCCTGGCCAGAAAGTCAGCGACATTAACTTGATGAGCCAAAGTAGCCTCAGCACCATCAAGGACTGGAACAACTGGACACCCGACAGCTTCGATGAAACCATACAAGACATTTTCGAAGCCCACGCTGCATCCCACCCTCAGCGACCAGCTCTTTGCAGTATGGATGGAAACCTCACGTACGGCGAGCTCAAGCAGCTTTCGGATACCCTGGCGCATCACCTTATCAGGATAGGTCTTGAGCCGGATACCTTCGTCCCCATTAGTTCAGAAAAGTCCATCTGGGCTATTGTTGGTATGATGGCCATTCTGAAAGCCGGAGCAGCTTTCGTTCCTCTCCCGCCCTCCGATCCACCGGCGAGAAAGGTGCAGATCCTGGGACAGATCAATGCAGCCATCATTCTTCTTTCGGAAGCAGAGACTACGACATGGCTACCAAGAGACGGTCTCAAAGCAGTATCGGTCGGTCTCAACTCCATCGCCCAACTTCCATCACCTCCTGCCAGCCTGGCCGACAACCCTCCCTCGGCCAGCGCCGCCTACGCTCTCTTCACCTCCGGCAGCACCGGCGTACCAAAAGGTGTAGTCATTGAGCACGAATCTCTCGTTGCCAGTTTACACGGCCAAGGCAAGGTATATGGCATGTCCCCTGAGACACGATCCCTCCAGTTCGCATCATACACCTTTGACGCATGCATCATCGAGATCTTCGGCCCTCTCTACCATGGCGGCTGTGTCTGCGTCCCGAGCGACTCGTCTCGTCTAGACGACATCGTCAACTTGGTACAGACCTTGAAGCCGAATTGGACGTTCCTTACGCCTTCGTTCCTGCGGCTGCTCGACCCGAGTCAGGTTCCAAGTCTCACAACTGTCGTGGTCGGAGGCGAGGCGCCCGATCGTCAGGGCTTGCAGATCTGGCAGCCTGTGCTGAAGCAGCACATGAACGGATACGGGCCGACAGAGACATGCATTATCTGCGTTATCAATCGCTTCGACTCCCCGACTACCAACCCGGCTTGTATCGGAAAGGGTGTTACGGCCAGGACCTGGGTCGTTGATCCTGAAGATCACCACCGTCTGATGCCGGTTGGTTCGATCGGAGAACTACTCGTGCAAGGCCCAATTTTGGCTAGGGAGTATCTAGGAGACGCCGCAAAGACATCCGCTGCCTTTGTTGAGTCTTGTGCTTGGCTAGATGCGAAGCCATCTTCCCCCGTCTGGGAGCAACGCTTCTACAAGACTGGCGATCTCGTCCGATACAACCTCGACGGCAGTCTCAACTATCTCGGCCGGAAAGACGCTCAGGTCAAGGTCCGAGGTCAGCGTCTCGAGCTTGGTGAGATCGAATCTCATGCAAAGTCGTTATGGGGCGAAGGTCTGGTCGTCGCAGACGCGGTGAAGCTCGGGGCCAGAGGAGACACTCAGGTCCTAGCATTGTTCATTACCGCCGAATGCTGCTTTGATAAGGGACAGAACATACCGACAAGTCTCGATGAAACCTTCAAGCAAAGGCTCAGAGTTCTCGATGAAGGATTGAGAGGCCGACTGCCTGGCTACATGGTTCCGTCCATCTACATTCCGACCCCGGAGATCCCACTCAGCGTTGCCGGTAAGACGGACAAGCGCAAACTCCGGGCGTGCGCGCACGACATTACGGAGGAGCAGATTCTCTTGTTCACCCTCGCCACCCAGAATAAGCGCAGCCCGGCTACCGCCATGGAACAGACGTTGCAGCAGCTTTGGGCTGAGCTACTTGGATGCCCCCACTCGTCAATTGGCTGTGATGATAGCTTCTTCCGTCTTGGAGGCGATTCCATCTTGGCTATCAAGCTTGTGGCATCGGCTCGGAAGGCCGGCGTGTTCCTCAATTTCCCCATGATATTCAACGCGCCCATACTCTCCGACTTAGCGAAACAGGCTTATGTCTTGAGCGATGGACTGGCTGAGAACGATGTCGAGAAAACTGAAACACACCTGGGTTCAGTGCCTTTCTCGCTCGTCGATCACGATCCCAACGTCGTCCGAAAGGTCATCTCGGAGCTTCTCGGTGTTTCTTTAGAGAGCATTGAAGACGCATATCCAGTCACGGCACTCCAGGAAGGATTGATGCTGCTCACCACCAAAGAGCCTGGCGCGTACGTCAGCAGGCAAGTCTATCAGCTAAGCCAATCCATCGACCTGGACCGCTTCCGCCGGGCCTGGGAGACTTTTGTTCAGTCGACGACCATCCTCCGTACCCGCATCGCCAGTCTTGATCTTCTTGGTACACTTCAGGTTGTGGTCAATGATGGCGCCGGCTGGAAGACCGGCACAGATCTCGACCAGTACTTGGATGCTGACGAACATCTGCCTATGGCGTTTGGCGATCCCCTGTGTCGCCTTGGTCTCGTCCATGATGAGGTTTCGGGAAGCAACTACCTTGTTCTCACTATCCACCACTCATTATACGATGCATGGAGTCTGGAGTTGGTCCTCAAGGCCGTCGAATCCATTTACGCCAGGCAAGTTGCCCCAACAGCGACAACGCCTTTCAAGGATTTCATTGCCGGTCTAAAGCAGTCCGACGCCGACGCCTCGAGGGACTTCTGGCTATCTCAGCTCAATGGTATCTCTTGCTCCCCTTTCCCTCAGCTTCCGAGCACAGGATATCAGCCGAAGCTAGACGGGACCATTTCCAAGTCAATATCCCTAGCAGGATTGGCCAACAAGGACGTCACTGTTGCGACTTTTCTAAGGTCAGCCTTAGCCGTCTCCATAGCCAAATTCACCGGAGAAGAAGAAGCAATCTTTGGCGAAGTCTTGGCGGGAAGAAATTCCTCAGGCGGCGATGTCTCACTTGTCCTGGGCCCAACGATTACTACCGTGCCGGTGAGGATCAAGATTGAGCAAGAACAGAGCATCACCAGTTTCCTTACCTCTGTCCAGAGGCAGGGGACCGCAACGGGTCCCCATGAGCAGTTCGGGTTGCAAAATATCAGCCGTCTGGGTCCCGAAGCCGCAGCCGCCTGTCGTTTCCAGACGCTTGTCGCAATCCAACCCGCCGAGCAGGCCGCTCTGATGGACCCCGGGATTATGACGCTGCATCAAGTCAGAGAGGATACTTCCGAGAACCTTGGAGCGTATAGCCTTATGCTTGAATGCAAGCTTGGCTCCGAGTCAGCTGTGATCAAGGCGAGGTACGACGGCAGTCTGGTCACGGAGACTCAGCTGCAGGGCCTTCTCGACCAAGTGGAACACATACTCGGTAAACTCTCCGTCGACGACTCTGCGCAAGATTTGGCTAGCCTTCACTCGCTGAATGCTCTCTCCCTTGAGAAACTCATGCATTGGAATTCTCTAGCTCCGATGGAGAGTTCCGGAACATGTCTTCACCACTTATTCGAAGACATGGCGATGAAGCAACCCCTTCGTCCGGCCATCCGCGGCTGGGACGCTGACTTCACATACAAAGAGCTCGACGAATCTGCTAGGGATCTCTCGAGGAAGCTGGTGTCGATGGGTGTTGGCCCTCAAACCCTGGTACCTCTGGCGTTTGAGAAGTCATCCTGGGCAGTAGTCTCGATGCTCGCTGTTCTGAAGGCCGGCGGAGCCTTCGTCCCCTTGGACGTCAACTGCCCTCTTAGCCGCAAGTCAGACATCTTAGATCAGACTGGCGCAACCATCGTGCTTTCTTCCGCGGGGGACGTGGACAAGTGGAATTCCTTCACGAACGTTCACGTCTTGGCTGTCGACCAGGATGCCACAATAGGATACACTGGCGCAGAGATCCTTTCCGACGACGACAGTGCCGCCGTTAACGCGGCCGAACCGGTCCCCAGCGACACCGCCTACCTCATCTTCACGTCCGGCAGCACAGGCAGACCCAAGGGCGTCGTCATTGAACACTCGATGGCCAGCTCCGGGGCATCCGGTCATGGATCCGTTCTCAAATTCGGCCCCGACACGCGCGCGTTGCAATTCTCCTCTTACGCCTTTGACGCCTCCATCATGGAGATATTTGCTACGCTGACATACGGGGGCTGCGTATGCGTTCCTTCCGACGGCGATCGCACCCCTGACATCGTCGCCATTATGGAGCAGATGCGAGTCAACTGGGCGCTTTTCACTCCGTCGTTCCTCAAGACGATTAGCCCAGGCGATGTGCCACACCTCAAGACCCTCGTTGTGGGAGGCGAGTCGTGCACTGACGAGTGTGTGGAGACCTGGGCGCCCAAGGTCGAGATGATCCAAGCTTACGGCCCCGCAGAAGCCACCGTCATCAGCGCCGCCATGACCATCGACCCCGGCTCAACAACAACATATAGTAGGGCGTCCAACATTGGATATCCTGTAGCTTGTCGCCTATGGGTCACTGATCCACATAATCATGATGTGTTATCAGCCACAGGGGCGATTGGCGAGCTCGTCATCCAAGGCCCCATCGTCGCCCGCGGCTATATTGGCGAGCCGGAGAAGACACGGGAAGCCTTCATCGATTCTCCGAATTGGTTGAGTGGTCTCTACAAGGGCGAGAGCGCGAGGATCTACAAAACCGGCGACCTCGTACGCCATAATCCCGATGGTTCCATCTGCTTTGTCGGACGTAAGGACCGTCAGGTCAAGGTCCGTGGTCAGCGGGTTGAGTTGGGGGAAATTGAGCACGTATTATCAACATGTGCCGGCTCACGACACAGCATGATTCTTTTCCCCAAGGCAGGAGAGTGCAAGGGAAAGCTGGTTGCAGTGATATCAGCTTCTCTCGTCGCTTCAACAAGCAACTCTCCAGAGGCGATACAACTTGCGAGTCTGACCAACGTATCCATCAACACTCGGGACTTGACAACGATGCAGAACCAGATTACGGAGCAGTTGCCGTCTTACATGATCCCCGAAGTCTGGGCAATGGTGGCAGATGTACCCCTCACGCCCTCGATGAAAATCGATCGTCGTATCGTCACTCAATGGATCGAAGGCCTGAACAGGGAGACCTACACACGAATCCTCAAGCAAGCCAAGACAGGAAAAGAAGATGGCGCGGCCAAGACCCCGGTTGAAGTATCGCTACAGAAGGTCTGGTCTCAAGTCCTTAACCTGCCCATCGAGATCGTTGGCACCCAAAACTCCTTCCTCTCACTTGGCGGGGACTCAATTACTGCAATGCAGGTCGTCACAAAGAGCAGAGCAGAAGGCATCTCGGTCAACATGCAGAACGTTCTCCGCAGTCGCACCCTTACCCAGCTCGCAGCCGGCGCCAAAGGGGCTTCGGTCGCGCCTCTTGTCGCCGCTATGATCGAGGACACGATGGAGCCTTTTGCCTTGTCGCCAATCCAATCTCTCTACTTTTCGCACATTGCATCTCAGGGAACCCATCATTTCAACCAGAGCTTTTTGTTGCGACTTGAGAATAGGACTTCCCCCAAGGAGTTGCGAAGAGCGGCCGATGCCATCGTGTCTCGGCACGCCATGCTTCGCTCGCGGTTCCAGCGACAGGCAAACGAGGCTTGGACTCAGCGGATTGAGACTGAGAATGAGACCTCCTACCGATTCCAGTTCTACGAAGTGGCATCCAAGGATGATATGGCAGCCATTGCCCGGGATACAACCACGGCTCTGTCAGTCGACGGTCCTGTCTTCGCTGCGGATGTGTTCCACACTGAGAACAGCGACTACATATTCCTTGTGGCCCACCACCTTGTCATCGACCTTGTTTCTTGGAGAGTTATCCTTGCAAACCTGGAAGAGTTCCTGTCTGAGGGATCCATTGCATCGGCCGAATCCATCTCATTTCGAGGTTGGACCAATCTACAGGATAGCTTTGCACGCGAGTCTGACGACATGTTGCCTCAAAAAGCACTTCCTTTTACCGTTCCCCAAGTTGACTACAAGTACTGGGGTATGGAAGAAAAGGCGAACACCTACGGCGATGTCACAAGCATTGGCTTCATGCTAGACGAGGCCACGACAACCTCTCTACTGGGCCCCTGTCACGACGCTCTTCGCACAGAGCCCATTGACGTCTTCTTGTCTTCGATCATGCACTCCTTCCGGCGGATCTTCAACGACCGCCATACTCCAGCCATCTTCAACGAGGGTCATGGAAGAGAGTCTTGGGATCCTGTTATCGACATTACCGAGACCGTTGGCTGGTTTACGACGATATATCCCATCTACGCCGACGTGTCTACGGATAATGTTGTAGACACCGTCCGACTCATCAAGGGTGTCCGCCGGTCTATACCACGGAATGGCTGGCCTTATTTTGCATCACGTTTCCTCAACGACAAAGGGCGCCAAGCATTTGGTCAACACAACCGCGTTGAGATGATGTTCAACTACGCGGGCTTGTACCAGCAGCTCGAGCGACAAGACACAATGCTCCACCGCGAAGTCTGGGACGACGCCGACGACGTTCCCGAGATTAGCGACCAGATTAAACGCCTCTCGCTCTTTGAAATCGGTGCCAGCATTGAGAACGGTCGGGCCAGGATGACCTTTGTCTTCAATCGTAACATGCGACATATCGACAAGATCAAAGACTGGGTCAAGGAGTGCGAGGTGGTGCTTCGCGATTCTATTCACGGCATTGAGAGGATGGAGCCTGAGTTCACGCAAACTGATGTTCCGCTTCTCGATCTTACCTTGGAAGAACTCCGAACTTTCAACCAGGAGACCGTGCCACCCATTGGATCATTCGCCGACATTGAAGACGCGTACCCCTTGTCGCCGATGCAGCACGGCATCGTCATGAGCCAAGCCAAAAATGCCACCAACTACAAGTGTCACTTCTCGTGGAAGGTTACCGCGTCGCGTAACAACGGCATTGTCGACTCAGGGCGTCTGGAGGCTGCCTGGAGACAGGTCGTCGGACGTCACTCCACGCTGAGAACCGTCTTTGTCAAGTCTGCAAGCATCAAGCGACTTACTGACCAAATCGTTTTGAGCAACTATCTTCCCTCTGTTGCACAGATTCTCGTCGACGATGAAGTCGAGGCTTTCGAATGCTGCGAGAAGGAAACTGGAGAGACCGCAGATTCGCTACACCAGCTAACAATCTGCACCACCAAAGACCAGAAGGCTTTCATCAGACTTGACATCGATCACGGACTCATCGACGGAGGATCCCTTGGTCCACTTCTTAGTGACTTTGTCAAAGCTTACGACGGCGCTATTCTCGAGGGCACAGGGGCCCAGTACAGAGATTACGTCGAATACATCCAGAGAAGGCCCATGGAAGATTCCATCTTGCACTGGAAGCAATACCTATCAGGTGCCGAGCCGTGCAGTCTGCCGAACCTGTCAGACATTGGCGTCTCTGAGAATAGCCTAGTGACCCTCGAAGTCGACTTTCAAATCCCCGCAAAGTCCATCATCGACTTCTGCACCGCCCACGAAGTCACAATTTCCAACTTCTTCCAGGTCGCATGGGCCCTGCTCCTCCGTACCTACACTGGCACCGAGGATATCCTCTTCGGCTACCTCACCTCGGGCCGCGAGACGCCTGTGGATGGCATTGAAGACGCCATCGGTCTCTTTGCCAACATGATGGTGTGCCGCTTCCGCGTCCAGGGCGAGGCCCCCTTACTCGAACTGCTTCAAGAAGCCCAGCGGGGTTTCCTCCACAACTTGGATCACCAGCATTGCTCTCTTGCGCATGTGCAGCATGCTCTAGGTATGGCTGGACAGTCTCTGTTCAATACGGGTATCTCATTCCAGAGACTCCCGTCCACGTCGGATCAGGGATCTACAAGCCTCAACTTCGAACACCTCAGCGGGCAAGACTCAACAGAGGTAAGCCACGCCCCCCAAGCCCCATTCTCCTGCTCTTACATATGGCTGACGCTCTCGACAGTACGATCTAATTGTCAACGTGGCCGCCAACAACGACACTTTGGGCGCAGCTCTCTCCTTCTGGACCGCGCAGGTCTCGGAAAGCAATGGAGCACACATTGCGTCCTGTTTCACGCAGATTGTCTCCAAGATCGTGGCCGATTTTTCCGGAACTGTTGCAGCCCTAGATCCTCTGAGTTCCCACGACATCAACACGATCTATGATACCCTCGCGCTGGAGCCAATCGCCGACGATGCGTGCGTCCACGAGCTCTTCACGCTGGTAGCTTCTAGGCAGCCCAGCAAGATTGCCATTGACTCTTGGGATGGATCAATATCCTATGACAGTCTGGATCACAAGTCGAGTCAGTTGGCGGCATACCTGCGACTTGTCGGCGTCGGGCCCGAAGACATAGTCCCGATCTGCTTTGAAAAGTCAATTTGGGCGATCGTTGCCATGCTGGCTGTCATGAAAGCCGGGGCTGCCTGGACTCCCATCGATCCCTCTCATCCGAGACCGAGACACGAGGAGATTCTTGGCCAGGTTGATGCCCGCTATGTGTTGACTTCCGCAAACCGCAGCGACCTCTGGGATGAGTTCTCAGATGTACGCGCCATCGTTGTCGAAACTGCAACTTTCTCAAGCTTGCCTACATCTACAGATTCTACTGCACTCATCAACAGCCCGTCGAGGCTCCGCAACGCTGCGTACGTCCTTTTTACCTCGGGGTCAACGGGAACGCCCAAGGGTGTCATCATCGAAAATGCCTCCTTCACAACCAGCATCCTTGAGCAAGGTCGTGTTCTGCAGATGAACTGTGACACACGCACACTCCAGTTCACCTCGTACACTTTTGATCCCAGTCTCGTTGAGATCTTCTCCACCTTGCTGTGTGGCGGCTGCGTCTGTACCCCCACCGAGTCCGCTCGCATGGGCGACATCACGAACATTATCAACGACATGAAGATCACATGGACATCACTGACGCCCTCTTTCCTACGTACCATCAATCCGGACGCCGTACCGACCCTTAAGTCTGTCATTGTTGGCGGCGAAAGAATGTCATCCGATGTCTTCGAGTCCTGGCGACAAGGCGATAGACAGCTCATACAAGTATATGGACCTACCGAAGCAACCATCACTTGTATGGCGAGCTTCGTGCCCACCTCGGGACCGGCACACCCCGCAAACATCGGAAGGGCCCTGGCATCTCGGGCCTGGGTTGTCGACGCCGTCGATCACAACAAGCTTCTCCCTATAGGAGCCGTCGGTGAGCTCCTAATCGAGGGGCCAATACTGGCACGTGGCTACCTAGGTGATGTCGACAAGACCTCTTCCGTCTTCATTGAGAACCCGGTCTGGACCGAGAAACACTTTTCGCATCTTGAACCCACTGGAGCCAACCCGCGACGGTTCTACAAGACTGGCGATCTTGTTCGTCTCAGTCCCAGTGGTGAAGTTCTGTTCCTGGGGAGGAAGGGAACTCAGGTCAAGATTCGAGGTCAGAGAGTTGAACTTGGTGAGATCGAGGCCTCTGCCAAGATCCATCTCGCCAGTTCCCACGTCGTTGTCGAGGTCGTCGCTCATCCCATCAACAACAATGAAGCACTTGCAATCTTCATACTGCATAGCGACGAGAATGACACCGACTTGGCAGTCTCGACTTCGGATCACATCATTACCCATGTCACAGACAACATGAGAGGCAAACTGGTCGAGTTGGAGCAACACCTCTCGCAGTCCCTGCCATCATACATGGTCCCGTCACTCTTTGTCCCTGTCGCTTGCTTCCCAATGACCGTCTCCGGCAAGACAGATCGCAAACGCCTTCGAGAGATGCCAATGTCGGAAAACCACCTCCTGCTCGCCTTACGTAACGGCGGTGTCGTCCAACAGAGACCCCTCGCCGGGACGGAGCTACTCCTCCGCACTCTCTGGACCCAGGCCCTCAACATCCCTCAGGAGCGAATCTTCGCCGACGACAATTTCTTCCGTCTTGGTGGTGATTCCATCAACGCTATCAAACTAGTCGGCGCTGCGAGAGAAGCTGGCTTCGCGCTCGAGGTCTTCCACATCTTCCAGAACCCGACGCTGGCCGAGATGGCGGCTGTACTTGTGGGCATCGAACGTGCTACCAAGCAAGAGCTATTACCATTCTCCATGGTTGATGATGAGTCTTCCCTCGTACAGGATGCCGTCTCAGAATGCGGAGTTGATGCAGACAACATTGAAGATATCTTCCCCGCCACGCCGCTGCAGGAGGGCATGATGGCTTTGTCCGCCCGACAATCAGGAGCCTACTTCCTCCAGATGGTCTTCAGGGTGCCGGATACGGTGGACTCGGAGCGACTCATCGACGTCTGGAACAGGATTACCGCCGCCACGGATATATTGCGAACACGAATAATATTGTCGCGCTCAAAAACCTACCAAGTGGTGACTAGGAATTCGGCCGACTGGACCCGCGGTACCAACCTCTCGAGCTATCTCAATGCCGACAGCGCCAACCCGCCAGGGTACGGCTGGCGACTCTGCCGGTTTGCTCTGATTGGGAAGTCACTGACCGACCGTTACTTTGTCATGAGTGTGCATCACGCGCTGTATGACGGATGGTCGATGGGGCTGCTCTTTGCCCAAGTCAGCGCAGCATACCACGGCAAACCCCTTGCATTGCAGACTCCATACAAGTCCTTCATTCACTACCTTCATCAAGGCACCATAACGGCCGATGCATCAAAGAAGTTCTGGGAGACTTCCGTTGCGGGCATTTCATGCCCGACCTTCCCTCAACTTCCTTCAGCCACCTATCAGCCTCTGGCAAGCTCAACAGCTCATCACACAACGTCCATTGGAGGAGCAGACGCAAGGAGTCCCGCCGTCGTCATATCTACTTCAATTCGTGCCGCATGGGCTAAGGTGGTTTCCAAGTATACCTACTCGGATGAGGCAGTCTTTGGCGTCACCTTGTCCGGAAGAGACGCCCCAGTCGATGGAATATCCGGCATTGTCGGGCCGACCATTACAACAGTTCCCTTCCGCGTCAAGATGGGGTCGGGCTCAACTGTTGGTGAATACCTGGAATCAGTGCAGAAGCATTCGGACGATATGTCGCAACACATCCACTTTGGCATCCAGAATATCAAAAAGTTAGGTCATGACGGGACCTCGAGCTGCGCGTTCCAGACCCTTCTCGTCATCCAATTTGATCAGCAGATCGAAAAGGAGTTTGAGGAGCTGCTGGAGCCCATGGAGGCCGACAACTCCAAATTTGAAACTTTCGCCTTGACGATTGAGTTCCGAGTTACTGACAACAGCGTTGCGGCTGAAGCTCGATTCGATCCCGAAGTCATCAAGCCTGAGCAGATGCAGAGAATGCTCCAACAGTTTGGACATGTTCTCATGCAGCTGGTACAGTCTGACGCGGCGCAGTCGATCAAGGAAATTGGCCTCCTGAGCCCGGAGGATTGTAAGAAACTGACATCCTGGCACCGCGAACCAGAGACTTGGCCGAGCATCCCATCCTCCATGCATGACGCTTTCCAGCAACAGGCCATCTTCGCCCCCTCGGCTCCTGCGATCAGTTCGTGGGATGGCGACTTCACCTACGAGGAACTTGACAACTTCTCATCGATCCTGGCTACGCAGCTTCGCCACCTGGGTGTTGGCTCCGATACCATTGTCCCTGTGTGCTTTGAAAAGTCTGCTTGGGCTATCGTCTCCATGATGGGTATTCTGAAGGCAGATGCTGCTTTTGTGCCTCTCGACGCCGCCCATCCCCGCGCTCGCCTTCTTGAGATCATTAGGCAAGTCGGCGCTCAATTGATTCTCACGGCTGAAGATGTAAGTCACCCTCTAGCAATCACAAATGATTCTCTCCTAACAAGATTTGATAGTTGCTGTCGAAATGGGACTTTGAGGATGCCATTGTCTTGAAGTTCCTGACCGTGAATCGTGCTACCATCGACGCGATGGCTTCTGCCGATCTAGAAGACTCGATTGTGCCAGCCACGCCCTCTTTGGCCAAGGCATACATCCTCTTCACTTCCGGATCGACCGGCAAACCAAAGGGCGTCATCATGGAACACGGTGCCCTCCTCTCATCTCTCTCGACGAACGGCAAGGTTATGAAAATGTCCCGCCAAACCCGCACCATCCAATTCGCCTCGTACACATTTGACGCCTGTATCATGGAGATCTTTGGCGCCCTATACTATGGCGGCTGCATTTGTGTACCTTCCGAAAATGCTAAAATGGGTAACCTCGCGCAGACAATGACCGACCTCCGCGCCAACTGGGCTTTCTTCACCCCCTCCTTTGTCAGGCTTCTCAAGCCCAAGGACGTGCCGACGCTCGAGACGCTGGTCCTGGGAGGCGAAGCCGTCACGCAAGAAGCTCTGAGCACGTGGGCAGGCCACGTCTCGCTCTTTGGCGGCTACGGGCCAACTGAAACCTGCATCTTCTGCTGCGTGGAAGAGCTGACGCCGACGACGGATCCAACGAGTCTCGGTGTCTCCGTCAGCGAGCGTCTCTGGGTCGCTGACGCCGCTGACCACGACCAGCTCGTTCCCATCGGGGCGATTGGCGAGCTCTTGGTCCAAGGTCCTACGCTCTCGAGCGGTTACCTCAAGAACCCGGACAAGACTGCCGAGGTCTTTATCGAGAACCCGGTTTGGCTTGCTTCTTTCTCTAGCGACCTGCTGCCGCGCATGTACAAGACTGGTGACCTTGTTCGGTATACCACTGGAGGCAAGTTGCAGTACCTGGGACGTAAGGACACCCAAGTCAAGGTTCGCGGTCAGCGCATCGAGCTAGGTGAGATCGAGCATCAGGCGACGTCTCTCGCCGGCGGCATCAACGTTGTCGCCGACGTTGTGAAGCATCCCAACCGCTCCACCGCCCCCAGCGTTGCGCTCTTCTTGGTCCTAGATCCAGAATCCCAGTCCGAGGCCATATTGACGCCGCCATCAGAAGAGTTTCAATCACAACTGAAGAGGCTCCAAGCTGCCCTCTCAGAGGTTCTTCCTTCTTACATGGTTCCGACGCTATTCATCCCAATCACCCGGATGCCTTTCACAACAGCTGGAAAGACGGATCGATTGAGCTTGCGCCGCTTGACCGCTGAGGTTACGGAAGAACAATTCCGCTTGTATTCTCTCGGAGATGAATCGGCCAAGCTTGCAACGTCAACTCCTTTGGAAGCGACACTGGCTCGTCTTTGGGCTGTCGTTCTCAAGACCAACGTCGCCAGCATAGGTGCGGACGATAGCTTCTTCAGGATTGGCGGTGACTCCATTCTGGCAATCGAGCTGTCGTCGCTGGCGAGAGCTGAACGACTTTCCGTGGAAGTCTCGACCGTGTTCCAACATCCAGTTCTCAGCGAACTTGCACTCCACGTGGAACGCATCGATGGAGATCTGGCGTCGCTTCCATCCGAAATCGAGCCGTTTTCTCTCACTGATGGATCTCATGCCGTCATTGAGCAAGCAGCAAACGCATGTGGCGTTGATAAACACCACATCGAGGATTTCTACCCCTGCACTGCTCTCCAAGAAGGACTCATGGCACTTTCGATCAAGACTCCAGGATCCTACGTTCTTCACAACAGCTTTGCATTGCCAGAAGACATTGACCTCCATCGTCTAGAAGCAGCTTGGAGAGCGGCGCACGAACAAATGCCCATTCTGAGAACGAGGATCTTCCAGACTGAAGAAGAGGGAGTCTTGCAGGTTGTCATCGCTGACGGATTCCACTGGACCACAGTCGTAGACGAAGATGTTTCTGACTTTGTCATCCAGGACCGTCAGCGATCTGTCCGGTATGGAGATACTCTTTGTCGCCTGACGGTCTTGCGCCATCCCGACGGGCACAAGTCCCTCATCTGGAATATTCACCACGCACTTTACGACGGATGGTGTCTACCTCTGATTCTAGCAAACGTGGAAGCGCATTACCAGGGTCTCGAGTCACCGACGCCAACACCGTTCAACCACTTCATCAAATACCTGACGACTACTGACACGGAGGCATCTGAAACTTTCTGGGCATCGACGCTTGATGGATTCGCCGGCCCCTCGTTCCCTGCGCTGCCCAATGCTACATACAGCCCCAAAGCAGATGACATCGTTGACCGCCAAATCGAGTTCCAGCATAGTCGTCTGCAAAGCGACATCACCGACTCAACCTTCATCCGTGCCGCATTGGGTATCGTTATTGCCCGGCATACAAATTTTCGCGAGTCGGCCTTTGGCATCACGCTGACAGGTCGTAATGCGCCCATTTCAGGCATACTCACTTTGCCTGGTCCGACCATCACAACTACACCGTTCAAAGCTGCCTGGGAGCAAGACACTAACGTCTCTGCTTTCCTTCAGTCGGTCCAGAGCCAAGCCACCGACATGATTCCCTACGAGCAGCTCGGTCTCCAACGCATTCGCCGCCTGACTCCCTACTCCCGAGCAGCATGCGACTTCCAGACATTGCTTGTGATTCAACCCGTGAATCAAGAGGTACGGGTCTCTGGTGGCAGCATGATGGGTACAATGAGCGTTTTGACAGACTCTAAGGAGTTCCAGACCTACGGGTTGACAATCGAATGCATGCTCGGGAGCGAGGGGATGATTATGCACGCCCAATACGACTCGGCAATGCTGAGTCGCACAGAGGTCCAGCGATTGATGGAGCAGATTGACCAAGTCATCAACCAGCTACAGACACAGGTACTTACGGACCAACTTGTTGAAGACATCGCCATCATTACGCCCGGCGAGGTGGATCAACTAGTCCGGTGGAACGGTCCCATGCCCGCCGCCGTCGACCACTGCCTACACCAGACTTTCGCCGCGCGGGCAAAGATTCAGCCGCTTGCCCCGGCAGTCAATGGGTTCGACGGGAACTTTACGTATGCCGAGCTAGACCACCTCTCCAGCGTTCTTGCACACCGACTCCAACTCAAGGGCGTTGGAAGTGGTCAATTTGTCCCATTCTGCTTCCGCAAGTCGTCGTGGATGCCCGTGGCCGCCATGGCCATCCTGAAAGCCGGCGCCGCGTGCGTGGCAATCGACCCAACTCACCCCATCGGCCGTCTGCAGACCATCATCGGAGAAGTTAAAGCGACAATAGTCCTGACTTCCGCCGGAGAAAAGGATATCTTCCGCGGCATCTTTGAAGACGACATGATTGTCACGCCGGAACTTCTCTCCGCCGACATGGCAAACCAGCCCACACCAACCCTCAGTCCCGTGAACCCAGAAGACCCAGCTTTTGTTGTCTTTACCTCTGGCTCAACCGGGAAACCAAAGGGCATCGTCCTCTCACATCGCTCCATCAGCACCAGCTCCGCCGCCCACGGCCAGGCCCTCGGTATCGGCCCAGCTTCCCGTGTCCTCCAATTCTCCGCCTACACCTTTGACATTAGTGTCCAGGACGTCTTCACAACCCTCGCCCGCGGCGGCTGTGTCTGCGTCATTTCTGACTCGGACAGGGTCAACAACCTCCCCGGCGCCATCAATGCTCTCAGCGTCAACTTCGCCGGCCTCACACCCACCGTCGCTTCGATGCTCTCCCCGGGTGACGTGCCTACGCTGCGAACTCTCGCGCTCGCGGGCGAGGCCTTGACCAAGTCCAACATTGAGACGTGGCACGCAGATGTCGATCTGCATAATTGCTATGGTCCTGCTGAGACTACAATCTACTGCTCTAGCAACGGCCCTCTGCAAGGCAGCGACACCCCTGGCACCATTGGTCGACCCTTGGCGAGCCGACTTTGGGTGGTCGAGGCAGACAATCACAACAAACTCGTACCGATCGGTTGTGCCGGAGAACTGCTCGTGGAAGGTCCTCAGGTCGGAAAGGGATACTTGAACGAGCCCGAAAAGACTGCCACGGCATTCATCGAGAATCCTGCCTGGGCAGAGCCCGAGGATGGCTCTGCACGCCGAATGTACAAGACCGGCGACATTGTCTTCCAAAACATGGACGGAACGTTCGTGTTCGTCAGTCGCAAGGACAACCAGGTCAAGATTCGCGGTCAGCGTGTGGAAATTGACGAGATCGTTTCCGTTTTGCTCAACGAGTCCGGCATTGAGCACGCCGCCGTTGTCATCCCCAAGACTGGTCTTTGCAACAAGTCTCTCGTGGCAATGGTTTGCCCCTCACCGTCCATGGCCGTCGAATCGGAAACAGACATTATGGGGATGCCGCAAGATTTTGACGCTGCTAGAACCCTGGTCTCACAGCTGCGCAAGCGGGCATCGGACAGCCTCCCTTCGTACATGGTTCCAGAGGCTTGGCTCGTTGTGAATGACATGCCCAAGACGACATCTATGAAGGTCGACCGCAAGCGCATCAGCCAGTTTATGGAAGAGGTGGACGAGGAAACATACCGCAAGATGATGGATCTTGCTGTCGACGACTTGTCTGAATTCCGCCCGCCCGTCACTTCGATGGAAATCGCCCTCCATCATATCCTCCAGAAAGTGCTCAACACGACATCCGACCTCATCGACATGAGTCGGTCCTTCTTAGCAACCGGCGGTGATTCCATAACAGCAATGCAGACCGTCTCCAACGCCCGAGGCCGCGGCCTCATCCTCAGAGTGGAAGATATCATCCTTGCAAAGGACCTCTCCGAGCTAGCTCTCACAATGACTGAGATTCTGCCACAAGACGGCATCATCGACTCCCAAGAGCGCCCAAACGCATCGTTCCTGCTCTCCCCGACGCAGGAGCTCTTCTTCCGCAGCACACTGAAAGACGACATCCGCTTCAACGAAAACGTCCTCCGTCTGGGCATAGACGTAGCCGAAAGCGACCTCCGCGACGCCCTGGACGCCCTTGTTCGCCAGCAACCTATGCTCCGCGCTCGCTTCGACCACGAGAGCGACCCGCGCACGCAGCGTGTCACGATAAACGTCGAGGGATCATACCGCTACAGCATCCACTCCATCTCCTCGCCCGCTGAGATGGAGGCCATAATCACGACGACGCGCTCCTTTTTGAGTTCTTCTCTCGGCCCGCTGTTTGCCGCAGATCTCATCGACATTGGCAACGACGGCCGCTACGTCTTCATGACTGCCCACTTTCTCGTCATGGACTCCTCCTCGTGGTCCATCGTCCTGGACGAGATTGAACACTTTTTGCAATTCAAACGTCTCAGGAACCAGGATGCGCCGCTGCCCTACGAGCATTGGTGCCGTTCGCTATCGATCGAGCAACAGAATCTCCAAGACGTGAGACCAACTGGCGATCTATCCTATTGGGGCGTTTGTGAGAATCAGGATGTTTTTGACCCGCAACTTCACACCGGGTTCTCCGTGGACGCCGAATGTACGGAAGTCCTCCGGTCCATTAGCAAAAAGATGCCGGGAGTCGATCCAACTGTCATCCTCCTGACGGCCATCACCTACGCCTTCCGCACGACCTTCACCGACCGCGCTCCCCCTTCCATCTGGCTTCACATCGACGCTCGAAACGACGCGGACGTGCTGCAGGACTTCTCCAACACGGTCGGCTACTTCACCGACTGGTGTAACCTCGATATCGTCCTCGCCGGCGCAGGTGACGCGATCGACGCGCTCGCCTCTACCAAGCAAGCGCGCCTGGAGCAGAGAAGTCGCACGGTGAATCGGGGCTTCGCGAGCCAGTTGCCTTTCGAGATTACATTTACATGCGATGATGTACGGACTATGAGTCATCGTGGGCAAGCCCACGGCATCTTGCAAAAGGTCCCGGACACTCAGTTGTCGACGGTCAAACTCGCGGAGAGCGCTCGCCGGCCAGGCCTCATCAACATCTCCGCAACAATGAGCGAGAACGATCGAGCTAAACTGGACTTTGCGTTCCCTGACAGTATGTCGCGCACCAGCAAGTTCAACGACTGGGTATCCGCGACCGAAGCCGCTCTTTCACAGCTCATCGATCATTTAGAGAATCTGCAGCCGCAGGTGGGCTTGGACCAGGGCTACCCCGTTTGCCACGACCACAGCGCACAGCAGATGATCTCTACCGGCTCCAGCAGCCCAATCGATGTGGAAGACATTTACCCATGCTCGCCCCTTCAGCAAGACATGCTCCTGTCAGAAGAAAAGCAGAGAGGATACTACAACGCTCACTTCATCTTCAAGATTGACGATTCCGAAAGTGCCCCTATCGACACAACCAAGCTCGAACACGCCTGGCACCAAATCGTCGATCGCCACCTCATTCTCCGCACAGTCTTCTTCAAGGACTCTTCCCGCGGTGACCTCTTCACCCAGGCCGTCTTGAAAACCATACCCTCCACCGCGTCCACAATCACCATCCCTCAAGGCAAGGACGCCAAAGACCATTTGGCATCGCTCCCACGCGTCGACGCACGAGGCTTCCGCCCCTCGCACAAGTTAACCCTCTGTGTCACAGACGACGGCAAGACTTTGGCATCTCTCCAGATCAATCATACCATCATGGATGGTCCCACGATATCAACCATCATCGCCGACCTTTCGCGCGCATACCACGGCCATGGTCCCTCAAGTCCAGTCCCCCTCTACAAGGACTTCATCTCCCACGTCCAACACAGCCCCCTCACCCTCTCCCTCAAATACTGGCGCAACTACCTCACCAACGCCCCCAACTCGGTCACTTCATCGCCTTTCACAAACCTCAAGTGCGCTCCACGCTCCGGCCAACCACAAACCGTCTCCATCCCCATCACACAGATCGCGGACCTCGAGATCCTCGCCAGAAGCGCAAAAACCACCCTTGCCTCTGTCTTCCGCGCCGCCTGGGCTCTGCTCCTGCACCGGTACACCGGCACCAACGTCGTGGTCTTTGGCTATGTCACCGCCGGCCGGCAGGTCCCCGTCGCGGGCGCGGATCACATGGCCGGTCCGCTGCTGAACATGCTCCCCTGCCGGACCAGCCTCGACGCGGCCTCTGCCTCTGCGGTACCGGATCTCTTGCGAGACGTGCACGAGGATTACATGGATAGCATGGCCCACGGGCTCGTCTCCCCCGGGCAAATCGGTCGCTCGCTCGCTCGCGCGCCGCCGTTGTTCAATACCCTGTTGAACTTTAGGAGACATGGAACTTCTGCGAAGGAGGCTGTCGAGGCTGTCGGTTCGACTGCTGCGCCTGATCTTTCTTATAAGATGGTTTACTCTCGTGACCCTATGGAGGTAAGTACCAGAAATCCCCTTTCGTGACGAGCGATCAATCAGTCTTTGGAAACAAACCGAAAGCTAACTTTGTTTACAGTTTGATATTGTTGTCGCTATTGATGACAAGGGTGGGGAGACGGTGGCTTCCATCAGCTACTGGGATCAGAGCATGACGAGGGCGGATGCTGAGAGGGTGGCGGAGGATTACCATCTCTCCCTGTCGCGAATTGTTTTTTCCGTGGGGATTTCTTCATTGGCATAGTAGATTGATATAAATTTTCTTAGTGTGTGTGTGTGTGGTTTCAGTTTTCTAGGATACTCTAATAACATATGAACGCTTCAACCTACCGTGGCACTGGCGACCCTTATTTCCCCTTGGGGAAAGTGACATGCTTGTAGATGCAAGGACCTGGAATACGGACTTCGAATGATTACAGGTGATGCAGCGACTGAATGCAAATCAAGAACATACCTTCATCGAGAACACACCGACTGACATCTAGGTGAGATAAGAGCAGAATACCTCATGTTTTACACTCCAGACATACAAGTCCAAAAGACCACCAAAAAGGCAAAAGAGGTCACCCCCACCGGTCCCCGGTGGCGAAGGGGGGCTACATCTCTTGGTGCACCTGCCGGGACTCGAACACGGGACCTCTCAAAGCCTTCACCGAGTAGGCTTGTGGACTTGAACCACTCCACCAACCAGCCAGTTTTGACCTGACCCCCGGGGGACGCCTGCTGGCTGGTGTCAGGAATGGAGTTGAGGGAGTATATGAAGGCTTCTTGTGCTTTCAGATGGAAGGCAAAAGGGTCACGTGTAGAAGAGACGGTCGATGGGGACTCGGGAGGGAAGGTACGGCAGGTGCTGTCAGGATCGTACCTTCCGTACCTTATGATGAAGCCGGAAGTGAATTAGTCATCTGGCAGACTTCATGTCGTGACAGCGGTTACATCCTTTCTTTCGCATAGGGGAAAGAAGAGAATGGGGTTCATGTCGATATAGACGGCAGCCACAGTGACATGGGAGGTCCCGCTTGATGGCCTGGAAAGTGGCTATCCCACTCAGAACGGCAGTTATCTTTTTCCATTACTCCGCCAGAGTCGAGGCTAGTATTGCAATTATTCTATTGCCAATGGCATGACAACCTTTGTCATCCTGAACAAGATGTTGGATGCGATATTGGGAGCGAGGGGTCTTCATGAAAACTGTTCAGTCAAAAGCACCCGTCATCACCATATGCAAAGAGAGAAACATCGCGCCTCGTATATCCCAATCGGGACCGATCCCCGCCTCAACCGTAAGCTGCATCGACCATGCCGTTGCAACGGTTACACCCGCCAAGGCACCGGTAAGCTTATCGGGATGTAGATCGGCTTTGGGAACTCTTTCCAATGCGGGGAGATGTCTAAGCGAGACAGGGGTCCTTGATCTAGAGAGACGTTGTTGACGGTTTCTACCTCAATGTGGAGCACTGGAGAACGAGAAGCAAAGACGAAGGGGAGGAGGAGAAGTAGTTAAGACACAGACTCCCAGGTCTAGAGGCTTGAGATGAATCAAAAGGATTCCTCGCCTCTACCCTCCAAAGCATTTTCCCAAACATACTCTCCCCACCGCAAACATCATGATCCTTTCCACAATCACAACTCTAACAACCCTCCTCCTTCTCCTCAAAACCACCGCCCAACCCGCCCAAAACGGAACCTACGCCTACATCATAATCGGCTCCGGCCCAGGCGGCGGCCCTCTAGCATGCAACCTCGCCCGCGCAGGCCACCCAACCCTCCTCCTCGAAGCAGGCGACGACGAACGCGACATCCGATCAGTCATCGCAAACGGCGGGTACTTCATCACGCCCACCAACAGCTGGTCCTTCTTTGTGCGCCATCACCCGGACGAAGAGGTCGAGCTGCGGAATAACCACCTCACGTGGCGGCTGCCCTCCCAGAATGGAGCTTGTATTGGACCATACTGGGTCGGGAACGCGGCGAGGGCGCCTGAGGGGGCGGAGTTGTTGGGGGTGTGGTATCCGCGCGGTGCGACGGTGGGAGGGTCGAGTGTTACGAATGCGATGGCGACGTGATTGCCGAATGATGCGCATTTGGATTTTGTGCAGAATGTTACGGGGGATGCTTCGTGGAAGTGAGTCTTTTGCTACACTGTCATGTGTGAAGGCATGTTGAAATTGTCTGGGCTGGCAAGCTGACCTGAGTATGGGAAAGCCACAAGAACATTTGGCGAATCTTTGAGAGGATCGAGAAGAACAATTATCTGCCAGAAGGCACGCCAGGTCACGGATTCAACGGCTACTTTAACACGAATCTCGGCAATGGGTCGCAGTATCTCAACAACCCTGGTTTGATGGACATTCTCAAGTCACACTTGCGGTCCATTGGGAAAGATCCAGAGAAGGTCATCGAGATGGTGGGCAGTGACGGGAACTTCCTCAGCGAGGATAGAGACACGACGGGGGGCATATGGGGGCTGTCGTTCCATGCGACGGACAAATGGGAGCGGTACAGCTCTCGCACATACATCTACGAGACCCTAGCGGCCAAGAACGCAGATGGCTCTCCCAAGTGGCCGCTGACTTTGTCGACGAATTCTCTGTCAACGAAGGTCCTGTTTGAAGAGACAGATGGCGAAAAGCCTAGGGCCGTGGGAGTTGAGTATTTGGCAGGCAATTCCACCTACGGCGCCGACGTGCGACACAATGCGTCGACGACAGGCGAGACGCGGCGAGCAATGGCATCTGGCGAAGTGATCGTCGCAGGCGGTGCCTTCAACTGGCCTCAACTACTACAGCTTAGCGGCATCGAGGTCGTGGCAGACTTGCCGGGCGTGGGGCGAAACCTTCAAGATAACCAAGAGTTTCCGGTCGTGGGACACGCCCAGCTCAACCTGACAGCTACTCCGAACCCCAACGAGCCGATCTGCGCAAAGGGAAGCCCCGGAGACCCATGCGAAGAGCTGTGGCGGCAGGGAAAGGGCCCGTACATGCGGCCTGGATACAACTCGAACGCGTTACTTCTCAAGTCCAACTTTTCGCTGACAGGAGAACGAGATGTCTTCGTGTTCAGCTGGCCGAGGGCATTCCGCGGATTCTGGCCTGAGGTGCAGCAGCCGGAGCTTCTCGATCCTCCGAAAGCCATTGGCTTCTCGACCGTTAAGATGCACCCGCAGAACACGGCCGAATACATCAAGATCAAGTCTGCAGACCCGACGGAACCACCGCAGATCAACTTTGAGCTCTACAAGGAAGGCGCCGAGACGGACTTAGAAGCGATAGCTGAGGTGGTGGCGTGGGGCCGACGGAGCATGCGCGACGTTCAAGGTCCGTGGGGTCCGGTAGAACCAGCTGAACCTCCATGCTCGCGGATCGAAAGTGACGGCAGGTGCGGTGACGCGGACCCGGAGTCGGACAAGAATTGGATCCGGGAGCAGACTTTTGGACATCGTCCTACAGGGACGTGCAAGATGAGCACGGCGGGTGATGGCATGGCGGCAGTGAATTCTGAGTTTCGGGTGTTTGGTGTGGACGGGCTGAGGGTCGTCGACGTGAGCGTGTTCCCGCGGACTCCCGGAGCGTTTCCTGCCGTGGTGACCTTTATCATTAGCCAGAAGGCGTCGGATGTGATGCTGGAAGGTGTAGCAACATCGAAGCCGTGAAGGATGATGGTGGTAGGTCGAGGTAGATAGATGAGACGACGTTACGCGGGGTGCTAACTTTTAGAGAGTTCAAAGTTCTTCCATGCATGCAAGCAAGGTGAAGTGCGAAATGCCAGCCACGAGCCACGTCGCCCTGGCGTCGCGTCGCAACACAACTGGATGGGAGTGTCGCAGTGTATCCTCACTATTGTCGCGTCGTATCCGTAACGGAGATCGTCATCTGGTCTTTTTTCCGTTGGGGAATCTATGTGGCTCGGGATGGGATGAAGGGAGCATTCAGGTCAGGGTCGTCTGATGTTCTGGAGCCTTCCAGTAGGTGGGATAATTTGCACAGCCACAGCCACCCCAGCCCATGGCACGAGCTCCTCTTATCCGCAGGCGATGACGTTTGGGAACAAGCCACGTGATGATAAGAGATAAGAGATAAGGATAAGGATATGTTGGATATGAGTTATCCAAGCGATTTGGATAACCAGGATATGAGTTATCCAACATATCCAAACAAGGACACTGTCCAGCACAAGGGACATGTTCAGAATCAGGACTTGTATATAGGATGGACTTGAGCCGGACTCTAGGACAGACTTCCCATAGCTTCTTCAGCAATTAACTTCGTATCAGATCTTATGATCGCTTTCAGCTATCTTCCCTGAGAATCTCTTTGACAAGACTACGATTGATCACCGAAGCCTTACCTACCTTACGACTTACAGATATAGCTTCCCTGAAGCTATTCCCGCCTACGATACTGTTACCAGTTCCGCAGCCTCAACTTCTGCAAACATACCTCACTACGACTAGCTGGCCGTAACATAAGATTTATATATAATAACTATAGACTTAAGCCGGGCTTAAAAATAAACTTCATATAACTAAGTTAACGTAGCTCTTTGGTAATTAACTTTATGTTAGATTTTTGTTGGTATCACAGGCGTGATACATTTCCTCATGAGGGTGTATCTTCGGCAACAATCACGTCGATATCCGTGATAATTGCTGTTGTTCTTGTTGTTCCTTCTTCCTATTTACATTGTGGGCAGGGGCCGGTCGAAGTAGGTGGTGACGGCCTGGGTGGTTGCCCCACCTTAACCGGCTGTGATGACTAAGCCAGTTGTCCCACTTCGCCCAGGGCAGGCGCCAGCCAGCCCACGATACCTGCCCATTGCTCCTTATCAGCCTTGCTGTTCCGACAATAACTAATATAATTCTATATAATTCGACAGCTAGCAAGCTAGCTTGCCGCCTCCATTTTACGTGGACGTGAGCCTCTAATCGCCGGATGCAGTAAGTCCTAACGACTGCCGCGGAACTAATTGACTCCGTGACAATGAATGCGAGGGCAGATGAAACGATATATCCGGGATCTATTATTTAATTCCCGTGAGCGCAAGCTACAAAGTCCAAAGGATGCTCGAGTCGGCATGAAGCATCCCGTACGCTCACTGGGCGCGCATGCATGATCCAGGTTACGTTGGTCACTGTCACGGGCCAGAGCCCGGTTGAGATCTCCGGCTCTGCCGGAGCTACCATTCTGCCGCAGTACACCGCCGAGTCCGGGCATATCATGCCATAGCTGTATGACGGAAACTATATGTACCCACAACTACCTAAATGCAGTAGAGGGATCTCTCTTTTGTATATGGCGCAACGGTACAATTCCGAATTCTGTCACTGTACGCGAACCCCTGTAATTCCTCCTTTTCCCCCTCAGCTTAGAATAGTCAATCGACGGCACCTCTACGTTGAACAAGCCTAGGGGCCAGCCCCTTACAGTCACCAAGGCTGTACTGTCACTCGAGTACTCGAGTGACAGTTCGCTGACGATAGAATGTACTGAGGCTGTTTCCAGAGACAAGGCCTGCGAGCATGAACAAAATGAAGCGCATAGCTGCGTCAGACAAGTACGGGCTGTGAGCCCCCGAAGATCATAGACTCGTCTTAACTTTAATCACATCAATACTTTTAGCAGCTCCCGGCCATGCCAGCATAAGGCTACGACATATACAACGTATTAGTTCGTATGATTGTAAATACATTGCAAAAACTGTGTTGTCTCGTTCCGATCAATCACGTTATGTTTATCACACTTCCGGTCCTCCTCAGCTGATCGACTGGTCTCGCTCTCAAAATTCTTTTCCCAAGTATCAACTCTCTAATAGCGGTAACAACACCTTCGAACCAGTCAACTGGTAAACCTGTTCAACGTCTTCTTTCGAGATCCCAAATACCCGTCCCGTCACATTTGGAACCCAGTGACCAATCAGCTTCTCCGGCTTCACTGACTGCTTGCTCAAAGTATCTGTCAAAAACTCACGATACGCGTCAACGTCACGGCGCAAAAGTGACGAATGAAACAGGGCATCACCGCCCTTTAACGGCTTAGCAAACTGCGTCTGCCGGAGCTCCAAGGGGCCACTGTTCTGGCCTTCATACGCAACGAGCTTGGAAGCACACGTCTCAACAGCAGCCTCCACGTCCCATGACGCCGCGGCCTCTAGAACGTCGATGAACAGCGCCAACGCACGTTTAGTTCCCGAGCAGACGAACTGTACGTTGACAACGTCGTAGCTGACGATTTCAAGGAACTCACTCGTGCGAGAGCTAACGCTCTGGACGACAGCGTGCAGGTCATCCTCGGTGAAGCCTCCTTCTGACCGCACCTTGGACGGGTTGACAGCGACCATGGCATACGGCAACTGCCTCTCAGCGTCATGGTGCATCGAAGGCTGCATAAGGAGTCCGCGGTACCACGTAATGGCCGCAAGCTCCTCGGTGGACATGGCGTCGCCCATTGTCGACAGCGCGGCATACTCGCCCAGGGAATGGCCCGCGAAGAGGGGACCGTTGCCGTTGTCGCTATCCAAGGGGGTGGGAACTAGCTCGTGCGCGGCCAGGTCCGCAAACCGCGCCTTGGAAGACACAGCCAGGGCGGGCTGCGCGAACTCGCTCGCGAAGATGAGGCCATCTGGGTGACGGAAGGTGTAAGATTTGGTCGTCTTGCTGATTCCAGCAAAGAGTTTATGTGCGGTACCGTCTGGGCTCTTGAGTGCCATGTCGATGTATTTTTGGCGCAGGATGCGGCCCCGGCGGCCGTGGAAGTAAACTGTCAGTTCTTTGGGGTTCTCGCGGACAATGGCGCTCAGCAGGAAACCTTCAGGGGGTGGTGTGATGATCAGCATTGATATTATGGAGAAAGAGAAGCAATGGCAAACAATGGACTTCAGTCCCGAGGAAACTTACCAAAATTCGACTCGAAATATTGGTCGGCTTTGTCCCATACCTCTCTCGCACTGGGGCTGGATTCGAAAAGATCCATCCCCATACTTACCTCCTGCGAACCCTGCCCTGTGAACACGTATGCGGTGCGTGGCTCCTCTATCTCTGCCTCCGCTGTGAGGACGACGTCGTCAGTCCCGGCGAGGACTGCCTCAAGCTCAATCACCTTGCGGCCCGATAACATGGCGACATGACGCAGCTTCACGGCGATGCTGTTCCCTGGTGACACCGTGCCGACGAAGGAAACCTGATAAGCATGAGTTCTCCCTTTGCCCCCGTACCAGCGGTTGAGGGCCGCGTGTACTGTCGCGCTTATCCACATGGCCGGAACGATGGTCCCGGAGAGGCCACAGTACGCCGCGAAGCTCTCTGAAACATGGATCGGGTTGAATTCGCCTGACATGCGGGCGTACGCTTCTGGGATGGGTGTAAAAGGGAGAATAACTGGTTCGCTGTTGAGTTGCATGGGGTTCTCTAGTGCAACCGAGGCTCCTAAGATCCTGCCTTTTCTCTGCAGATAGCTTTGGATGGGTGAGCTTTGCGAGCCGGCTGACAGCGAGTCAACGGCTCCGATTGTTTGTTCCCCGTCCTTGGTGACAGCGTGTAAGGCTCCGAACGTATGGATTGAGCTGACGGTGTTTTCATCTTTGAAATGTGTCAAAGTCTCCAAGTGAAAGTTCACCTTGAGACCGTCGAAGAGTGTGAGATTGACGCTCTGATCGAGGGTAATGAAACTCCTGGAGGAGAGGACGGCCGCATCTGTAGCATTTCTGAGGTGAACCTGGGTGGTCGGTAGAGCACAGGTCTCGAATGTCCTATGATGATCTTGGAACTTGCCACGAATCAAGAACCGGGATAAGACTTCTATCATCGGCGATTCCTTGCGTGTGATGATACATCTGATACTCACAATCTTTCCCTTGGGTTGGTTACGGATGGAGACAATAGAAGATTGACTCGCAACGGTATCTCCCTCTCGTAATACGGAGCCAAGAGACTTGAACCTATTTGAGAGGTGCACCAGTCTAGAAAGGTCGCCGTCAACGATGCCCGAACACATTGGTTGGACGATAGCCTTCCAACCGAGAATGATTGCAAAATCCAAAGGCACAGTCCAGATACCGCTCTTGCTCACTGGTGCCGCTATGCCTCCCGAAATAGCCACAAACTCCTGGATCATCCCGCGGGTAATTGTCGTGTCATCGCCAGTGAAAGTGATGGCTGCAATCTCTTCAGGGCTCGATTCCCCGTTCGCTGCCGGCATCGCCCCATGGCCAATCCAGGTTCGCCAAAAGAATGCTCTGATAGAATCGCTCTTTCCCTCCTGGCATTCTCGAATAGGGGCGTACCCTGTCTCGGGGTGGTATTGGAACCTCAGGTTCAGACAGGCGGGACGTCCCGTGACTGTCTTCCGGTTGATTATGCCAACCAGAATGATCCGAGATGATGGGGACTCGAGGCCGATCTCGGCAACGAGTTCGTTCTGTTTGTCAAGAATCGAGATTTTGGTGCGTTCGGATGAATTTGGCAAAGACAACTTGAACTTGAAGCCTGATACCGGCTTCAATAGATGTCTCATGGCGTTCGGTAGGAAGCGGTGGTTGCCCGAGACCACTGACTCGGTATTCAAGAGAGCATAGCGCCATGACCGCTCTGTGCCTGCAAGAAATCGACACCAGACGTCTGTCGTAGGTGGCTCGATGTCTGGGTACGGAAGAATATGGTATGTGATGCCCTTGGGATCTCTGGTTGACACGACACCAGGTGGGATCTGTACCGGAGGCAGCTCGGCGGCACCGCCGAATGATTCAATGACTGGAATCGCATCGGCATTGCTCCCGTAATCAGCTTTGAGAATTCCATCAATCATGCCAAAGTTGATACCGCAAAGCATCTCACAGATGGGTCGATTGATGGTCTCCGAAGTGGAAAATGCCGCGGCCACTGGTCCTTGGGGAATGAGAGTACGTTCAACGTCACCATCGACCAGCGCCTCGGAATCCTCGAATTGCCAGAACGAGTCTTTCTTGCAGTATGTTTCGAAATTGTCGTCCAGAACCGGGATGAAAGGAACCGGTTTCTGCCCTGCCTGGAGACATAGACTGAGAAAATGCTCTACATCTTCGACAGAGAGCAAGCGTCGACCTGCTCCAGGGCAGAGCTCTGACAGCTTGGAAAGGTATTCATGCGGTCGATTCGCCAGTGTATGATATTCATTCAGATCCGACACTCGCTGGCTCCCAGAACCTACATGTAGGAATCGGGACACGAGGCGACGGCAAAAGTCAGACACAAGAGCCAGATATGACAGGTCTACCCAGCGATGACATCCTCCTTTACTCGGGCGATAGAGTAGCTGGAGTAAGCGCGATGTGACTTCCAAGTATGTCATGTCGCCAAGATCGACAGGTCTGCCTTCGCTCAATCCAAACCAAACTTTTTGAAAATCGCGATTCAACCTGTCGATGATGTAGTTCTTCTTGCTCACCAGAACGACTAGCCGCTGACCACGAGGCTTGCTGAAGATGTCTCGGTCGAGCTCGGCCCAGAACTGGGCCCCGCGGGTAGCGACAACATGGATAGGCTGGCCCATCTCGGAAGTGACCCTCAGAATCGAGCCGGCACCGCTGCGTGAGCTCATCGTACCCTCCCACTGATGATTCTGGACACCACGCGCCGCTGCTATAGCGGTCTTGGCCTTTCGGGATGTGTGGGCTTCCCGAGCAACCATCATGCTGCTGCCGTAGAGGATACCATCGAAGGGCATGGGAGCATGGCCAAAGGTTTCGCTCCATGATCCGTCAAGATACGGTAGCGTGTCGATGCCGCTGGGATCTCCAAAGCCGCTCCCAGCTACGAGAATGACATTAGCCAACGCGCGGATCCTGCTGTACGTCCGCAGGATAGGGTCGTGGAAGTCCTCGCACGAGTGGCCACCGTCACCACGACTACCTGTCCACTGCAAGATAACAGGAAAGCCCGGATTTGCCTTCGCGATGTTGAGTACAGCCTCGATGGCCTCCTCGGAATTCGGCTTGAATGATACGTGCCGGATCCCAAGACCTATGAACTCCGCCACGATCTCCGTCTCAGGAACGCCAGCCCCGATCGAGACGCCATCAATGTTGATGCTCTCGAGCCGCAGGCGTCGAATTGTACGGATCTGCCAGGCGAGAGACCTCGGGTTCAGGGGGAGTAGATTGACGGTGATACCGCGCCCAGGAGGACATTCGTCGGCTAGCTTTCGCAGCGCTGCGTCCATGATGGCTTCGTCGTGGTAGCCACCGCCGGCGAACTCGATATGAAATCCGGCTCTCATTGCCGATGAAACGAAATCAACGTGCATAGTTGTGGGCGTCATCCCGCCAATAATGATGGGTGGGAGGCCGAGGAGTCGGCTGAGACGGGTGTTGACGAACGTCTCCTGTACCGAGTTCTTGACCAGCTTCGGTTGATATGAAGCTGCCCAGTTAGGGTTGTAGGTGATTAGGCTACCGCAGTCGAAGATTTCCATCAAGCAACCGATCTCAGGATCGTTAGACGTGAGCGAGCCAGCACTGAGAATTCGTACGCCACGCCCCTGCTTATTTCTAGCAGTCAAGCCGCCGATGCCACTACTCCCAGCGGGACCGAAGTCAATGATATGAGTGCAGCCTGGAAACGCGGTGCTCTTTTCCCATTCAACCCGTTGGGAGCAAACCATGCGTACCAAAGCGGGAATCAGATTCTGGGCTTCCTGACTCCTCCATCTAACATCAAGTCCGTCGGAGGTGTCATAGACGGGTATAAAAAGGTTGGCCGGGTGCATCACCACACCCTCAAGATCGGAGGAGATCTTTTCGACGACGGCATCAAGATGGCTACTATGCAAAGGTGCGCAAATGGAGAGGAACTGGCAAGAAAACTGCTTCTTCCTCTTGGAGAATGGAGTTCGCACCTCGTCATCCCCTGAGACGGCCCTGAGAGGCCTCAGTTTTTTGTTCAGGGCATAAAGAGTCGAGGGAGGTCCCGCAAAGACAAAGTCATCTCGGCCATTTGCGAATGCCATCTGGACACGAGCATGGCTTGGGAGATAGGAGTTGAGCTCCGCGACAATATCCTGTAGTTGGTTATGGCCTAGGCCACAGATACTGAGCATGGGAGACGGATGTCCCTCATCATGAGCGAGTGAGTCGTAGATAGCCTTGGGATTAACTGTCTCTGTCGAAAAGACCTCCTGGGTCCTTAAGCCAATGTAGTAAAGGACTTGAAGTGCACCCAAAGCGTTGCTATGAAACGACTCCCACGAGTCCGAAGATGCAATAGCAGCCGCAGTAATTATGCTATGGCTGTGACCTGATATCCCACGGAAGTTCGCGATAAGTTGTCCCGGGGTCAATCCGAGAGTGCGACAGATGACGGCAACGCGTGACAGCTGGATAAGGCCGATGAGCGGAAAGCTGACACTCGGCGTCGTCATATCTGCCGGAGCGGTATCTGGATGGTGGAGCCACTCCAAAATGCTGATTGTCGGACGATGTGGAAGCATCTCATCATCTCCCGCCGGTGCTTTTGATAGCTTACTGAGGAGTTTCGTTGACGCGTTGAACAGGTTGTACAAGAAGCCATCGTACGTGTCATTGAGCTGCTTCAGCTCCTTAAAGTACTTATTTGTGATTCCCTGCCCACCTAGAACCGCAAACAAGCCAACGGATCCATCGGCTGCCGCTTTGAGCACAGCAGACGTCGTCGGTCGTTGAATTAGGCGTGGAATTGCTTCCTTTGCGGCGTAAAATGTGCGTAGCAGCGCTAGCTTCGCCGTTTCGTTGAGCTGGAGACCGCAGACGAGCGTGTGTACATTTTGAGAGCCGATGCACTCGAACTCAAAGTAGTCTAGGAGGGAGCGGGCGACGGGCTCTGCGGATCTGCCGACACCGAGACAGAACTCGAGGAACTGGGCAACGAGCTCGATAACGGTGAGCTGACTAGAAGAGGACTCTAGGGTCTCTACTTCCCCCAGTGTCTCAAGATACTGATCTCGAAGGACACTGGCTTCGCCATATGCACTAATGGGTATTGGGACGGACACCCGAGAGGTTTTGTGGCATATCTGAAGTGGCAGAAACATATCCTCTTCCCCAGCAAAGCCGGAGCAGGAGGACTTGTTGCTTGGGGTAACAAAGTCGATGCCGTTTTCAGAGACGCAGGTCGCTGGGGTACTGAGGTCAGGGCTGGTTGGGGATGAGAAGAAGTCGCTGTGGCCCGAGACGGAAGAGGGTGTTGACGGGTGTGTGGTGCTCTCTAGGGAGTGGAAGCGGGTCAGGTTGAGCGCCGCCATGGGGAGGGTATGTACTGGGGCTGAGAAGGCCATTATTGCTATAATGACATGGAGCTTGGGGTATGATTCCACGAAAGGACAGTGTCTAAGCAAGAAGCGAGTTATGGAAGTTGAATGCAGCAGAGGTGTATTGTGGGAGCTGTGGTGGACCCTGATCTGCGTCGAAGAAAAGAGACATGAAGCCGTTACATCTTCAGGATTTGGTGCAAGACCACATGTATCTATGTCGAAAGTAGGCCAAAGGGGTGAGCGAAAGGCCGCATTACTTATCACCCGAGAGCATAGGACAAATAATGGACGTTATGGTCATGTATACAACTTTTGAGTGATATACTATGGTTGGTGAAGATCGAAAGGCAGCTATAAAGAAAGCGTGTTTTGATAAGAAGCGCATGACCAGATCAATTCGTCAAGACTGGAAACGACGAAGCGAGTTTAACACACTTGCTGCGCCGGAGGGCATTTCCGACGGGTAGGTACTCAAATGCCATGGTAAGGTTCATGGCCACTTGCAACTCGGACACAACGTGATTGGTGGAGCATTCCCGATGGAGTGAATGCAATAAAAACCCCAGGTCCCCTTGCTCACTGCCCATTCTTCTCTTGAACGCCCGCAAGCAAAAGAGGTTGCCTGGAGCTCATGACCCTTGCACCAGTAACAAGCTATTGCAAAGACATGCTCTTGCAGGGTCTAGAACATAGTGCGGGGCTATCCGCTTTGTCGGGAGATTCTAGTCCACATATCGCCCATGTTTACAACCTTCTTGTTCATTGGAGGGTGCGGGTGGCAGCCGGAAGCCAAGGTACGGGCAGCGGATCGAGGCACCCAACAGGTAGCCCAAAGGCCCTGAAGTATTTGTCGAATGAGGGACTCCGACTGTGCGTGACTAGCGAGTAGCCGCCTTGCGGCGTCTTGCGGCCCGAAGCAAGCCTTCGTTGGCGAGGCGGTGCGCGCTTTCGTCCTGTACGAAGGCTTCACTCCATCCGCGAAGGGACCGATGAGATGGGGAGTGGGAGGGGGGGTCTGAGCAATGGACAGGGCCAGAAGACGCCAACAACCCCCATATCCCAAATTCGAAATCCCATCGGTTCCCAACAGTAGAGGGCAAGACTATCCTTTATAACGAAGGCGCATCTTGCGAAGGGGCAAGACCGAAGTCTGGTATTCGCTATGCCGGCAGCTAACGTTTCATTCTTGTCCGTACAAACAGAGAAGAGACTGGAACGAAGGATTCTAACGTGATCCAGCACGATTGATCAACGCCTCGGGAGCCGGCCTAACCCGCTACTTCCGAGGTACTGGACTCATGCCACCGGATCGCTCGGTCACCCCCAACCGAAGCGAAATGCTTGCCAGAATGTCGGTGGGCTTGCTGTGCCTCTCATTATGCTGTAGACGGTGCAGGTAGCCTGCAACCCTCAGCAGTTGCGAGGAGGGTGAGACTGAAATGGCAGGTCAGTGTTGATTCATTTCGAGTCGGTTGCGGACGTTGATTGCTTGTAGGCACTTGGATAGGTACAGACCATGCCGAGACAAGGTAAGATAAGGCATTTCTGAGCTATTGCAACTTGCAGCTTTCGCTGGCCTGCTTTGACACGAGGGTTACGTGATTCTGTCTCCATCAACACAGCTAGGGGAGACAGCAAAATTGCCCGCGCGTGGGTAAGAATAGTCACACACGGAGGCCGTATCCGTTGGAGGGACCATGTATTCTTTTCGGGATAGTTGTTCGAGTCTTGATCAAAGGCAGCGAATATTTCATATCCCCAGGGTCCTGCCAAAAACAATGATGATGATCGTCCTTATCCCAACCCTTTCTGGATCACGATCATCGATCGGCTCTGCACTCACCGTCATCTCCACTCCCATAATGTCTAACATCGCATTTGAAGATTTACTTCTTTGCTCCACCTCGAAAGATCGTCAACAGTTCAGCCCTACTCTCCATTTTTCGCGTGCCCAGGTTTTCTCCAAGAAAGCCAAGAGCCTAGTCGACCTTATTACACACCAATACTGGTGGCACCGCCCAGGCCGTGCCTGTAGCACTAGTAACAACTTCAACCCACACGAAATACACCCGCCTCTTGACGCTTGGAGCATCGCGATCACCTCAAGTCCTAGTTACACCACGACGCCATCCACAAGTGGTGGAGAAACGTGTAATTTTGGGCTGCTGGAAAACAAGCGCCAGCAATTTGAAGGAACTTCATCAGTTCTTTTGCAAATTTTTTATCATCACGACAAGGAAGAAGACATATGCAATGGGCAGGAAGGACAGTTCCTCGTCGGGAGAAGCCAAACGGCGTCGAGCCATCACCAACGCACAGAGGCGAGCCCTTCGCGTCTGGTTCTACGACCAGTCTCAGGGTCCCAAGACACAGGCCGACGCTTCGGTGTGGTGGCACGAGGCCTATGGCTACTACCTCAACTCGAGCACCGTCAGCGAGATCCTCAGCTACAAGTACGACTTTCTCGAAGCGGACCCCTACGCCGCGGGCATGGGCGGACCTGCTGACGACGACGAGAGGAAGCGGGAACGGTCGGCCAAGTGGGAGGAGCTCGAAGAGGAGCTCATCAAGTGGATGCTCTGCTACGAGTCCATTGCCGGCGAGGGCAGCGTTACCAACAGCATGCTGTGCCAGCGCGGTGCCGAGCTGTGGTACACCCTCCCCTGCTACCAGGGACTACCGGTACCAAAGTGGAGCGAGGGGTGGAGGACCCGGTTCAAGGCGCGGTATAAGCTACGCCGGTACAAGATGCTCACTGAGATGGCGAATACATTTTCGTCCGACGATTACTCGTCTGGCGCGTCGTCCTCAGCGGGTTCAGCTTATGGTTCCATCTCGTATGGCTAATGCTGGATTAGGGGGGCTTTTGAGCCGACATTGAGAATCGTTTGGCTTGAAGACTGTTGGAATAGGCCTACATTAGGCAGCAGGAGGTTGCTGCCACGGTCCGTTCCAGCCACGGTGGTCCGTGTGGCTCAGCCACACGAGGGTATACCCCAGACTTCCTGCCGCCGCTGGCACCTAGTTAGACTTCCACTAAACAACAAGAACAACAAGCAATATCACCACCACAGTCGGTGATCGTTGCTACCCACGATACTCGAGTATTTCCTTTTCCACCTGTGAATCCAACAAAGACACTTGTCGGGTTGGGAGTTTAGCGTTTGCTTTGGAGAAGGAGATTGCAAGGTTACCTTTTTTTCCCTGCATTCGGTTGAGTTCATCCGGTGATTGCATGCACCTGCCAGAACCTGCATGCCGATTTTGTCTCCAGCCTGATGAGAGTGGTTGGTTGTTTTTCGAATGCTGGTTGTTTTGGATGCTCCGAGGTAGCCAAAGTTGTTAGATAATCGATGTCTATTAGATGCAATACACCTGGGGTTCATTGATCAAAGAGTGATTGTTGTGCTTGATTGAGGGATTCTTCCCATCCCGGTCGAAGCGGGGTTCTGTCTTGTATTTACCCGTTCTCACCGGTTCTTGCATATTACAGTTATGCAGATAACCAAGTTTCAGCTGCCTTTTATCCGGACACAGGCGTCAATCTAACTGTCGGAACAGCAAGGCTGATAAGGAGCAATGGGCAGGTATCGTGGGCTGGCTGGCGCCTGCCCTGGGCGAAGTGGGACAACTGGCTTAGTCATCACAGCCGGTTAAGGTGGGGCAACCACCCAGGCCGTCACCACCTACTTCGACCGGCCCCTGCCCACAATGTAAATAGGAAGAAGGAACAACAAGAACAACAGCAATTATCACGGATATCGACGTGATTGTTGCCGAAGATACACCCTCATGAGGAAATGTATCACGCCTGTGATACCAACAAAAATCTAACATAAAGTTAATTACCAAAGAGCTACGTTAACTTAGTTATATGAAGTTTATTTTTAAGCCCGGCTTAAGTCTATAGTTATTATATATAAATCTTATGTTACGGCCAGCTAGTCGTAGTGAGGTATGTTTGCAGAAGTTGAGGCTGCGGAACTGGTAACAGTATCGTAGGCGGGAATAGCTTCAGGGAAGCTATATCTGTAAGTCGTAAGGTAGGTAAGGCTTCGGTGATCAATCGTAGTCTTGTCAAAGAGATTCTCAGGGAAGATAGCTGAAAGCGATCATAAGATCTGATACGAAGTTAATTGCTGAAGAAGCTATGGGAAGTCTGTCCTAGAGTCCGGCTCAAGTCCATCCTATATACAAGTCCTGATCCTGAACATATCCTTTGTCCGTATGTTTTCCCAATGGGTTCCGTATCCTGAACAATGATGATGATGATGATGATGTATTTAACGTCTGGTAACAAAAGGACGTGCCGGGCGTATCCTGAACATACGGGGTCCGTATCCTTGGCGTACGGGCTTCCTTATCTTATCATCACGTGACTTGTTCCATAGTTCTTTCATTCCGTGGGGTGACGCATGTGTTCCCGTGACTCGTGCATATGGTGTGTCGTAGCCGCCGCAAGCCTGCGGGGCAGGCCCTGGTCTTGGTCATGCATGTTGGGTCGTAACATCTTAATTCTAAATATAGTTATCCTTTATTACCTTAGTTACTTTATTTACTAATAATCGCTAAGTAGATCCTAGTAAGCGCTTACTTAGGGTGATTATCGTAATCACTTTATTACGTAAGTTACTTAACGTACATGCATAGCGAGTCGCCCATCATAGCGAGTCGCCCACTTTCAAATACCCTCCAGCCCTTTGTGTAGGTCAATTAAGCCACATCGTACGAAATCAATTGGAACTACTCATCAGCCTCTTCTTCAGAGGTCTCCCAAACTACCTGACATGTTCGTACGTTATGTCCAGTCTTTCCGCAGTTACCACATCGCCGCCCGCGCGATTCACCCCCCTCCGTACGAGCACCCTCCTGACGTATATTTTCGCCTCTAGCATCAACAACCCCCTTCTCTGCCCGGATTGCCTCGGCCTCAGCTGTATTAAGTGACCCTCCAAGACGCAGTTGGGTTTTTTAGCCCTCCGGCGCTTACTTAGTATCTCATTTGCCGTACGAAGCCCGCGGCACTCAGCTTCAAGAGCTAGTTTATGTGCTAACTTGCTAATACCTTTGGCTTGCAAGTCAACAACTTCGTATAAATGTGTTGGTGAGCTATGTTGATGGCTATGAATCCTTTTCTTAAGTGAATCAGAGCTTCGTACGGCGTCATGTGCTGTGGTTGGTGTCTTTGGGTCCCAGGAACCCTGGCTGCTTGGGCGTGAGTTGGATGGTGTTGGCGTTTTTGGCTTAAAATCAAGGCGGGAAACAACTACTTCTGGGCTAAAAGGTACAAGTATAGCCTGTATAAAACCAGCTCGTACGTTTCCTTTACTTATTGAAGTAAAAAAGGCTGCTTTGAAGGCAGGAAAGAAGTCGTCCTTGGTAATGTGCGTAATCTGCATCCCCATCATCTTCTCGATTTCCTTGCCGTACGAAGCCTTTAGCGGACCAAAACAGCCAACATCAAGAGGCTGAAGTTCGTGCGATGAATGGGGAGGCATGCAAAGAGCAATAATGCCGTGCTCCTTGCAGTAATCGTCGAATTTGGTCGATTTGTGGCTATTATGGCCATCAAGGATCAGAAGACGCTTAACACCCTTCGTACGAGACTTTGTACATTTTTCAAAGTGCTCTAGCCAATCTAGGCCAATCTCATTTGTAGTCCATCCATTTTTGCTAGGGTGGATGCGCCATTCGGGGGGAAATTGGCCATTACGCCCCTTAATGGTTCCGTGGTAAGCTGATGTGGCAGGGTGCCTCCTAATGTTGATGCGGGAATTGTGAATGGGGAGACCTGGAAGTGTTGGCGACAGTTTACCGAGAGCCTAGAAACGCACATCTTGTTGGTAAGCGCCGCTGGGCCCCGGAATCTTCAGGATAAGTCGAGTCCGAAAGCTTAGCCACTCAGGCAAGGGTCAGCGGTTATGGCCGCAGAACGGGTCTCAGTGCCTAGGAGCCCAGGTGTACCAGGGTGCACAGTCTCGCCAAGAAGGGTCGCTTACGTCTCACCCTCGTTAGAGAGTTCGAAAGTTGCTTCTTGAAGGTTGGGAACAGGTGGTGGTGTGCCTCGCTTAGGGTGTCTGGGTGGGTGTTCGATTAGTGCGGACCGTCGAGCGACGGAGCTGCTCAGTCCAAAACGGCGCCTGACCGTTTAGGAACGCATAATCCTTGTTCCGTATTCTGGGCCATCCTTCGTCACCCAGTGATGGTAACCTACACCAACTTCACGATGCCGAGTACCCATAGATAAGCCCTATGAGGGCTGGCCTATCAGAAGGACGCTGAGACGTTGACCCATCCGTTGAAACGGTTGAAACGGAAGTGCGGGCCCAAATTCTCTTTCGTTCGGGCGCGCCGTTCAGCGACAGGGCCACCTCCGTTTTCCTCGTTCCCAGCCCGTGAGGCCGGCTGCCCGGACAGCTGCCTGGCCGGGAGGCGCTTATTTGACGGGTATAAGAACGTGTGGGCAGTACACACTGCTCATCTGGATCAACGAGGCAAGCAATGAGGCAATACAACTGGTATTGTTGGTTGGTTGGTGATGTGGTGAAAGGTGGCTGCGGTGGGCTGGATCAACCAGGAGGTGGATCGGGCAGCTGGTGCCTGGGGCACCAGCCACTGCCTCAGGTATCCACAGTCCCACAGAACGACTACCCCAGGTTTTGTAGCGATCAAACTTAGCATAAGCTGTGGCGTCCTTGACGACAACGGCGTGAGCGATCTAAACATGTTGTTTGGCATCAATGGCAGTAGGCGACAAGGCGAGAACGACTGCTGAGAGCCGAGGCAGGGTCCAAAAATTGATTCGATAGTGTTGGATCTCTGAGCAGTCGGCAGAAAGGGTGGATCTGGAAGGCGGTATGGACCATACAAACGGCCCTTCCACTTACATACCACTTCTGAGGAATCATGGGCTCTGCCCATTTCCTCCTCCTTGCACCTCAAGACGCAGCAATAATATACCAATTATTGACCCTTCGTTCCAACCGTACGGTTGCCCTGCTGACGTGTATACCAACAGATAGACCTTCTGCTTCAGGCGTGTGCATACACCTGAAGTCCCTTTTTCTGGCATTCTCAAAGGGTTTCCAGGCCCTTATTGGCTCTACCCCGCCCTCGGCGAAAATAGCAGACCATGTTGCCGTAAGCAAGGCTTGCGGTCAGACATCCCTACATGCAATAATCGGGCAGAGCGCAGTTTATTAGATTGACGCCTGTGTCCGGATAAAAGGCAGCTGAAACTTGGTTATCTGCATAACTGTAATATGCAAGAACCGGTGAGAACGGGTAAATACAAGACAGAACCCCGCTTCGACCGGGATGGGAAGAATCCCTCAATCAAGCACAACAATCACTCTTTGACCAATGAACCCCAGGTGTATTGCATCTAATAGACATCGATTACCTAACAAGTTTGACATGCACGGTGAGTATCGCAATCTTGGTTGGCCCTTGCGTAGACGCTGTGTCGGCAACTAGGACTGGTGGCGGCCTTAACTCCACACCGGTCTGCACTATGGTGAGAATTAGCTGCAGTCAGCCGGTCTATATAACGGAACGGGAGCTAATCATGTCTACTCTGCATGCCTCGTGTTGCAGTCCACTTGGACTCTTCCGTACTTTCCTTATCTTTCCCTCTGGCTATTTGCGCCGCGTCTTCACTTACTGCGCAAGCCATAGCTAGGGTCGGGGATTCGTCGACTATGAAGCTAGCTGCGATAGCCTAATCTTGACGGCTAATTATGGAACTGTTGGTGGCGTCCAGTCAGTCTGTACTGAGAAGAGCAGAAGTATCCACTATGAATGGGACCCAGCTCTTCTTGCTGCTTGATGTGATTCTATGCGAGTGC